GGACACCTTCCACTACCCCAGGTTGCCTAAAACCCCATGCAGCCTTCTTTTTGACCTAATGCATTTATTTGGGAGGCAGCACTTGTTTTTCACATTCATCTGTTTGGTTTTCATATGATTTTCACGTGGTGTTTTTGTGTTTTCTACTTAGCACTTGCAAATGGTGGTGTGGACTTTCACCCTCATTCATATAACTTTTTACATGGGTTTCAACTTACACTTTCCAGCCTGTCTTACTCAGTGCTTTGACATCCCACCAGAGAGAGCTCTGTGGGTTGTATGATTTCATCCAGAAGTTAAGATTGGATGCAGCAAATCATTAAGCACAGGAGTCATGTTGTTGACCCTTCCTACATATATTAATGTCTATATGTATGTACTTAGCCCATTTTGACCCCAGTCACATTCAGTGCATCTGGTGACTTCGCTGGTTTGTGAACCTTGCTGATGGGCACAGGTGAGGTGTTTTTACATATGCTACTGTTCACTGCTGCCTGAACAGGAGCTGAAGTGGGTGAAATGGCTGCTCATCCTCACTGTAACTTCACCCAGTCTCTTCGTGGTGTTTGTGTTCATGGGATGCCTGGAGTTTACTCCAAGATACAGAAGCAGAGGCAGTAGTTAGTTGCAGCTGCTGGCTGTTGTCCCCGCCTTTGCCATGTGTGATCAAGCTGAAATTTTTGCTTGCACCAGCACCATTTTCTTAGCTGTTTTATTTTTGTAGTTGAGTTCCTTGGCCCGAGCTCCAGAAATTCCTGCTGTCCCTGTATCCAAATCAACTGTTTTGAATAATCTGGGATCTCTTTGGGGGATTTATAGCTAACACCTTTGAACACAAACTATATTTGAACGGGATATGAGTAAAAAGGAAGCAGTCAGAGTGAGCAGGTGTTCTCATGCACCCACTTTTAGCTCATCCGAGAAATGTATCACATCAGAAAAACTATATTTAGCAGAGCTGGGTGCCCCCCCCGCCACCACTTCCCCCTGCAGCACAGCCCCAGCCAGCTCTGCCATTTGGGCACTGTGATCTGAGCTTGGCTTGCTGTCTCTTGCGGTTTCTGAACTCACCAACACCGCTCTGATAGCAAACAGTGCACTGAGACAGGCTGTTGCTTCTTTGCTGAGAAGCTTCTGGGCAGCCAACAAGTGCCAAAGGAAAAGTGGGCAGAGGTGGCAAAGCTGCCTTTGATGGCAGCAAGAGGAGAGATGAGGATTGTCCTCCAGCTGGTGGGTTGCTCAGGACAGGAAAGCACCAGGGAGTGAAATAGGGTGAAATATAGCAGATTTCTATTTAAAATTTGGGTCTAACATAAGCAGTCTTTTTTTGAGCTGCCTTTCTAATCCAATTATTCTCAGCTGTTCACTGGGGAAGGACATCCAGGGACATCCAGTCCGTTTTTAGAATGTAAAATGAGAAAATTTGGGGGGTTGGCTCTGTTGTTTGCCAGCTGGCCTGGTCTGAAATGTCAGTAACAAAGCAGTGTTAGTTTTGGATGGGAGCGTGTGGGTCAACATGGGGTGTGGGGCGAGATGAACAGACTGCTGCAGGGCATGCGCTGCTGGGGAGGGGACGGTGGGGGTGAGGGTAGCTATGGATAAGCATCAGGGGAATATCAGTATTTCAAGACAGAGGAGAAGCCACGCTTAGTTTTGTTTTGTTTTTTTTTTTTAATTTTGAGCTATCTGGCTTGTTGAAAACTTGGGCAGACTTGAGTAGCTCCTCTGCACAGCAGTGCTTGCTGAGGGCTTTATCAGAGGTTTTGTAAATGAAGTTGTTCCTGACTGGAAATGTCTTTAGGCCTTCCTGACATTCCTGACTGCCCTATGGCTCATAGGACTGATAGCTGATGAGCAGGCTTTGTTCCGTGGCTGTTAAGGAGCTCTTTGCTGTCAGCATCAGGACTCAGTGAAGTCACTGTGTGGGCCCAGCTGCAATTGGGTGGGCACCCGGCTCCTGCAAGGACCGAAATCTGGAGAGCCACACCCAGAGAGCTCAATAGCATTTGGGATCCAAAAGTTATGTTCGTTTTTCATATCCCCTTTTTAGGAAGAACGAGCACTTTTAGTTTACGTAATTGCTCATATCGAGATAAAATTCAGAGCTGTTTCAGCACAGGAGCACTCAGAGTTGTGTCAGTCCCCAGGCAAGCCAAAACTCCATGAGATTATAAATAAATCCTAAGACTTCGTATTGCCATTACATTTATTTTCTTTCTGACTCCTATCAAGGCACCCCTCTGTCCTAGCTGAGAAGCAATCAGATCGTTGTTATTGTGCTCTCCCTTTATATGAGAACAAGAGGTCAGTGGATGACATTACTGCTTTGTAAATTTAGAACAAATAAAAGGAAATGCTACTTCACCTAGTGCGTCGTCATCCTGTGGAATACACTGTTCCAGGATGTTAGTCAAAAGCTGTGTCTGGAACATAAAAAATAGCCAGAGCATGCTCCTTGCTGGCTGCATGTGCCCCAGGGGCTGCCCAGCCACATGGCTCAGAGCAGCAGCTGTGCTGTGAGCAGCACTCGGGCTCCTGCCTGGGGGAGGACAGCTTCTTAGGGGGAAGATTGCCAGGGCTCCTTCTGGTGGTGATGAGGATGGCTTCTTGCTGATGTGGGATGTCAGACTGATGATCGGCCTCACCCAGCCAGCACAGAGTATGCAATGGTTCCTGGATTCCTAATAATCCTCAGTAAAACATTTAAGTAAGTGTAACACCACTGCAGGTTAAGCAAAAAAGCAGCTTTATGTGGTTGTTTCTTTTCTCCAAAGAGTCGTTACACTAGTTATGCTAAAATCTTACCTGTCCTTCACAGTGAAGCCTGATTGCCCCATTTTGTCCTCCTTAGAACAAGAGTGAGGTCTGAGATTGTATTCTACTTCCCATCTCTGATAATACTGCTAAATCCCAATGCAAATGTTGGTTTAGTGCTGAGTGATGGTGAATGTTGTTCATAAATTCATCTCGCACGAAGCGGTGTTTTATTTACAGTTCTGTAGTTATACAATAGACCCTTTATTTTAATTCTGTGACTCTTTGTCTGGATGGTTCAAGTATGAAGACCTTGATCTCTTTGTTTGTTCTCTGCCTTACAACCTTAGAACTTTATTTGTTGAGCAGAAAGTTGTCTGATGCTGAACATGGAGATTTAAAGCTGGATGTTTTCAGGTGTTGATGATTCCTCTGTTTGACTCTCTCCAGTGATCCAGGAAATCTGTATACTCACACTGAGCTCTTGGCTACATTCTCTGCATTTCTTTTATACCGTTGGTTTAGACTTCACGTCTTCCAGAGTGACTTAAAAATAATACTGTGCATTTGCCTTTTTTTAACTGAAAAGAGAAACAGGAAAAAGTACAACACTGAATGAGCGTGTTCTGTTGATAATTAGTGTCACCAGCTGTTTTAAATTATTTTTTTCCTCCTGCCCAAGAGCATGCCACTGACTTGTTGAGTGAATTGGTAGCTCCTCATCCAAAATTGCTTTTTTGAAGCAATAAGAGGTCCTTGGAAGCATGGACTTTCCATAGGGTACTGCTTTGTGTAGGCAGTTATGGATGTTCCAGCATGGGGCCCTGCTCTGCTTAATTTTTGTTGGATAGTTTTGCTCAAATTACAACATGGATGCTGAAACTGTGTTTCTAATAGGTGCCTCATTAATGTTGGTGTTTGTAGTGTGTTTTTCTAGGAGCTGGCAGTACATCTCAGTAAAATTTGTTATTGCAGGTGGATGCTAATGTCTGTCCTACAGAAAAAGAAATAGGTTCTGAAAACTAAAATAAAGCAGAATCTTCTAGATACATCTTTTTTGTATTGATGTTACATCTATACTTCTTACCATGCACTCCAAGCCATTTGGACATCAGCAAGAAGTTTGACGTTCAACTTCTGATGTTTTGAAATCTGTTATATGGATCATAATGAGAGAAGTGAGAAAGAGAGCAGAAAACAAGTAGTTAGCAGGTCTTATACAGGGATGTGTGTGGGTTCTTCGTGTTCCTGAACAGCACCCTTTGGTGTGCCTGGGAGGGCACACGGATAGCATCCACCTCACCTCATCCTACTTCATGTTAATCTTGAGTTTCAGATGATGGACACAATCTGCTGGAAAAGTAAATCGTATGGACAAATACTTTTTTTCTTAAGAATTATACAATGTGGTGGGATGCAGAAGGGAAGGTTTTAGAGTTGACACATATGAGAGTGTTAGGAAGTGTGAGGAAGAAAGACTTTTGTCTTAGGCAGAATAGATGTTGGTTTATTGTCAGGTCTGGACCCCAGCTGAATGGACAGCCCTATGGATGTGGTCTCCTGAGGAGCCAGGAGCTTTTATTTCTCTCTGCTGCTGCCATCTGATAAACCAAGAAAGCATCAGTGGTAGCTGTGTGGAAGTATGGGCTGATAGCATCCTTGGCTACCATGGAGTAGCAGCCCAGGGTAGAAACACATGTTCCTTTGGGATCACTCTTGATATGGCACTCACTGAGCTGACGAGATGTTGGTTTGTCTACTAGTTTTAGGATTTTGCCCTCTTAAATGCCTAATGTTGTACTTTCGGTCTGATATACCAAATCTGTTATCTAGTTTGTTAATTGATAGAAAGTGGTGTATTGTCTGTTAACAAAGTATTTTAATGCTGTTGCCAATTTAAAAAGCACGTAAAAAAAACAACTTACAGAAGATCTGCACGTGCAGTATATTAATTGTTACCGTTCTGTGCTTGATTTGTGTTGTGCTATTACTTGGATGTGAGACATTTCCTTACTCAGTTCTGCACTGAGAATGAGAGCTAATATCTCTGTGGTTCTATAAATTTAGCAGAAGAATTAATGTAAGCTATGGTAGAAGAAAAACATAATTGAAAGATGTAATGACTTGTGTTGTGCAGCTTGTTACCTCTGAAAATAGCATTCAGTAAGCTGCACTTATGATAAGATGTTCTCTCCATCTCTCACTGACATGCCCAGTGTACTCATTAATTGTCTCTCTCTCTTCAGATTATCACTCCATGTCGGAAGCTCATCCTTTGTGCTGATAACAGAAAAGAGATGGAAGATTGGATTGCAGCACTGAAGACTGTACAGAACCGTGAACATTTTGAGGTAATGGGAAAATGTGTTCATTGTACTCTGTGCATCCTCTCCTAAGCAACAGCCTGTTATGAAACATAAAAATGATTCCATTGTCTTTTCACTCTTCAGTTAACCTCCCTGCCTTAATTCACATCTTGCCTGCTTGCTGTTCGGCTTATTTCGGTGTATCTGTTCACTTTCTGAGACTTTAATTAGACCAGCAGTGCCACCAAAGAAGAGCTGTATGTGTTTTTCCCTCCTTGAAGCTTGTCTCCCTGTTGTCCCTCTACTATGCTGGCACAACCATTCCTCTGTTATGCAATAAACTGCATTGGGGAACTGGTCCTGCTGAAAACTTAATTTAAAAAAAAAAAAAAAGGGGGAAAAGGGGAAGAATCGACATCAGCAGATAAGTTCTCCAGCTTGTTTGCATATGCACACTTGCAGTGAGACAAGCAGGGGGGAAGTAGCACAGAAGTAAGCAATCTCTTCTGGTTTAAGGAGCTTCTAGAGCTACCATGCGTAAACTGCACGTGGCCAAACTATTCCCCAGCAAAAGCATTGTATTTCTGCCTTTTCTCACTGCTGTATGCAAGTCTTTGTTCTAAGGGAAAATAAAATCATGTTGCTACGTTAGATTTTGCCATAATGCATTTATTTTATTAGTCTACCCAGTACAGCATGGACCATTTCTCAGGGATGCACAACTGGTACGCCTGCTCACACGCTCGGCCAACATACTGCAATGTGTGTCGGGAAGCATTATCTGGAGTCACATCACATGGGCTCTCGTGTGAAGGTAAGTGTTGCTTTGTCTTCTGTTTTGGGAACAGCATTTGATAGCTTGATGATGTGTCCTAGAGGACTTTTAAGAGGAATATTGTTAACAGTCTGCAAGAAGGTGATGTAGAAAAGTACTGCGTAATAAACTTGAGGGAGCCACAGCCTGTATATGAAACTGGAGATCATTTTTTTGACCTGGTGCTGCATCCCTCTGGCTGCTGAATCCCTTTTGGCTTCTCAGACAAGTTTCACATAGAATGGGATTCTTGGCTTTTTTTTTTTTTTTTTTTTTAAGTAGAAATGATGATGTCTTTGTATTGATTTTAGTATTGGACTTGATGATAATATAGCTGATTTTTTTTTTCATTACCCAACTACTGCCATCCCTTAGTAAAATCATACTTCTGAAATTAACAAGGATGTAGTTCTCAGTTATCAGATAAAATATTAATAAGAATGCTCTTGTTTATAATAATATTCATATTTATAAGAACATCCTTGTTAAATGCTTAAATAATGCTAGGAGGATTGGATTTTATTTTTTCAACTTTGCTATAGCAGACATGCCTGCCTGGGCACAGCTCATACCTTTAGCATGAATGAGGCTACTTACACGTGCTGTAAAATGATGTAGGAGTGTATGACTCATAAATCATGCTAAGTTGAACAAGGTGATAGTGAAACTTTGTACAAGCAACTGGTGAAATTGATGAGACAAGAGTTAATAGCTAGCTCATCTTACTCAGTATGCTTAGAGTTGGTAGTTTTGGCAGTGCTAACAAGACAGATGTGTGCCCATGCTTTCTTTTGGAGCCAAGTATGGTCATTTGGGAGAAAGCTTTTGTACAAACTGCCATATTATATGTTCTAAAGCTGGATTAATATGTTCTTCTCTCTAGTGTGCAAGTTTAAAGCCCACAAGCGGTGCGCTGTGCGGGCCACCAATAATTGCAAGTGGACAACTCTGGCCTCTATTGGGAAAGATATCATTGAGGATGAAGATGGGGTAGGCATTAATCTTAACTATTCTAGCCTTAACTTGATGCAGAAGCACTGGTGTGTGCTTTCTGCACTGTACAAATACCACTTGTGCCTTTATGTGTTAGTGGTGTGGTATAGGCAAGAAATTTGGTGTGAAAAGTCCGACCAAGGCAGTGAGGACTCCTTAATAACAAGAGACACTTGCAGTGGGCAAGGGGGAGTTGAGGTTATATGGTTGGAGGCATAGGGAGCCTAGTCTGAGTTTTGGCAAAGGAAAGACAAGTGAGTGGTTGGAACAGTATCTTATTGGATCGAATGTCTGATGCAAGTCTTTGTTTCCTGTATAACCTGAGGTAAATCACCTGGTTTCTGCATTTGAGTGTGATGTAAACTGTCAAAAGAGATTTTTGGGTGTTTTCTAGAAATTGCCCATTCTTTCCTCAAAGAGTGCACATAAAGTCTTGCATAGTGTATATCTGAAAGCCACAGTGCATCCTGCAGCCTTGAGTTGCATGCTGGTAGGTCTGTGATGGTTCTCTGCCTCTGTTGCATTTGCAGATCTCAATGCCACATCAGTGGTTGGAAGGAAACCTGCCCGTGAGTGCCAAATGCACTGTGTGTGATAAAACCTGTGGCAGCGTCCTGCGTTTGCAAGACTGGCGCTGCCTTTGGTGCAAAGCCATGGTAAGTTGAATGGACATGATAATTCCAGTAAAAGGGTAGTCTTTGATCAGCTCTATGGTGTGTTCCTTTAATGACATTTACTTGAAATGAAATCGCTAACAACGCTGACAGTATTTGCTCTGAAGGACTTCATTGCTTTCTCCAGGTGATAAAGAGTCTGCAAGAGGTAGGAATATAAACTGTGCTGAAAAGCACCACTGTGATGCATGAAAGTAAGAACTGAAATTAATGCCTGGCTTTTCTGCAAGCTCATTTTCTTTTGATAGTGAGCTTTTGTAGAAGAATCTAATAATTGTAGATATGAATCAGTGCCTCAGGTATGGGAGATCTCAGATTTTAAAGAGCTGCTATTTGGCATTTCTACAAATTGAAAAGATGCATCAAAAAAGATTACAAAGAATACAAAGCTATTTTGATAACAGTAGTTTCCTTTCCCATTGCAGTAGGTTTATCTTGCCTAAGCACTGTAGTGGTACAGCTCTTGCTATGTTTCCAGTTGTCTCTGAGATTAATAAGGGAAGTATTACAAAGTATGAGTTTATGGAATGTTACAGGGGGATGCTCAGACCCCATACAAACCCTCTGTCTTGCAGTCTTCTAATGTCTTAAGTGCCTTATTCTACTTCATACTTACTTCCGTGTGGCTTGATTAATCCCTTCTTCTCTCACTTCTTGTGTCCTTCATGTGCTCGTGCCTCGTTTTCTTGAATTCCCAGTTTTTTCTTTCGTTGCTACTTTTGATCACAGACTCATAGGCTGGCTTGGCTTGGTAAGGACCTTTTAGTTCCAGCCTCCTGCTGTGGGCAAGGCTGCCATCCATCAGACCAGGCTGCACAGCTGTCCAGCCCAGCCTTGAATGCCTCTGGGAATGGGACATCCACAGCTTCTTTGGGAGGAGATTTTGAAAGCACAGCAACTGAAGGCTCTTAAAGCCACATCATTTGTTCTCTGGTCTTGTGATGTTAGAAAAAGTACGTATTAATGTAGAATAGAGTTAATAGAAGCCTCATAGATCATTCTTTAATGTACCTAACTGATTGACATTTCCTAGGGATCTTTCCCTCTTTCTTTCCTTCTTACCCTTTGAAACCTCTTGTTGGATGATTCTTTGTACATCACATCAGTTCCCAAAAGGGTCTGAAATGAATTTGTTTGTTTCAGGTACACACAGCATGTAAAGAGTTACTGCCAAGCAAGTGCCCTCTTGGGCTATGCAAAGTATCTGTCATTCCTCCTACTGCTCTTAACAGCATTGATTCAGATGGTAAGTATCATTACTAAGTAATGCCTTCTTCCTCTCAGTCACAGTCCTTCCAGTTAACACTGTTAATGCCAGATTCTCTTGACTTAAAATTCTGCTTTTGGTGCTGCTGCAATTCCAGACGAGAAGATCTTGCTGAAGTATGGTGTTGAGCTGTTTGCTTGTCTTTTGCATTCAGTTTATTACTCTGTCAAGTTTTTTGTTGAGCTGCAGCTGTTAACATTTGTGAAGAACCAACTCTATTGCAGAAGTAGTTTGGGAGGGCTGGGGAAGCTGCAAAATTTGGCATACTGTTAGGTGATAAGTGTGACATTTGGCAGCATGAGCTATGGTTCGTGCTGGATTCAGGGTTGTGCACATTTGGCATGCACCCAATGAGTGCCATAAGCACAGGGAATGTATTAACTTTTTCAAACTAGGGTATGGAATGTTTGTTTGTTTGTTTGTTTTCTTGACTTTTCCTCCCTCCCCCTCACATCTTTCCTTAACTCAGGTTTCTGGAAAGCTACTTGCCCTCCTTCTTGCACAAGTCCTTTGTTGGTCTTTGTCAACTCAAAAAGTGGAGACAACCAGGGAGTAAAATTTCTACGAAGATTCAAGCAGCTACTGAATCCAGCGCAGGTATTTGACCTTATGAATGGAGGACCTCACCTTGGGTAAGCAGATATTCTATAGAGCTGTACATTCCTTGTAAATATCAGCAAAGCATGTGGGACTTATTTGATTATAAACTCATCCTCAAATAAAAGAATGGACTTATTCCTGAGCAAGAAGACTGGACACGTGAAGTTTGAGAGAGTTTTCACCTCTCAGTGTTTAGTGCTATTGATTAACTCAAAATATATGCTGTTGAAAAAGACTGCTGTATCCATTTGTCAGTAATAGCAGAACAGCTTGAGGGATTTTGGGGGAATTCCAGCAACACTCCCCTGGAAGAAGACCAAGCATGGAAAGATGAAATCCAGAAAATGTCCAACAGTGGACTTGTAACAGACATCTTGAAATTTTGTCAACGAGTGTTAAGTTAAATCAAGTGAACAGTCAGATGTCAGAGATAGCAAATGAATACTGTTAAAATTAGATAAATCCAGACATAACCTGGTAAGTGTGTGAACCGTCCATCCTTTAAAGATGTAATGGCAAGGCTGATAAAGTGTCACTTACGAATGCTTTCAGTTTCATCTGCCTAACGATCTAAGTGGCATTTCAGATTTGTTTACAGGATTTCACTAGAATAAGTATTGATTAACGAAAATGAGAAAAGATGTGGAACAAATCCCTTTACTGTGTTTCTGCAGCTCTGTTTAAGAAAGAAGTTTGATCTCTAGTTTGCTCCCTCTAAACGCTTCTATTGCATCGGATTTGAGTAACTTTCTTATGAATCAGTGCTTTTTATAATAAGAACTAACACAGGATGAACCTCCATTGTATTTTTCTTCTTTAACTCAAAGTCTATGACCTGCAGATGCAGTGAGATGCACTTAAGCATTCTTAAGTGACACTTTATCAGCCTTGCCATTACATCTTTAAAGGATGGACAGTTCACACACTTACCAGGTTGTGTGTGCTAAATCTAGGAGCATCCATTCTGGGATGAGTGATCACTAAGAGCTGCTCCAAACTGTTATTGGTATCATAAGTTGTTGTTGCTTGCCATAGTGCATTGCAAAAGACTGACCTTTAAAACTGCAGTGTGCTATCCAAAGGATGTGCTTGGCTGATAAATAATTTACAGAGAACTTTTAAAATTAAATATTTTTCTTCTTCCTCACCCCAGTTGGACAGTGCCTATAAGCAGGAGGAAAGGAAAGCTGTGGTACATACTTCTCAAACAAGATTGCTCTTGTTTGCTTTTTTAAAAAGGAAGTGATGGTACGGATTTAAGGCTGCTTGTTAATAATTCAAATATTCTAAACTTGTGCCAGTCAAACTGTACCATAAGATGTTGTCATTGCTGATAGATGTGTCAGTAATGCTTGAAGAAGTAAGGATTTTCATGTGCTAATGCAAATGCTTTCTAGGCAATAAAGAATAGATTAAAATGAATAAATAAAAGCAGGCGATAGTTCTGGGAGGTGTTCACTAAGAGGCAGTTTCAAACAGCTTTAGGAGAGTATGTTTTTGCATCTAGTATTCTGGAAAGAGTGAATAAAAGAAATTCACACTTGTCTTGGAGTGCTGTTCGCTGCCTGCAGGACAGATGAGGCACCAGAGAGTTGATTGATGTTGTTTGAAGAAGCTCTGAAGCCTGTGAGGTTTTATATGCTCTTGTAGTTGTCTGCTTTCTGAATGACTGCATCAAGTTCCCACTCTACTACAAGTCTTGCTTTAATTGGCGTGGCCTTGAGTACGGAGGCAGTGACATCAGAGCACTCTCAGCAGTGACAAATAACTAGTGTTAGACTGAAAGCAGCAAAGGTGCAAAGATGAATGAATTCAATGGATAATAACTATCATATGCCTGTTTCCTCTTCTGTTCAGACAAAAGTGCCTTGCTTTAGAAGGAGAGTCTATCTGGGCCATATTTCTGTAGTGAATAGCCATTGTAAATTGCTTAGCTATATTAGTAATTCCTTATTTATAATCATTTGAATTCATTTGTAATCTGACAGTGGCCTGTATTCATTGCGAAGTCAGAGCCTGCTTGAAGTAAATCTGATGTGGTCATAATCTAGATTAGAATTGTTTAGCATTCCTTTCTGTAGCAGCTGATTGTTCATCTTTCTTGTTTTTTTTTTCTTTCCCTTCTCTGTAGTTTACGCTTATTCCAGAAGTTTGACACTTTCCGGATTTTGGTTTGCGGTGGGGATGGAAGTGTTGGCTGGGTTCTCTCTGAAATTGATAGCCTCAATCTTCACAAGCAGGTACCTGCTCCATAAACTTGGTTGGGTGTAGGAAGGAAGTAACAACAGCAGAGGACTTCTACAGATCATACAGCTGCAGTTTGCCCTGGGACTGAAGCTGCTGAAAGCTGACTATAACTGTGTTTTTGCAGTCATTTTCTGCAAGAAGCATCACTGGACTAATTGATTATTCTAAGTGCTCCTCTGCAATTTCCTTGCACAAGATTCAGTTTTAGAGTGGCTCTGAGTTAGTTCTGCTGTATTGTCAGCAGGAACTTATACTTGGAAAGAGCTGCAATTAGAAAACAGGGATTTCAACTACAGTAGCAATTCTCATGGATTCCCTTTAATTCTCATACTGTTTCCAAGCCCTGGGATACCCAGAAATTTCATTGGAATAGAGATGTCATACAGCGTTTAATTCATTTCCATTTCTTCTTGGAGATGGCTATGCTAATTTCACAGAAAAGGCAATGTCGCCACCTGATGGTTAAATTACTCCATCTGTAGGATGCAGTACCTCTTTTTAGCAAGGTGCTCTGAACAGTAGTGGTAATACACTCCTCACTCAACTGATAACTTAAAAGCAGAGAGAACTTTTCCTTATTTGCAAGCTCTTTTGACTGTTTTCTTCATCCAGTTGCTTCCCCTCCCCCTGGGACTAGCTATTTCTCAATAACCAGTATTTGCAAGGAATCAGTCATGTTACTTTTGGCTGTTTGTGGTTTGTGCTTTTCCATTTGAATATCAATATTTGTTTCCTTTTCTCTGATGCAGTGCCAGCTGGGAGTGCTGCCACTGGGAACAGGGAATGATCTTGCTCGTGTATTAGGCTGGGGATCTGCTTGTGATGATGATACCCAGCTCCCACAGATCCTGGAAAAGCTGGAAAGGGCGAGTACCAAAATGTTGGACAGGTGAATAATCAATGCTGAGCTGCATCCGTTGGGCATCTTAGTAATTTCAGTTTGAATTTTCTTTGATAATCTGTCAGCTTTTATCAAAAAAAGGTAGTCTTGCTTTCTCTGTCCCTGCTGCAGAATTGTAGTAAGGGAAATGGGTGTCCAGAAATCAGCCCACTTTCCTTTAGGAATGCAAGGTCAATTACAGTGTCTGTGCTTTCTTTTCAGTGCAGTTTTCTTACTTTTGAGTGGGACTTTATTTTGGAGTTAACCTTGTTCCAGAGTTCTTGTCAGTTTAACTTGATAGCCTCACATATGATGTTTCAAAGTGGTTTTTCTTGGGAAATTTGAAGCTTGAGTTTGGCTTTTAAATGAAAGCTGAACACAGAAATGGACATGTTTATCTCTTGATATAGCCTTTATATCTTCTTACATTTTTAACTTCTTGTCTTTAGAGCTGTATTTTGGCCTCTAGCATGTTGACTCAAGTAATCCCCATTGAATTGCTGTGAGGAAGGGAAGAAGTAAGGAGAAGGTGCATGTGCTGTGGCATAGTTGTTCATAATTCTGTTCCTATCTCTGCCCTTGGTTCAGCCCCTGTGCAGTTTTAATGCATCCCTGTGACTTCCTTACGTCATTCATGCCCCTAACAAAGTGCTCTTTATCTTGCTTGAGTTTTAAACCAGTTAGATCCTCTGGGTAAAGGAAGAAATCATCTGCCATGTGGTGACATCTATTATGCCTCCTTTTCAACAGGTGGAGCATTATGGTGTATGAAACCAAACTCCCTCGGCAGGCCTCCAGTTCCACAGTCACTGAAGATTTCAGTGAGGATTCGGAGGTACTTTGCAGGATGCAGAAAGGGCAGGGGTCTGGGAGTAATAGCCTCAGAATGGACAAGATGAGAGGCAGTGGTTGAGTTCAGATGGATGTCATAGGACCTACAGAGATCCTGGGGCTTTAAATCAGTGAAATATTAAAGAGGAGGTTGAGGTTAACCAGAGTCAGCAACCATAGCTGGGGAGTGCTTTGGGACAGGAGAGAGGAAATAATTGGCTACTCTGCTCTCATGACATTATGTTGTTGAAATTGCAAAACTGCATAGTAGTCACAGGAATTATAATCTACTGTGGATTTAAACACTGGGCTTTAGAGCTGCTGAGAACTGCACTGCTGATAATTTCTAGGTTCAGAATTAGTTTCTTCATCAAAATATAGTCTTCAGTTGGTAAAGAAATTCTGAACCACAGAACATTTTCAAGGCAAGAAGAAGCTATATAGTGATAGGTACTCTCTGGGGAGCTGGACATAAACATTGTGTGCTCTGATTTTGGGAGGCATTACCCCAGTGGCTTGTTTCTGACTGTCACCAGGTGCAGAAGATTCTCTTCTATGAAGACTCTGTTGCTGCTCATTTGTCCAAAATTTTGACTTCTGACCAACATTCAGTGGTCATCTCCTCAGCCAAGTGAGTACTTAAAAGAGAATTATTCTAAATGAAAGTTGCACTGTGAAGATCCCAAAACAATCCTTGCATGACTGTGTTTTCCTTACCATCTTTGTCTAGGGTGCTTTGTGAGACAGTGAAGGATTTTGTGGCTCGAGTAGGGAAAGCCTATGAGAAGGCAACAGAAAGCTCAGAGGAATCAGAGGTCATGTCCAGGAAGGTAAAATTGAAAAAATGGTTACGGCTTCCTATTCTGACATTGAAAACTGTTGTTTTTAGAGAAATAGGATAGCAGCAGTTCAGCAAGCTCTAAAAGCTTGAGCTATCTAGACTCACTATTAGTCCTGCTTAAAACTTCCTCTTCACCCTGTAGTGCTCTGTCCTGAAGGAGAAGCTGGACTCATTATTGAAGACACTGAATGATGAATCTCAAGCATCTTCATCTCTGCCAAACCCTCCTCCCACCATTGCAGAGGAAACCGAAGATGGTGACGGGTCAGGCAGTGCTTGTGATTCTTCCAGTGACCGGTCAGTGGGCTCATCATGTACTGCACGGCCCCAGATATTTCGCCCTCGGGAACAGCTCATGTTGAGAGCCAACAGCTTGAAAAAAGCCATTCGTCAGATTATAGAGCATGCAGAAAAAGGTAACTTGTTAGGAGTCCTGCTTGTGGCTTATTGTGAGCTCTTGAGAAGTATGTGTTTCCATTATTCCAAAGGAGAGCAGAGTTCTTTACTAATAACAGCTTTCCTAAGCTGCAGAAGCTGTTTGTTAGCCCTGGCTGTCTAGTTCCATCTCTGCTAAGCCCACCTGTTTGAAACATTGCTTGGCAAATGAGTCTGAAGTTCAAGGTATGTTCTCCCCAAAGCGCTGGTTTAGGAAGTCACTACCCTCCCACACTCTGTTCATTTGGGTTTCCTGTCTGTCCCCACCCATACCACAACTGTGTCAGTGCAACTGTTTGTGTGGTCTTGCTGTAAAACAGATCTGAAAATACTTGGGAAGAAAGTATTTTAAGTATTTTTACTTGGATTGTTTCAGAAATCTCTTTATAGTACAGCCCAGCAAAACAGTGCAGTGGTACAACTGAAGGGGCAATGAACTGTAGGCAAGATAGAATGCAGAAACTTCTTAAATGAGCTTTCTTACTGATAAAATGTTATAATTTTGCACCTTGATACAAATCAGTCCTGTTCCTGTGTTAACTTCCTGGGCAAGTGATTCTCTTCTTCTCACCTTGGCCCTTGTTATGACCCCAGCCACTTACACCCCTAGCTCTAAGTTTCATTTCCTTCAAAAACCTTCGGTCTCTCAGATGTTAGTCATAAACCGGGTGGTTTAACTTAGACCAAAGGAAGTATGTAACAGCTTCTTATTGGAGATAAAAGCATTGAAGTTGCAGATGTTTGTCCACGTATACCTGAATATGCACTGTAGAGAGCAACTATGTAGTGAGTTACAAATTTTTGCAGTGTTATGGATTTCCAGTGCTGCATCATTGTGTGCAGCCCTGCTGAAGGTGGAGATATATGAAATGATGGAAGTTGAGCAAACAGCCTGCTTCTCTGAAGTAGAGATTCTGACCTCAGTGCTGCCTCACTTTGCTGCTGCTTACCTTGTGCTGATTTGATGCTTTTTGGAGTTCTTTGGAACCCAATCAGTTTGCTTAATCCAGCAATACTTGTTTGTTTGCTTATTTATTTGCTCAGTTAGAAGGTTGGATTTCCTGGTGGATAGTTCTCATGAACTGCAAAGTCAGCACAAGATGGGGGAGAGGCTCTGAAAGAAGTGGTGAGCTGGTAGATCAGCTGTACCCTGTGAGAGATCACTTAGGAGGAAGCATTGTTGTTTATATTTGATTACTTAAGCAACATGCTAGCTTTAATTTTTGCCAGTTCTTGGGCAAACTTCAGTTACATTTCAGATGTATTTATTCAACTTGTCCAAACTGTTTTCCTTCTTCAAAAGAATGCGATTTGATTATTTTCTTTTGTTTGTTTTGTTTTTTTTAACCAAGTTCCTCCTGACCATATGTGTCTAAGAGACCTTTTCAAGTGACTTGTCTTATTGCCCTACTACAGAAAATTCAGTTTGATCAATCATTTAATGTCCCACTGGTTAGAATTTCTGGCAGCATCTGAATGGGAATAAGTGGAAGCCTATTACTTGCAGCACAGTTTGCATCTTGGGAAGCCTGAATTAAAAAAAGGCTTCAAGTTGGATGTTTAGAACCTCATTGCTGAAGCTCTGTGCGGAGAAAGCAAAAGACTAAGCCATCCCAGTTCCAAAAGCTCTCCAAAGCAGGATTTAGGTGAGGCAGATGATACAGGAACACTTTTTGTTATTCCTATACTTTCATATAAGTAATCCACAGTAGGATGGGACTCTAAAGAACTTATTTCTGTCAGTGGGGATGTTTTCTCTTCCTAGAAACATTGTAATCACCTACTTTCTCTTTCTTCATAGCTGTAGATGAACAGAATGCCCAGACTCAGGAGCAGGAGGGCTTCCTCCTTAGTCTCTCAGCCTCTGAAGAGGGCAAGGAGCTAAGGAATGAGGACAAAATCTCCCTGCAGTCATCACACAGCAGCAGCTATGGATTGTCCAAAGGAAGGAGCCAGAGGAAAGGTACTGCTTCAGGGCTGCTACCGTGCAGCTCTCACCTGCGAACTGCAGTTCTGTTAGTTGTCAGAAGTGAGGGATATGTTACATGTATTACCTTCCATATTCTGTTCTCTACTTCTTAACTTCAGTTGCTTGGCTTTGCATATTTCTGTGTTCAGCCTTGTGTTCATATGCACCATTTTTTGATATGTTGCTAGTCTAATTTCTTAGCATATGACACCTAGGATTCCAAAATTTTCTTACCACTTAGCAGTAATCTGCATTCTCTTGGCTTCCAGTGCTTGGACAAAAATGGTCTTGAGAATTTTTCATTACATCTACCTGATGATTTATCTCTGTAAGCTCCTGCCATCCTTTACAGATGGCAGGGAACAGAATACAGTTAGTTTAAATAAGTCTGTTATGTGAATAATTTTAGAGGTCCTCAATCGCTCCAAGTTTATTTGGAACTTAACGGAGTATGAACTGGGAGCCAAATATGCTGTCTGTCATGCTGCTGGCACCAAAAGATTTTTCTCATTTCTATTTCTAATAATTGCCTGTCACATTTCTGCACCTCTAGTCTGAGGTTTTCTGGCTGTACATATGCCACATCTCTGTCTCTTCATGACAGTTTCTGTGAGCTCTTTTACAGTGGCCAGAGTGTTGTTGTCATTGACTGATTCTTAACCCAGTCTCACTGCTCAAGTTGTGCTGTTATGTGCTGGTCTGAATCACATCGTGTTTGTCAATAGCCATGTTTGTGTTATGTTTTACAGCATCCAAGTCTCCTTGTGAAAGGCAGATAAGCAAAGGAAGTTTATCACTGGGCAGTTCTGCATCTCTTCCTCCCCAGACAGGAAATCGGGACAACTTGCCAATGCTGAACACAAAAATCCTCTACCCAAGTGAGTCTAATACCACTATTCATTCAAGCAGCCCACTGGAGTATGGGTGACAACAGCACAGGCTTCAGCCTCTGCATAAAACATGAAATTTTTCTGCCTGATGTCCTCTTGCTGGGTCCACTTGGAAATAAGTCTCTTTGTAGATAACTTTCCACTAGAACAGAACAGTGGAAGCATGGAGTGATTGTAATAATTTTCAATACAGCTGAGACCTAAACACAGATTCTTATTAACACTGTGCAGTGGCAGAATTTATGTATCAGTTACAAGGAGGATCTGAGCTCAAAGGGAGTTTGAGAAGGCTGATAAGATGCCAGGCACCTGAAAGAAGTTTCTGGAAAGTGGCAGCTGTGGACTGGGAGCAGTAATCTATGTGAAGACTGCACAAACCCAGCAGAATTCCAGCCTCATACATCTTGTGTAGCAGCTTCTCTCCATTGCTCTAGTGCTGTCCTTCTACCCCTTCCCCCAATTACTGGTTCAGACTGATTCTTCTGGAAGGAAGCTATTTTCTCTCTCTTTGAAAAAGTTAATATTGGTGTGTTGCCAACAAATAATTTTAGAAGCTGGAGACAGTAATTCTTGGGTGACAAGGAGAGTAATTTCAGTCCTCCCCATCTCCTGCTCCGTGAAGCAGGGTGTTGCATGTCTCACCCTGGAGCAGAAAACCTACTGTAGTGAATATGCTGTCACTGCCCATTCTCATGTGTCTGTATGATTATGCTGTTGGCCTCAGGTGACATCGTGTCACCCAGCAGGCAGTCCCATAAAATCTTCTTGTTGAGAGTGCTGAGCCTTCTGGAGTAGAAGAAAGCAGTATTGCTAATTGCTTTCCACAGTGAATGATTAGAGAGTTAACGTAGCCTGAGACTGAAATGACATATTTTCAGTTTATTTATTATTATGATCTTCCCATTGCCAATTTTCCTGCAGATATCCGTGCTGGCATGTCCGGGTCTTTGCCTGGGAGCTCTGTCATCAGTCGTTTGTTGATCCACGCTGATCCCTTCAACTCTGAGCCAGAAAATCTGTGAGTATGCCCAGTTGAAGTCAGTGGGCATTTCCAAATGAACATCAGCGTTGTGCTGACAAGTAGAGACATTTGGAGAGCTAAATAATGGACTGCAGCAACTCAGAGTTATGTAAATGAAATCATATGCTGGTGCCAGTGAAGGTCATCTTATGTAGTTATTATATATGCAGTGACATGTGAGACTCACAGTAGAAGACTTTAGGTTTTAGGTGTGAGAATGAAATCCAAATCAGTTTTCCCCCAACACTCAGAGATTACTCCAGCTTTCAGTGAGCAGGCAAGAAGTTGTGTGGGAATCAGCACCATGGAGGTCAAAGAAAGCTTCTGGATAGGGCACAGTAGGTCAAACAAGTAGCAAATGTGATATGAACTCTTTCTCAAATTGTTTCTGCTAAATTGTTTAACAGTAAAATTCAGTTAATGCATATGTAATGCTTTTTTTTTTTTTTTTCCTCATGGGATTCAGTATCCCTGAAATTAGGTTACTTCTGACTTTATTTGTCAGGCTGTAATTAACATCTAATATATACATACTTTAGCAATTAGCACTGCAAAATGTTTTGTGTGCCTTTTTTTCAACTCCAGTAACCAGGCATGTAGCTTTTTATAACTCAAATGTAGACTTTGGAGTATATTTTTGGTGGCAAGGGGAGAATTCCTCTACAAATCTTATGGCTGTGAAGTACTCAGATCAGAGGCTGCAGACTGGGGACCTCTGCTCAGTTGCCCTTTTTGTGGTTTTAGGTTTTAGGCACTTCCCAGCAGTGCTCATCTGACACGTTAGCATGCAGCCTTCTTGTTTTCCACCTTTTTATACAAGGGAATTATTAGGTGGCCAAGTGGGACACATGAGATGTATCCCACATGGTTTATAGACTTAGGAGTGAGAGTTTTGGGGTTGTATTGTTTTTATTTGACAGTGAATGTTACACAGAGAAGTGTGTGATGAATAACTACTTTGGGATTGGACTGGATGCAAAGATTTCTTTGGACTTCAACAACAAACGTGACGAGCACCCAGAGAAATGCAGGTGGGTTTGATATTGACTGAAAATTGCCAGAAGTGAATTAAATCAGTTTATGTTTTCATATGTGCTTTTGAAGCCAGTTGTCTGGAAATATGCTGAATAGATACATCATCAGTCCCATCTGTGTGATCTTCTGTTTTGAAAGTTAGCAGGAAGGCTTGAAATCATGATGGAGGAGTAATTTATTACTGATTTATTATGCTGTTGTGGATCTTTGAGTAGCTACATCAGTGTGGATACAGTGCTTTGGTTCTGTTTACTTTGTAATCTCACACACAGATTTTTCTCCTGGATTTACTGTTTAGCTCAGATAAGAACACATCTCAGCTTTAAGTGCTACTGGGGCTGAATTTGGCCTTGATACTGAATTAATACAAACAAACCACTGTATCAGTCGCAGGCTTTGGCCTTTTAAATACCTGGACAACTAGAAGATGATTTGTATAGCATGGGGTTGGTACATTTTTTTGACATGAGCTAATGTTGCAAAACACTGTTGATGTCCTGGTGTATGAGACTGACCCCTTTTGTGCTGTGGGAATCTCTTTTTGTGTCTGGTAATACATGTTACTCAGTTATCCCAAGTTCCTACATGACACTTTTTTTCAAGGTGAATATTTTCTTATCATAAGTGATGGTAATTTTGAGTGTTGGACCCTTTTGGAAGGGTCATTAGTATTTTAGTATGTAGGAGGTGCCATTTCAAACTATGGATGCTTTTGCCTCTGAGTGAAAAAGTGACCTGCTGACCCTTTCTCTTTTGTTTTGCTCCCTTAGAAGTCGTACTAAAAACATGATGTGGTATGGAGTATTGGGGACCAAGGAGTTGCTACACAGAACGTATAAAAACCTGGAGCAGAAAGTGTTGCTGGAGGTGAGGAATTAGCATATCCTTGTCATGCTAGAACTGGAATACCTAATTGCATCTCATTCAGATCCTTTGATTTTTGGATTTTTGGCATGGTGATTCTCCTTGCTGACTAGGATGTTTCCCTTGCCTGCTCGATGCAGTGTACTTGCTGTATCTTTGTTGTAGCTGGAAGTGGTTTTTCCTAGTTCTGTAAAATAACTTGTATTCTCACCCATTATAAGAAGCAATGTGTTGGAAAGCAGTAGCCATCCCCAGCTCCATGTTAAGCACGGGTAGGATTGTTATATGTGGTGTCTCATGTGAAGACAGCATTTTAGATGGTGTGAAGGAGAGTGTTTTAATTTAACTGTGCTTATAAGGCAGATCAAACAAGAAAAATAATTATTCCTGTATTGGCCACCCACAGCATAAATGACTGTAACAGGGAGACCCTCATCTCAGCAGACTGATTGGTAGTTTAGAAGTTTTATTCTCCTTTCTGGAATAGACTAAGAGGCTCTGCCAAGCCTCTCAGGTGTTCCTTTTGCCTGTCTGGGGTAAAGAAGCAATTGTCTCTCTCTACAGCCTACCTCTGCCAGAGGAGAGGTGGTTCGTGAAACATGAATGAATATGTTCTTTTACCCTTTAGATGGAAGAGTAAGCTGAAGAAACCTGAATTAATTTATTGCTTAGCTGTTCCATACAGGCTGTTTTTAGAATACATGCAGTGGCAGAAGACATTCTTTACTGCTGTGCTGAGAGTAATGATGCCTTCTTTTCTGTGCAGTGTGATGGGAGGCCAATCCCTTTGCCCAGCCTCCAGGGAATTGCTGTACTCAACATTCCCAGCTATGCAGGAGGCACCAATTTCTGGGGTGGAACGAAGGAAGATGATGTAAGTATTCTCTTAAGATATCTCAGGAAATGTTTTAAATTGATGTTGCTTATGGAGTCATGGCTCCAGGACACAGCTGAGAACAGAGCTTTGAAGAAGAGGACAAGGGGCATGTCTGCCTGTATTTCTTTTGTGAGTTGGAAAGGATACTGAAAAGTCGGTATTCAGCAGCTTTGCACCCAAGCAAATCTGTAGTGATTCAGAAAGAAACCAGAGGCTGTCCTGAGCACTTCACTTCCAAGGACTGTGCTAAATTTTACTAAGAAGATAGTGAAACAATGAAACAGGTTGCCCAGAGACACTGTGGGTGCCCCATCCCTGGAGGTGTTCATGACCAGTCTGGGTGCTGCCCTGGGCAGCCTGATCTAGTGAGGGGAAACCCTTCCCATGGCAGAGTTTGGAAATGGATGGGCTTTAAGGTCACTTACAGAATGGCTTGGATTGAGATTTTATGAAATTGACCTTTTTCCCTCAGTCTGCATGAGAAGTAAAGCCCCTTGAAGGCAAAGGGAGCTGGATCCAGTCAGAAACATTGTATTATTTGAAATGAAAGAATTGCCTATTCTCATAAGAATAATTATTCCCTTATGGATACAGTTTTTGTGTTAGAATTATACTTTCACTGCCATTGGAAGCACAGTGGAAATATTGAAGCTCTTTTTATCTTTCTGGTGTCACTGAAAATCTTCACCTTCTATCCTCATTGTTGATTCTGTGCAGATTAAATAGTACAACTGAAAACTAAGCCCTAACTCTGTACCAACAGGGGGAAAAGGAAAACCTCTCTAACAGAGCTGTATGTCAATTGAATTCTCCCTCCCTTGTGTTTGACTAGACATTTACAGCCCCCTCCTTCGATGACAAGATTTTGGAGGTGGTAGCCGTGTTTGGTAGCATGCAGATGGCAGTCTCACGAGTGATAAACCTACAGCACCATCGGATTGCACAGGTATCAACTGCTTTTATGAGCTCTTCTTGCCATCTGCACCTCCAGCTAGTGATGTTTTTGCCAGTTTCATTCTGTAGAGCCTTCCTTCGTGATAAGATCCACTGGGGTTAAGAAGGTGCATATTCAGGGGCAATGTGGATATGGAGTTTTATTCTGGTGTTCATTGTGAGAGGAGTTAGTGGGCATTTCTAAATACAGATAGTCCAAAGACAGAGCAAATGATACCTGCGTGATCTAGTAGAAATAAAGCTACAGTACCTGAGGAAGTGTTTTGGAATGAGTGTTTCATGCTTCTGGAAAAGCAGTGTTTCTGTATTGCAATCATTTCTTGCAGTGTCGTACTGTGAAGATAGCCATCCTGGGAGAAGAGGGAGTTCCTGTCCAAGTGGATGGAGAAGCCTGGATCCAGCCTCCAGGTTACATCTGGATTGTTCATAAGAACAGGGCACAAACCCTGACCCGAGACAGGGTAAGAGCTGCCTTGGATGCACTGTACAGCACACTCGTGTGTTCTGATGTCACATGTTCCTGCAGTGTGTCAGTGGCCACACACAAAAGCTTATCTTGGTGGATGCAAGAAGTAAAACTTTCTGGAAAGAATATGATTGAGCTTGCATTCACTACTTGGGGAATTGTATAAGGAAAGCTTTGGCAAGTTTATTTTGCATCATTTTTCTAGGTGCCCTGTGACACAAGATTTCTAGCCAGTACACTGGCTAGATTCAACTGTTCAATATTTTGATTTCTCATTATTGTTCAGTATGTGACTTAAACCTCCTTTGCCAAGAAAAGTGTGTCTCATGCCTGGTTCAGCAGCCCATCTAATTTCTTAAGTTTTAAATATGTCTGATGAGTACTAGCACGTAAGGAAAGTCTTCTTGCTATTTTAAGGTATTACTGAATGGTGGGAGAAGAGAGAAGGGAGAAGACAAAGGAATTGTTGTAGTGAGAGAGCTCTGTAATTGTCCATTGATAAACAGTTTTGTTGCCAGAAGTTCTTGATAGTTACCAGCATAGCATGCTTTGAGGGCAAACTGAAGTCCTCTGCGAAGGACACACCTGCTGAAAAACAGCTAAAGAGAGAACAACGAAGAACAGAAAAAAAGGGAAAGCAGCCTGATACAGACCAGGGACATTCCCTGTCGAGAAGTTGCAAATATGATAGGGTGAAAAGAAAGGCAAGGTAGGCCTGCAAGGTGCCTGTCGTGGTAGGACAGGGAAATACCCAAGCCCACCCGTTAGCTGGGAGGGAGCAGTGGATATTGGCAGATGTTAGGGTGGAGGAGACAGAAATATGTGCACAGTCTTCCCTGGGGGGACAGAGAGCTTCTGCAATGTCTCATTTTTGAGAGGGAGAATGAGTAAGATAGCACAGAGTCAAGTGGAACAGGAATCCTGCTGAAAAGGTGGGAGAGGGAAAAGGAAAGGCAGCCTATACATGGGTCCTAGTGGGAAAGAAGAAGGAAGCACAAAAGGCAGATGGGACACACGTGTCCCTAGAGTGTGCTGTGTGTATTGGCCTAGCTGAAGCTATTGTTGTGCCACCCCACTTCTCCCTGCCTGCAAATCAGGTTCTGCAGGCATGGAGCTGCCAGTGATCAACAAGTTTCAGTTTTGCAGAGACATTCAACTCTTATCTTGACCACAGGCTTATCCTTATGTCTCCTGCTGTCCTTGTGATTATCACTGCACACCCCTTCCTTCATGACACAGAATCAGTCTGTCCTGTGAAGTAGGTGAGGTGGGGTCCTGTTTTTGAATGTGCAACCTCATACCTCCGGTAGCATTTTTCAAATATGATATGGGATGTTTAGTTTCTTCTAAACTGAAGTTGGAAAAACTCATGTTACCTCTTGGCCTTATCTAAACCACTGAAGAGACATCATCAAGACTGAGATCAGCAGATGGCTTCTACAGAGCTGACAAAGCTTGTTTTTATCTTGTGTGAGAAGCAGCAGGGGAAGGCAGTGCTTTACCTCAGGACTTCATAGGTATTTGCAAATGCAGGAAAATGATGTGTCCCCAGGGCAATTGTGTTCTGTTAGTCACTGGATCTTCTGCTTCATCTATTTCCTCCCTCCTTAGCCCTGTGCTCCTGACCTAGTTTGTGCTCATCTCACTTGAATTTCCAGACCAGGATCCATGATCACCGTTTTCTTTTCCCTTCTCCTCTACCCATTACACTCATTCTCCTTTCCCTTTCTGGCTCCACAAATTTCTGATTTTTTTTCCCCTGTGAATGGTGTGTACCCCATGTGTGTTACCCCCTCTTCTCTGAATTCTCCCTATTTTAGTCGTCCCCTTCATGATCCCTTCCCCTTTCTGACCTTCTCTATTCTGATTTCATGTGCTCCTTGATCCATCTCTCCTTGGCAAGAGATGCTATGTGTCAGTTCTTGTTCTCACCATATCCAGTTTAGATCCTTCTGCATTGGATCTGTTTTGCTTCTGTTCCATCAGCACTAGCTGATGGCAGCAGAAGGCTGCAAGTAGGACAGGCCCTAGCTCTGTGTTCAGCTGCTAGTCCTGCCCTTACTGCAGAAGTTCAGTTTACTTCCAGATAAGGAAAAGTCTTGAACATTTTTAATTTTCAGCTCTGAGATGTAACTTGGAGAGATGTGCGGTAGTTCTGCTGTTCCCTCCTTCCCCCAAAACTTGTAATTTGTCCAACTTTATGGATTTTTGCTGAAAAACAGAAGACACTTTCTTGGGGACACATGTCAAAAGTCAGATTCCTGCTGCAAAGTGTAGAGGCAGTATAGACACTCAAAACAAAGACACTGGGGAATTGGGGTCTGGCACACAGAAGTGGACTAACAATTTTACTAAAATAAGACTTAAATAGAAACTAAGCCAAGCCAAGGGAGTGACATGGAAAATTTCTGCTCAAACTGCTAAAGTTAGCAAAGTTACCAACAGCTGAACAGCAAAAATTGACTATACCAAACATGCATGTTTTACAGGCATTGGCCACTTAAAACCCTTGTGTTTCATAAGAGCTTTATCTGACAGTATCTTGTTGTTGGCTTGCTTTGGTTTTTTTTAGGCATTTGAGAGCACCCTGAAGTCCTGGGAGGACAAACAGAAGTGTGAGTTGTCCCGACCCTCCTCTTTCTCTCTGCAACCAGAAATCATGTCCGAAGAAGAATCCACCCAGATCAACCAGTTTGGTCAAACTGCAGGTGCTCTGATCCACAGGTGAGGCTCAATTTGCTTTTGGTGAATAAAGCTGTTCTCTGGTGCCTAATGTTCTTGTCCTGCATTTCTGTTCACTTTTATCTTCTACCATGCTAATCCACGTTGCTGGGAGTTGCATTTTCATTATGCACTATCCCAGCTGCATGAGGACTGAAGTTGAATAGACTTTCTTAAGTTACTCTGAATAAAGTATATTTTGAGCAAAATTATGAGCAAAAAGGGATCACTGAATTTTGAAACAACCCAATGGCTTTGATTGTCAGTGACATCAGAAGTGAAACGAAGTCCTCTCTAGGAGCTCCCGTGGCAAGTTGGTTTCGTGTAGCCCTAATGCCCAGCATAAGGAAGATGTCACTTTATACTCATCCATTACTCAGATATTCTGCCCCTTGGTCTGGGTTTTTGAAGGAAAATGCCCAGAGTCATACCAAAGAAATGTCAATTAAACTGCTGTGTGCGCAGCGGCCTTTTAAGTCATTGCAGTCACATTAAAATATCTTGTTGCATTTCAAACTGATTTCAACTCATGCACAGAATTGAATGTGTGTCTGGAATTGTACATGTGAAATCTGCTTTGCTTTGCCTATGCATGCTCACCATAGAGGGGAGAACAGCCCTGCTTTGCCAGAGAAGACTGTGCCTCTCTGTACCTGTCAGTCTGATGTGTATCAAAGGAGATACCCAGTCTGAAAAGATCTCTTGCTTTGAGCATATGCTGATGCAGTCTGTAATTCTCTCTTTAGCATTCGGGAAATAGCCCAATCCTACCAGGACATGGAACAGGAGCTTGCCCATGCTGTCAATGCCAGCTCCAAGTCTATGGACAAAGTCTACGCTAAATCCAAGTCTACCGAGGTACTTCACTCCCTTGGCATCTTTCTTTTGGTTCTTGTTCTGTAGCACTTGGTATCCCTTTCTGATTGACCAAAAGTAAGTCTTGCTTTTCTAAGACTTCTTCCTTTTGACTGCTCAAACCTCTACATTTCCAGGCTTAATTTGCATGTGAATTGTTTCCTGTAGGGTCTGAACTGCAGCCTTGTTGTAGAGATGGTGAATAATGTCAAAGCCCTGCATAATGAGACTGAACTACTGCTGGCAGGCAAGATGGCACTGGTAAGAAGCACAGAACAGGAGTAAAGCACAGCCTCTCACTTCCTCTCCTCTCCTACTGTGGCCGTGACAACAACATTGTATTGGTCGTGGTCATCTTTGTAACAAGTAAATTAAAATGTCATACAGGAATTGGAATGGTGTTGCTGGATAGATATGATGAGCATTCAGGCTAGTTTGCTTAGTTTGGAGCTCAGAAAAGATGCAAATTATTAACTTGGCAATGTATGAGTGGGTTGGCTGCTGTGCCTATCCTTATAAAATGAGGAGCTGTTCTGACAGCTAGGAATTTCAAGGCGAGGATATGACTGTATGTTCCACTGTATGGCTTTTAACTCTACTTTGCTTCTATTTCTGATCCAGCAATTAGATCCTCCCCAAAAGGAGCAGCTCCAAGCAGCCCTGGCAGACATGGACCTCCAGTTGAGGAAACTGGCATTGATCCCTTGGCTGTGGCAGCTTATGGAGCCCTGTGATGAGGAGGTGAGGAGGACCACAGCTGTATTTTCTTAGCTGTTTTTCACTACTTGGTTGTGTTTGACTTCCTGTGAATATATGACTGATGTGAGAAAAAATTATTGAGAAGGAAAGTTGACTCCCTAAGACTAAGGAAAGTTATTTCCTGCTAATGTCCCTTGACTGACTTGGGATCAGCTTTCTCTATTTCCTTCCCTGTCTCGGTGAGAATGAGTTTGGAATTTTTTTCCTCTTTTGCAAGGTCATTGACCTAAGTTTGACAGTTCTTGTTTTTGGTCTGTTCCAGTGAAATTATGTATGTTTTCTTCATTTTCTCTCTGTTCCTATAGAATCAGATGCTGGATTATTCTAAACGCAGCCGCAGCGGCAAATTCCGGCTGGTGACCAAGTTTAAAAAAGAGAAGAACAACAAAAATAAGGAAACACATAGTAGCATGGGATTGCCGGGTACCAAGTCTGCTCATGTGTTGTCTCTCTCTTTGTTGTACCAGTGTGGTCACAATACTTCACATTCTCTCTCTGTTTCTTCTCATGTTTTCTCTCTCTTCTGTTTTCACTTGCTTTTGCCTTTTCTTGGAATGGAATCTTTCTGACATGGCAAAGTAGTTTATTGCTGTGTTCTGAGTCATGATCCCTCAGTACTAAGCAGATATTTCTGAGCTGAAACAGGAGGTACCCTCTGAAGAGTTCTGCCTACATCTGGTCATTTTCTGGGATATTTTTAAGGAGCTTAGTGAAGAGAATTTGAGGATTTTGGCATTTTAGGTATCAAAACGACTGTGGAGCCCAAGTCCGCATAACTCCAGTCTTTTCACTACTGATTCTCTGTGATGTGGTTAATGATGTTTTTCTCAGTGACTCACTTTCAAGACTTTAATCAGGTTTCATGTCTAAATGGCTGGGAATCAGCATCACCAGGTGCACCCTGACCTTTAATCCTACTGGTCAGTAGATGAATGCTGGCCATGAATCAACAAAATGTCAATCAGAACACTTTCTCTCCAATTGGGCTACTTGATTTTTGGTTTATATGCTACTTATCAAGACCTCCTCCTAAAATTCAGAAGTACTATCTGTTCTATGGGTCCTTTCTTCTGTCATGGAATTTTGGGTACAGTCTCCTGTCTAGCATGCTGGTGCTCATTCATTGCCTCTCAGAACTTGGGAACATTTTCCTTCTCTTATTTAGAGGCTGTGCAAGAAGGTAGAAGACCAAGCTTTTCCTCACACTTTAGGTAGTGGGGTTGCTGTTTTGTTTACTGAGCACAAGCATTCATACATAGAAGCAGTACATAATAGCAAGCTAACCCATGCTTGATTCTTGATCTTATTTTATGACCATTTTGTAAGCACAGGGATATCAATGAATTTACTCTTAAGCATGGGGATAAATTTAATTAAAAAAAAAGAAGTAGTATAAAAGAATATTCAATGCTGTATCAAAACAAACATGCACTTTGTCCTGGCTTTACTGCAACTACAGCCTCTACTTAAGAGAAGAACTCTGATCTTACTCTACCCTACCTCCTATGTTTGAGGCTGTAGGTTGTGCTACAGATTCTTTCCCTCCCTTTGTTCTGAGGCTGTGGTGTACTGCTTGCTGTCCTCTGGCACTGAGTGCTGATGGTGTCCTCACTTCTCACTTTCTCCTGGGATTCTGGGTACTCAATGCACTCCTGCTTTTCCATCTCTAACAGTTCACCTCTGGGGAACGGAGGAGGTTGCGGCTTGGCTTGAGCATCTCAGTCTTTGTGAGTATAAGGATATCTTCATCCGGCATGACGTCCGGGGCTCTGAGCTCCTGCACCTCGAACGGAGGGACCTCAAGGTACTTTCATGATTGGCTCATCAGAAATAGCCAGCTCCATCTGCATGACCTTCTGTGCTGAATGTGCTTGGAAACGGTCTGCCCGCTGGTTACTCACGTGTCTTGGCAAGATGAATGGGTTCATTGCAGCCTTATTTCATTTTCTTGCCGTTTCGGATCATCTGATATTTAATAGCATAGGGGTAGGAGGTCTAGCTGAGAGACCAGCTGTGTAACTCTCCACTGTTTACTGGAGATGGAAAACAGTCCAGCACACAGATTGCAAAAAGCATTCTTGAGAGTTTTAAGTTTTCAACTTCTCAGCTGCTGAACCATCTTTGCAGAATACGTTTTGATTGAGAAAACTTGGGTCTTGTGTTATAGTCACTGGACGAATAGGTCATTGCACTTCCTTAAAAGAATACTGCTAGATGGAGAGAACCTCCTAGAAATAGTACTTAGTTAGGATATTGCACAGCTTTTCTTCTCATTGAGATATGCTTTCACCACAGAGGAAAATTGAAAGTGGTGGTTCTTTGCATGTATGAAATAATTTTGTCATCATTCTGGTGACTTGTGTATGGCCTAAATATATTTTGACCTAAAGTAGTGCGTGGCATTAGTTGGGTGACCTTTAGATCTTCGTTTGTGCTTTTGACCAGCTTTCTGTTCCATGTTTTGCTCTAATTTGTGTAGCTGATCCCTTTGCGTGCCGTCCAGCTACAGCGTGTGCTTTGTTGTGTAGTGCCTGAGTGTTCACACATTTTTTGGTGTGACCATTCATCCGTTGCTTCTTCCTGCATGTGTTTGGCTACCAGCTTAGGTCCTTGAGATCTCTGTGTGCTTTCTTTTCGCATGCTTTGGCTTTTAACAGAACAATTTGCATTTCTGGCTAATGGTCTGCGGTTGTTTCTCTCCGTTGTTCTGTGCCTGCTCTGCTCATTACCCTGTTGTGCTCTGATAGCTTTTTGAAATGTGATTTGAGTTTCCGTGTGCAACCATCAGGTTTGTAACCTTTCTGGTTGGTTTCCTTCTCTCTGTAACTCGCTGACTAGTTTGTAACTGCTGCTTTGTGCCCTGGTATTTTTCCCCCCTTTCTCCACAGGTAAGCTTTTCTCTTGTCTTTCAGGACCTGGGTGTGACCAAAGTGGGTCACATGAAGAGGATTCTGCACGGGATCAAGGAGCTGAGCCGGAGTACTCCTGCCAGCGAGGTTTAGCCTCTGTTTTCACAGCCTGTGTCTACCATTCCCCCTAACTGCACAGCAGTCACCTCACAGAGCAGATGTGCTCACAACTGTCTCCACTGAACAGCCAAATCGCAACTGTTCAGAGCTCATATCAACCAAGCATGGTGCTACCTTTCTTTCCTGTGGGGTACAGCTGCATCCATTCAAGAGGCACCTTACCTGCATTCGGGCAGAGCCTCCTGGGAGAGAACTTGCTTTCAGTTTGAAGAACTGTGTCCTCCAGTGTGGGAAGTTCTGGTTCCAGTGACAGTGACAGTGCAGGACTCCTGAGAATTGCAACACAGCTACCTTTACTGGATAATTTCATCACAGTACAATTATTCAGGGCAAAAGATACATTGGCCAGTCTTAGTTCAGAAGCATCTGACAGTCTTTTTGAACTGAAAACTTGCCTGCTCATCTGTGTGTCATATCTGTAGCTTAGAACATTTAAGTGGAACAAAGCCTTGTCCTTGTCTTACTGATCCCTTTTTAACACAACTGTAGTTGCATGTGATTTGTGTCAGAAATTCCAAGCCAGTACAGACCTCTCCTTGCTGATGAATACCTATTGATCTTCACACACACATCCCTCGCAACTAACAATGCACGTGGTTAGAGCAGCTGCACCAATGTGTGGTCTGCTGCTGGGCCTGGCTCTCTGCTCACAGCCAGTCAAATGGTACAACATTGAGGTTTTCAGGCTTCACAAACAAGTGTTTGGAAGTTACTGATGCTAAGAAAAGACAGTTCTCAAGAGCTGAAAGATTACGAGAAGTCAGCTCTGACTGCATTCATCTTCAGGAGACAGATGAAAGGGAGAAGAACACTATCTAGCTGTTTGGGCCATGCAAGAAATGTAATGGAATGAAGTGAGATGTGGAACAAATTGCTCCACTTCAATTTGGGGAACAGCATGACTGGCAGCAGCCAGGAGTGTCTTGCTGTCCATTTGGTGCCACTGTGATGGCTGCAGACAGCAAAGCTCTTGCTTTACTTCTTCTTGCAGTTGCAGAAGAATGTCACAGAAGATACAGTCTATCTGTAGTATGGGCATTTTTCCACCTGTCTTGGTGGAAAAGCTGCTAGAACCTTGCTTCTTTCTCTTGCTGCCTTGCTCCTTCACTCCAAGTTGGATACCAAAAGATTAGGGTGGCTCAGTCCTCCTGGGTTGTACCCCTATGGGAGCAACCATGCTATCAAACATCAGGGCTCATACAAGAGCTATGAGAGAAAGTTGATTGTTGCAGAGCAGAAAAGCACTGGAATATGCTGGTACATAGCCTTTGGTATCGCCAACAGTGGAGTATGGAAAAATCAGTGCCTCTAAATCAGAGTTTCTAGATGGCCTTTAAACTCCTCTGTACTGCCAGACCCCAGTTGGGTGACTTACAGCCCAGAGACCAGCATGTGTAATTGTATTGCCATGTTTATCACTGCAGAGCAAATTTGGGAACATTCAGTGCTATAAAGGTGGAGAGACAGCAGGAATTTTCAGTTACTTTGTAATTTTGTATGTAATTATTTTTTTTCTAAATTATTACAGTGCAGCACTTGTCTGCTTTTGGCTGCAGACAGTAAAATGTTCACATTCACAGTGACAAAAAAAAAAAATAATTTCCTGAGGACATCTATTTCCATTATTATTGCTGAGGGTTTATTTTGTCAACTTTACATCAGCTGTGTAGTCTGACAGCAGTCAGTCAAGTTATTTTATGTCAAGACTTGTCTGTTTCAAAAGGTTGCAGGCTGATTTCATGCTGGGCAAACTCCATTGCAACCTTTAGGATGTCACCAAGGGTAGTTCTTACTCTTCCTATCTTTTTTTAGCTCATTCATTCACCTACATCTCTCTTGGCCTGGTGAGTTGGCAGGGTTTGCACATGAAAAGTTGGAAGACTAAGCATGCTTGAACAAGCTAGCAAAAATTCTGGTATAAATACCGTGGGGACCAAGAAAGGAATAGGTTCAGCTTTTCCATAACTGTGTTCTTCATATCTGTACATCAGCAATTGCTTCACTGGCTGTACTTTTTCCTTATCAGTACAAAACTGTGTCACTTAGCAATGTGCATGGCAGGGAAGTCTGCAAGGGAGCACAAGGCTCTGGAGCTGGGCTGAGGTCTGTGTTTGCTCCTTTGGATGGTGATGGAGCTGTGAAGTTTCTCCAAGGAACCTCATGTTTAAAGTCCATAAGCAGTATACACTTGCCTTCCATCTTTCCTGGTGGTTATGTTCTTAACAGATAGGGCTCCTCTCTACTCTTCCTGCTGAGAGTAACAAGGGAATGCAAAGAGCTTTACACATAGGTGTGTTCCTTATTAGTGCTGTGCCTGAAGAGGCGTCCTGCCATCCGCCCTGGTGATGATTCCTGCAGAGATGAATCTTCCTTTCTTATACATTTATAGTCTGTCTTGTAGATAGGTTCAAATGCTTTTTGTGCAGGTGCACCTTTTATCAGAGCATTCATAGCCAGTCTATCCCTGCCTGTTATTGAGGGCAAGGAGGGGGTTCTACCTTCTTTTAAGAGCTAGAAAATGGGATCTATATTCAACCTGAGTGCCTTTAAATATTAAGGTTTCTGCCTAACAGAAGGGTTGTAGCTCTCTACGTCTCACTGAGAATAGTGCTGATTTCTGCTGTAGAGATGTGAGCAGATGAGGACAATGTGTCAAACATCAGTGAGAGCTTATCTGCAAAGCAGGGAGCCGGGCTGAATTCTGGCCACGTTCATCTGAGTTCCTCTTCTGCTGTCCCATCATTTCTGTTGTAGGAGAGAAACTCAGGAAATACAGACAGTAAAAAAATCTGCTTCACCAAAAAGAAAGAGACTCTCCTGCAGTCTCAGGTAAAACACCAGCTTGAGAGAAGCTAGAACTGCACATACCACATCTCTGTTTAGTCTCCTAAGAAGTGCTACTGTTGTGCAAGCCTTGTGCCACCTGCTGGTTATCAGCCCTCACGGCTGGCAGTGAGTGGGAAGGAGCTGAGCAGTGCCCACAACAAGCTGTGCGTACAGCTCTGTGCTGGGAAGAGCTTTCAGCCCATTATCTCACGTTCTGGCCCCAGAAATTCACCCTTTGTGGCAAATTCTGGGGATTTGGCATAACCCTGTGTTATGATGGTGTGGGGTTGCAGAGGACACCAGAGGGAGGCTCAGCTCATGGACCAGCTCCTGTTCCAGCCCTGCTGAGGGCTGTTAGTGCTGATGCTGTCTTCCAGGTTATCTGGTGGGATCTTTCCCTGCTGGGAGCACCTTGGAATGATTCCGTGCCGCGTTGTATGGAGAGCTCCATTCATTGCTTCAGTAGGATTTCCATTTGTGCATACTGTTTCTGTGATTGAAAAAGACTGTTTACAAAATATTTTGTATCTTAAGCTGCGCGTACTGTAAAAAGGAAAGGATGGAAACGGATGTTTTTCTACACCTGTCAGCAGTGACTGCATGTCTGTGTCATCATCCAGCAACCGCTGTTCCTCAGGGGTCTCCCCGCCGTTCTGTGATCCTGTTGGAAGCATAGGGAAGCACATGAATCCCTGTACAGTCTTGGGAAGAAGGTTTTGTGCCTTAAGAATGGGACCTGCTTCCCTCCTATTTATTGTGTTAATTTATACAGTGATTATCACGGAAATGTCTCTTGTATTATTATTCTTATTATTTTTTTTTTGTACGTAGTTTACTGTTGGTTTGTTGTAAATAAGTTTTTCTTGTATATAAAGTAAACATGTTTCTGAGCTTCCAGGAAAGATTCTGTTACTGATTTTGTTGTGTGAGAAGGTGGTGCCCACCTGGTGGGAGCAGCTAATAAACGTCTGTGCTGTGACAGATGGCTTTATCCTGAATTGCATTGGGAACACAGAGCTGTTCCCTGGAGAGGAGTGAAATGGTAAATGCTGTTTATTGCAGATCACTTTTGTCTTGGCTTAATTGCTGCGAGGTAGAAAACATCATGCAGATATTTGTTGGTGGCTCTCTCTGCAGTGAGCAAAAGAAGAGGGGTTTGATGGTTCTGCTGCTGCTCAGCTGTCTGCAAAACCAAACCAGGAGGGGAAGGTGCTCTGAGATAAAGCCCTGTGTCTGAATGCTGGTTATTCTGTCCCCTTTTGTGCTGTCAGGAGTGAGCAGTGAGGATGCACACGTGCTTGTTGGCATCAGATCTGTACGGTGTGACCACACTGCTGTCGTTGTGCAGTAGGATATGGGCTGATGCTCTGCTCAGGCCGCTGTGCTTTCAGTTCATTGCAGCACGCCCAGTAACAAGTGAGAAAACAATTGCAAAGATCTGGCAGAAATCGATTTCTCGTGAAGTATGGAAATGCACTGCCATAAAATGATGCCTGTACACTTGAAACTAAAGGATTTGGGGGTGTTTGGGTGGGCAGTCTGTGTATCACACTGCGGTGAGCATTCCCTTCAATCTGTATGGATTGATGTGTTTGTAAGGTGCTGCCAACAAACTGTCAGCAGATTGCTTTTAATCTGTGAGGGTGGTCACAGAGTTCCATGATAGTTTTGAAAGCAGATGGAAAGTAGTTTATGATTGCATTTCATCCGTGAAAAAAAAGGCCTTTGCACTTCTAGTTAAAGGGAAGGATTTATTTTGTTTGAAAAGAATCTTGTTTGAAGGTAAGAGGATCATTATAAAAAAGGTCATAGTGATGTTATACACTGTTCCAAGATGAAAATGGTAAAATTCATCATTAAAATGTCAGCTGTCTCATCTTAGGAATAAAGAGGGAAATAAGATGACTGTCTTTGCTCTCACACGCACGGTGGACTGGAGTGTGCAGCTCTGCACTAAGCATCACAGAAACATGCAAAGAAAGAGCAGAGAGACAGAAGAGCTGGTCGCTCCTCTGATGCAAGTTGTTCATTCTGGTCCTTTTGGTCATTCCAAAGAGGAGGAAGCTCTTGGCCCTGCTCAGGTGTCCTTGCTGTGCTGTCAGGCTGCTGCTCAGTGCTGCTGGCCCCGTGGTTTAATTACAGCCATCAGACAGAGCTTGGGAAGGTTGGCCATGGGTTTGTGTGCTCTAGAATTGCCAATAAGATTTCTATTTTAAAATATTTTCTCCTGCTTTTTTCTCTTCTTGGTCGACGTGTTTTTATGTTGGGATTGCTGACATTTGTTCTTTTTCTGTTCCCCCTGACTGGGCAGCATGGAAGCAAGCAGGTTCCAAAGCAGCCCTGTCCTTCCTTACCTGTAGAGAACCTTCAGGGCCATAAGGTACATTCCTCATTTGTCTGTTTTGTGTGAGTGTTGGGGATGAACAGTTGTGCCCCACCATGGGCAAGCTGTGGTGTTTCTGATGTGCACAGAGTGAGGAAGTAATGGAAATTAGGGTTTAAAATACCCCATAATTGTCTAGCAGCTTCTCTCTGGAGAACTCCAGCATGAGCTGGCTTACCTTCAGGCACTGAGTCGTAGTGTCTGCACAGGAGAGGAGCAGATGGGAGGCATTCAGCCTCTTGTCCTGTGTGAGCAGGCTGCCAGAGCTGCTCAGGAATTACATCCTTTCTGAATACTGGTGTAAGATAAAAATAAAACAACAGAAAGGTTCTTAGCATGTGACACATCACTTCTAAATGTTTTATGTGGACAGTTGGTGTGCTTGTCCTGAATTGCAGTTCACAAATCTTGCAAACAGAAATGTGTTCAAAACATGCAAGTTATGCAGTAGTAAAGCACTATTTCTATGTAGTTACCTCAGGTGCAAATATTATTTGTGTGGTAGAACAGACGTTAATCCATTTGTTTCTTCTTGAGCTTCCTGTTATGTTTCCTGTCTTAAGATGCATTTTATAAAATGTATTTTCAGCACACATGTGTGGTCATTAATCTCAGCTGAATTTTATTGAGTGGCTGAATCAAGGTTGAAGAATGTATCAGCAGAGCTCCTGTGCACACATGGCTGCAGTTTGGATGCCATGAGCCCAAAATTGATGAAATTGATGGGGGAAAAAAAAAGCACAAAATGGATTTGAAAAGGCAGAGAGGACAACTGTTTCACTTTTCCATGCAGGTAAACTGTCGAGCTCCCCCTGAGCACTGTTTGCTTAATGACTAAAGGGAAAGCACTTCATGTCACTCTAAAAAGTAAATAGCTGAAGTTATGGATTAACCCAAGTTCCAGCAGAGCTCATGGCGGAAGAATAAATCACGCTGATTCACACTGAATAAAGCAGTAAGTGCCTCAAAGATATCATATCACTCAGGGTTTCAAAGAACAGCTTAATTTAATTAAGCATAAAACTTGTCAGAAGCGTCTGATGGCAAGGGGAGGTACTAGGGCCAATAGAGAATGCTCTGGGTGAGCTGCTGCTGGGTTGGAGGGATCTGGAAGCAGGCTGGGGGGCTCTGACAAACCACGTTGGAGCTGACATCAGGGAGAAACAGCATTCTGAAGCTGCTATGTGATAAAGAAGTGAGGAAAACCTGAGCTGCCTGAACAGACCTGGCCTCCAGCATGGGGCCGTGCTGCAGCTCACTGCATGCTCCCCTTCACACCTGGATGTTCTTCCTAGGGGACTTCTGCTGCAGCATGTGGAAGCTCATCACTATAGGGGTGCTGCTGGCTGCCTGCTCCTCACCAGTGTGCCATACCTCGAGTAAGTGTGCCTTCACCCCATTTTAGTCACTGTGAGCATGATTTCTGCTCCCTGCCAGCTGCTGATTTTCAGGCTGCTCTCTTCCCTGCTTCCTTACAACCACGTTTTTGCTTGTAGTATTTTACAGCTACAAGGATGCAAACCAAGTCCTGAAAATCCAGAAGAGGGCCAACTCTTTCCTGGAGGAGATGAAACCAGGCTCTGTGGAACGTGAGTGCCGTGAGGAGGTGTGCAACTTTGAGGAGGCCAGTGAGATATTTGAAACCAAGGAAGCCACAGTAAGTTGGAGGAACAGAAGACTAAACCAATAGATTGTTTGTCAAAGCACTGTAGCCTGGGGCGTAGGAGGTGTTGCTGTCAGCACTCCTGACTCTGAAGGTAGGGGGCATGGTTCTGAATGTAATGTGTTGCAGTGATTGTCAAGTTATCACTGCTTGTTTGGGCTGTGGCACTTGGCTGTTCACTTATGTCCCACCAGACCCAATTTTGTGCTTTACATCCCAATCCCTGCTTGACTGCCTATTCTTGCTGCCACTGTGTTTTTGTTAGTCTGTATGTCCCCGGACTCCCATCTGTGCCAGGCAAACATTTCTCATATCACTAGCTCCTCCCCACATCTCCCAGCCTCATATTTTCAAATGCACATAACTGTAAACATCACTGGTTGCTGCCCCTTCCCATACCTCGTCAATGAGTATGAGTTCGTTTTTTGTCTTTTTTTTCATAGAGTCTCACTGTTGCATCAAACAGTGGGCTTGCTATTTAGGATGATCCAGTGCTTGCCATTCCTCAGGCTCCAGAGTCTTCTTACAGCTTTCCCAGTGCCCATTTTGCCTCCCAACTGGGCACAAATGTAGTTTTGCACTGAGAACACAAGTGATTTGCCTGGCAGTGAGCAACCAGGAAAGGGAATCTGGGGAGATACTGAGGGGTTGTGGTGGTGGGGGGGCTGCAAGCAGGGCAGGGGAGGTATGTGCTGAATAGGGTCATGGCTGCAGTATATGAATGTTTGGGGTTGACCACTTCTGTTAACCATGTATGTCACTGTGCTGCCAAGAAGGAAGAGACCTAGCTGACTAGAGTGCTGTGCTGCGTTGACCAAGAGTGTGGTACATTTCAATTCCCTTGTAAAAAATCTGCCTCTGGCCTTAATGTAGACTTTGTTTCTCTGCAGCTAGAGTTTTGGAACAAGTATGTAGGTAAGTGAATTACTTTCTTAATCATCTGTCTGTGTTTTTTCAACGTTAGCTGGTGCTCTGCATTCTGCTGCCGTGTGTCGCTTAGTAGTTTGTATTTTCATTCTCTGTTAAATGGGGCATGCAACATATGTTTTCCAGTCCTATTGTATAACCAGCCTCTTAAAAAATCTCGCGTGCATCTGTGCCCATTATCAGTCACCTCCCAAAGCTAAGGCACCGGGCAAGAGTGATCTCTGCTGCTCTGACCCTGCCTGGCATGGCCCAAAGGGAAGTCCCACTATTGCTCTCCATTCCTGCAGTAACTTGCCTCACCCTGGATGCCTCAGGTTTTACTTTCCTTCTCCCCACTCCACTCCTTCTGCAGCTGTAATTCAGAGCATAAACAACTGCCCTTATCTGGGCCAGCCCCACAATAACCACGGTGTGGAGGCAGAAGCTGTGCATGGTGCTTGGGAATCAGGGATCTGCTTATTATGGTGTTTGCTCTGAGCCAGAGCTCAGGGACTAAACTGTGTGTTCCAGATGGAGATCAGTGTGCACAGAAGCCTTGTTCCAATGGGGCCTGCAAGGACAATATTGGATCATATTCCTGCATCTGTAACAAAGGCTGGGAGGGAGCTCAGTGCAATTATGGTAATGCTGTCTTTAATCCATGATATATAAAAAAAACCATTCTTTGTGATGGGGATCTCTGCGTTTAGGGATCAACAGTTCTGCCATTGCAAGGTATACTTGCTTTCACTACTGGTGTGATTTCTCTGTTACTTCATAATGCAGTAGAAGGATCATCAGTGCTTACAGAAGTTTGTGTTTCCATGCGAGAGGTTTGGAAATCTGAGAAATCTGTGTTTTACAAAAACACTGGAAATGGTTCTGTAAAGGATCAGTGACTTTAAAACAGTCAGTACAGGTGAGTTTGGTTGGTTGGTTGGTTTGTTGTTGGTTTTTCAATAGAGAGGGAAAAACAATCCACTGAAAATGTCATTACTGAGACGATGTCTTCCCTGGAGAAAAGCTGAGTAATGTATTTAATTATGAGCATCTGTATCTTGTATCATCACCACCTTCCACCATCGACTCATGCTCAGTGACAGAGAATTTTCTGTTCTCCAGCCTGCCTGCCCTGACAGTAGTCTGGGTTCTTCATCTCCCCACTGCCTTATTTGAGGTCTGTTTGCTGTCTGAAGGGCCCTACTGCCACAAGAACCAGCAGCTCTCACCCCAAATCTGCTGTCGGGTGTTAATCACTTGAATCAGGATGTCATTTTGCCACCTCCTGTGACTCTTTGACTCTCCAGCTCGTCCTGTCTTTCTTCTCGTTCCTTTTTCCCAGTGGTCAAATACAATAACTGTTCTGTGGATAATGGAGGATGTCAGCATTTCTGCAAGGAAGACCCTGCCAAGCAGTGTCGCTACTGCAGCTGTGCATCTGGCTATCAGCTGATGAACGACCATAACATGTGCACACCTGTAGGTAAGAGGAGGATGTCCATGGGAGATGTCAAAGAGAATTATTTGGACATGAAATAAGAGGCTTTTAAGGAAAATATGCTTGCAGTGCACTTCGTACTAATCATCCATTTCGTGCAGGGTAATTCTGTGCCTCTATTTCCCAAATCCATACCCACTTTATGGCCACTGAGAACCTAACTTGTGCCTGTGTTTGCCTCATGGAGATTCACAGGGGAAACAGGAAACTACCTCCTCTACAAGCATTGAGGAGTTCCTGAAGACAGTGTGTAGTACTGCCTGGATTAGAGACAGAGGGGATGCTTTGGGAGATGTTCTGTTGGGTGAGCTGCTCTGTGCCAGTTAATTTCTCTGCATTTTCTCTAGTCGAGTTCCCCTGTGGACGAGTGAAAATGGACTACACTGAAGGCAAAGCAGAATTCAATATTCGGCTTATTGGGGGAAATTCAGGAGGAAGGGGCTTTAGCCCTTGGCAGGTAAGGAGTAAAGTGTCTTTCTCTGCCTGCTCCAGCAAGACTCCTTGGTTTATAATCCTGGTATCACATCAAGTTGAGATTTGCTTAGCTGAGCTCTTTCAAAAGTAGCCCAAAATTTGGAGGAATAGGGAGAAATATCTGTTAGAACTCTTGGCCTTGTCATTGTTTACAAGATTTTTTTACTTTGCCAATAACGTTGAGAGGAGGATAGTGGCATTTACTGCTCTGTTGCTTCTTGCTAGGGAATGCCATTAATCATGTCATGCTGCCTGGTGCTCTCTCCAGCTATTGTAACAGCATTACTGTGGGAGCTGGAGGTAATCTTCTCCCCTTTTTCTGCAGAAATCTTTTCCAATAAGCCTTGTCTGTCATAAATTCAAGTTATCAGGTTTAATCAGCCACATACACAATAGCTTTACAGAGCAGGCTGAGATGCCACAGAGAAAAAGGAGACCTCACAGAGTGTGTCATGGAAGTAGTGAATGTTTGTCATCAGGGCCTGCCTGTGTCTGATACTGAAGGCCCTTTTATGCCATCATAGGAGAGTTGGAGCCTGAGATGAAACTGTTGCCATGTGCCCTTTTGAAGTGGCATAGCCTTTCCTTGCAGTGACCAGCGTTGTCTCTTGCTGGTGTGGGTAAAGCCAGCCCTTATTTGAGAGGAATATTGAATTGGTTTTGTAGATGTTCTACAGAAACCTTAGTACTTCTGTAGAGCTTGGGCTTCAGTGAGCACGATATGCTTTGGTGTTTGATGAGTGTGTGCATATTTCAACCACAAAGACAAATGCATACTATATCTTGTGAGCCATGCTTCCTGCAGTGTCACACCTCAATATTTCTTTGTTTCAGGTTATGCTGCAAAATCTGAAAGGGAAATTTCTGTGTGGAGGTGTTCTCATCCATCCATCTTGGGTCCTAACAGCTGCACACTGCGTTGAGACAGGAGAGACTCTCAAAGTAAGACTTGGTATGGAAAAAATCCAGCCCTTTTTTTTTTTTAAGCACTTCTTTGAAAATTCCCAGCTTACATCACCTCGGGAGAAAGACCAGTGGGTTATAAAGGCAAAAGTCCCTCTGGATGGAGAAGCAGGTTGTCTAGGAAGTACTTAGCATGCGCCTTAGCACAGATCAAAAAGGATTCGTAAAACTGATTTCATTTGAGCCACTGTCAACCTTATCATGGAAGTGAGCTGATGTCTGGAGAACACTGCTGATTGTCTGTATAATAGAAAGACTTAGAAGTCACTTTTGAGAAATCTCTTCTGCTTGTGCTTTTCTGTTGATGAAAATATTCCAGATTGTCCTAATACTGGGGGGGAAAAAACTTCCCCTTACAAAATGTAAAGCCTTGAGCTCAGGAGGAAAATGTCACAGTGCCTCTTCCTACCTTTTGATGCATTTAAACAGTTTTACTTGAGATAGTTACAGTAAAAAAGGAGGAAAGTGTTGCAGAACTACAACACTGCGTTACTGGCACTGCTACTCTTAAGCATGAAAAAATCTGTGCTGAATGCAGTACTACTCAATAATCAGAGTTCCATTCACATTTAAGTAGGTTTGTTTTTATTACTGTTTTCTCTGTACCGCTGTTGAGACATGACAGGTTTACTGCTTCCTTTTCCTTTAGTGAAGAGATGGGTTGTTCCCAGTAATTGTGGAAAACCTTGGAAATGTACTGTCTGTGTGCATGGATGTGCACACATTTGAGACCTGAGACACTAGGACACATATGGATGGGTGTGTTTATGTCAGTCATTCCTTGTTCAACATACAGGATGGATGGAGAAACATGTGATATATCCTTGGGTCCTTTTAGTGCTAGAATACCCACTTCTTCCACAGAGAGACATCAAAATAGAAGTGAATGTCTAGCTTTGAAATTCTCATACAGACACACATCTCCAAGCACTTCAAGTTTCTAAGTTATTTTCTTGCTTAACATACATATATTCAGTTATAGTGACTCCCAAGAAGCAAAAGCCTGTAACTTGGTAAAGAGCCTTGGAATGCTTTAGGGAAAAGCAGTCATCAGATGTGGTGTTTGAATCATAGAATCGTAGAATCATAGCCTGAATTGGGTTGGAAGGAACCTTCAAGCTCATCTAGTTCCAACCAGCTTGGGAGTGCTAGATGTAGCTTTGATGTTACTTGAAGGGGATTCATTAGTGGCAAAATCAGAACAATTAAGGTTGTAAAAGACCTCCAAGATCATTTAGTCCAACTGTCAACCCATCACTATCACAGGCACCACACCATGTCCTTAAGTGCCACGTCTACCCTTTTTTTTAACTAGGGAGAGTACTGAGGCTGCAATGAAATCACTCCAACCTGGCCTTATACTGCAGGTCCTGGCAGGCATCTGTGCAGTGTGACAAGCTTTCAGCTGGGATAGAAACTCTGTCCAGAAAGTCACATGCTAATCAGATACAAAGATGGAGCATAAGTGATTTTCCACAGAAGTGTCAGTGCTTGAAAGCCATGGTTTGAGAGATTTTTTTTTTTTTTTTTTGCTCAAGAAAAACTCAAGAAACATCTCACACATAAATTTAGGGCAAGTATACAGACTAATTTACGGTGCAAGGATAATCAGCAATAAGGGCTCAAATTTATCCCACTCTCCCAGCTGCCTTTTTTCCTCATTAATAGAGGAAAAAACAGATGTGTGGCTGTGAACTGAATTGTGGCATATGTGAGAGGACCATTAGACCTGGAGGAATCTTACTGTGGTGAGATGGAAACCACGTAAGTGTGGTTTACTGTGGTGTAGGAGGCAGTGGAGAGAGGGTGGATGTGCAGAACATTTTGAGTCTTTACTAATAGAGAAGAGAGAATGAAGTTATGCTCCTGGTCGAGCAGAAAGGAACTTTAAGACCCACCTAAGCATCACATGGTTGTCCTTTTAGATGCATCTTTGTGGCACTTTACTGCAGCTAGGAAAGCAGTTCTCCTCAAAGGATGCACATTTTCTATACCCTAGAGATGTCTGCCATTACAACCTTGAGATATGTGAAACAGTTTGAGTGGAGACATTGCCACGTCTGCAGGTGCAGATGTGAGCTCTGGGGCAGGAATGAAGGTGTCTCTATTGGGACTGCAGAGGTGGGACCTGCCTCCAACCCATCAGTCTTCTGGTCTCGTCCTGTTGCACCTTCTGTTCACCAACTGTAAGAACAAAACTGGAGGCTCACATCTGGGTTTGCACTCATGATCTTGGAGAGCGAACTGGTAGCTGGATTTGTTCATGTCTGAAGTGGAAAGTTAGATCTCAGAGTAGATGTTTGGAAGATGGATCTGAGAACATCCCAAACCTCCTTCCTGTGGCACTTGTTCCTGCATGTAAAGCAGAGTTGTATGTGTGAAGATAAGAATAGAACCCTGCCCCTTACCCTTGGATGTCTGCCAGTCAGCCCTTTGTCACAGCAGCTGCAGGGTGGGAGAACAGAGCAAGATGTGCTCCCAGGGTGCTGCTACCACTAAGAGGAGTCAAGATGGAAGAAAAACACTTCTTTGTGAGTGATGGCTTGGTGATAAGAGGTCCTCTAGGTGATCTCTAGAGGGGTTTGAGCAGTCTGAACTGCCTACTGAGGCCACTAGCTGTCTGCAAAGGAACAAGAGGAGAGGATCAGAAATAAGGGGTCTAAAAGTCCAAGATTCAAAGCTGGACTTCGTGGAGTCTTTTGAGAATCTGTTTCTGGAGCTGCTCTGGATTATGAAGTCCCCATTCTTGGAAACACACTCTTACAGAAAAAAGAAAAACAGACAAGAAACACCAGCAGCAATACCCCACTGACAGGCTCAAGCATGGCAGGTGACCTTGGTAGTGCAAAGTCAGAGGAACTTTAAAGGTTTTGTTTGGAAGGATCCAAGTAAGACTTGGGGAGGGAACTGAAAAGTTAATTGGAACAGGGCAAACTGGAAGGACGGTGTGGTGAAGCCTGCATTTGGAAAGGTGATGATAAAGAGCAACTTCCAGCTCACCCATAGAGGGGCTGAGGTGGAAAGCACTCTTGAGTTTGCTGAATGAATGAATGGATTCCCAAGGGAGAAGTATTTTTATCAGGTACGAACTGAAATTGACATCGAAGGTAAGCTTAAATAGCACAGAAATGCAACTTTTTTGTGGCCATTTCCTCACATCCTATCAGATACCTTTCTTCTCCATTGTATCACACACAAATGAATTGTTCTTCCCTTTCTGGCCTCTTTCAGCTTAGTTTCCAGCTTATTTTTGCATAACTGCTCTGCTCATGAAGTGGCCGCGATCACGCAGCACAAATCGAAATAGAGGAGTCTTAAGTGGTCGAAGAATCCTTAAGATACAGGTGCACAATTTTAGAAAGGGATGGTGTTATCAGTTAGTCACATTTATCCTTTAAAACCTGAAATTCAGACATTCAGCTGCTGGTTATGCAGCACAAATCTCACATATGATGTAAATGTCTTCCTTTGCTGTGTGCTGGCTGTGCTGGCTCCTGGGCAGCTGGGTTCCTTCCCATGAAGATCTCTCGAGTTACACAGGTGTGCTATAATAAGAACACAGCAGGGCAATATAGAGGCAGTTTCAGCTTCTCAGCTGATCACAGCTGCAGGGCATTAACTCAGTACAGCATGCACTCATGGCGTGGGCAGATCTGGAAAGTTCACATTTTGTAGAACGCTGTTAACCTTTGATATAATCCAGTTGCTTTGGTGATGGAAGTGAGGAAGGCTCCCTTTGTTCTGACAAACCAAAAGGTCCAGGAGCAGCTCTCATCTCTCTCTTTCCTCCTGCAGGTAAATACCACCGCCTCCGTATCGAGACCAGTGAGCAAACCATTCGTGTTGACAAATACGTGCGCCATGAGAATTACAGCAAGCTGACCTCCGACAACGACATCGCCATGCTGCACTTGGCAGAGCCAGTCATGTATAACAAATACGCCCTGCCCATCTGCCTTCCCACAAGGGACCTGGCAGAACATGAGCTGACAAGGAAGGGCAGGCAGATGCTGGTGACCGGTTGGGGCAGCACAAACGATGAAATGAGGAATTACTCTGCTCTCCTCAGCTACATCGAAATCCCCATTGTTCCCAAGAATGAGTGTGCCCAAGTGATGACAAACACCATCTCTGACAACATGCTGTGTGCGGGGAGTTTAGGAGACAGGAAGGATTCTTGCAGTGGGGACAGTGGAGGACCTATGGCCACTAAATATAAGGATACTTGGTTTCTGGTAGGACTGGTGAGCTGGGGAGAAGGCTGTGGAAAAAAAGAGAAGTTTGGAGTGTACACCAAAGTTAGTCAGTACCTGGAATGGATCCAGCACCACATACGTAAGATGTCAGGTTCTTGGAAGGGTTGATTCTGATGCTTTGAGCCTGGCTGTGTGCTGTGCTAGTGATGGTATGAGGTGTAATGTACTGTCACATCTACAATATTAAATGCTGAGTATCTGTTAACCTCATGTGGTACTTTCTCCAAGTTCTGTTGTTTATATGTAGCATGGTCCTGCTTAGGCCTTGCAGGCAAGAGATGGTATTCTGTTATACTGAGAGGCTGCACAGTATTGTAATAAGGATGGCCTGTGGTCCAACAGACCTGCCTGCTAGGTGTAAAATGACCGAACCCAGTGGGTATTGGGGAGAACAGCAGAGAGGTGTCTTGAGAAAAAAACGTTTAAAGTTGAATACTTCATCATACAGTTCTGTCATTTCAGCTCAAACACATCAGCTGCAAAAACTGTGGTGGTTTGCTTTGTGTTTGTGTAATTTGTCTTTCAACAAAGTGCAGTTTTCATAACTTTATCACTGCCTCAAATCATTCACATTTGAATCCAGGCTGATGTAGCAGCTCAGTAGATCTCCTCTGTATTTTCTGTTCCTTGCAAACACAGTGACTGATTGTAGCCACTCAGAGTTCCTTGAAAAGTCAGTGGGAACTCTGCTGTGACTTAAGAAAAGAGGTCTGATTGCAAATTCTTGCATGCTCCATTTATTGTCATGTCTGTAGATCTCGTCTAAGTAGCAAGCTAAGCAAACTCTTTTGTTCATTTCTATTCAGCTGCAGGCTGAATTAGTGTTCCTTTTACTTACTGATATTTTATGTGTGTTTCCATCCCTATCAATACTTCTGTTGATATGCCAGTAAACAAAATAGGGAAGTTGGAATAGTCTAAATGAAGTTGAGTACAATCACAGTTCCTACTTGTTTTTAATCTTGGCACACGAGCCTGCTCAGTGCAATTGGTCTTACAGAGAAAAGGGGAAACCAACCGTGCTGTAGTGGATGCAGGCTTCCAGCATCTCCTTTGGGATTTGGAGCCCTGTTTGTGATGAGATTCCTAAATGAAAGAACAACCCAATTGTATTAGAATTTGTAGGAAAATTGATATATTGATACCTCTTAGGCCTGTAGACTTGGTCTTGTTGACTTACGAGCTGCTCACATTTACAAAGCGAGCGGAGAAGTTGACTCACGCACACAAGAAACAACAAACAGGCCAACAACAAACAAAGTCTTCGTGTTGGAGGTAAGCTGAAACCAAGGAGTACCTCAGCCACCAGTCTCTGTCTCACTCCTGCTTTTTCTTTGTTTCCCCCTCTCCTTTTTTAATTTGGAATGAATTTAGGGACTGAAAGATGTTGAAGAATTGCACTTCTTTGAGCAGCAGCCTTCCAGACAAAACCTGAACCATAAATACGTGCCTCTGAGAAACCTTGCATTGCTACACAGTGAATTACAAGAACAAAATGGTGCTGTGTTCAAAGCCAGTAAGGCTGGGCTCTGACCAAGGGCAGATCTCCTGATGTCAGTGCACAGCTTTGGTTGTTAGCAGGCAGTGTTTGCCTGCCTGCAGGTGACTGCTGTGCGTCCACCTGCACAGCTTTGCATGTTTCAAAAGATGTTTGCAGAGCAGCTTTGTGTATTTTCCAGGTCACTTATCTTACCAGCTGAAAGAAAACAGGGGGTTCCAGAAATCTCCTCTCTAAAATACCAAATTCTGAAGGAGGTTGCTACAGAGAGGTGACTCTTATCATTGGGGGATGCTTTTAATGATCTTTCATTTCTATACACACGTGTAGGTGTGCAGAAATGTAGCATTTTCTTTGGATTTTGGATTGCGGGTGGGTTTCAGGGAATCCAGAAGGTTGTCTCTCCTCTGTCAATATTTGGCTGGTTAATGATCAACCTCATGACCTCACGGCGCTTCCTGGTGCGCATCCAAATCTCTCTCCTGTCGCCCCTAAAAAATAAAAGAAAAAAAAAAAGTGAGTATAAATGCATGTTTCTGTGTAAAAGTGAACGCATTCTGGATCCCGTTTTTTTGGAAGATGACACAGATAGCAAAGAGGTACGTGCTGTCAGAGCCCTGTAAGTTAGTTAGCCTGTGAAGGTAACAGGGAGACGTTTTTAGAGCCAGGCATGTGGTGCATGGTTTCCTAATCGGAGCTTGCAAATGCAGTCTTACTTGACAGAACTCTCCATAGAAGCCACTGTCATTGGAGACCACGGACTGTTGTGGAGCTCAGACCTCACCCACAGCCCTTGGCAATGCAGGAGGGGCTGTGGCTGGGAGTGCTGCTCTGGCTGGGCCTGACCCGTGCCTGCTGCCTCATCTCAGCTCCTCTGTCACTTCTGTGAGCTTTGGATCAGACCCTGTGCTGCTTTCTGGGCTAGGTCCATCGGTGCACATCACCCTGCAAACTGTTGGCATTCCTACAGTGTGCAGCATTGGCATTACTCGGAGAAACAATGGAAATCGCATCAAAATGAACTCAGTAGCTTGCTCTCTTTCTCTCTTTTCTTGTTCTTACTCCCTTTTGTTGTTGTCTTGTTTGCAGGCTGGCTGCCATTGCTGGCATTGTGGCAGTTCACCCATCTCATTCACCTTTTCCCTCTGAAGGAAAGTTGGAGTTTTCCAAATGCCTGCTGAGATGGAGAGCAGCTCCTCGCTGGTGATGTTCATCCTACTGATGTGCTCCATCAGCAGCAGCTCTCCATATTCAGGTGGGTAATTCTAATTACATTTTCATCCTAATTGACTTAAGAGAATCTCAGCATATTGTCCCGCAGGTTCGAGAAGCACTTCCTGAAATGCACTAGAGGGAAATGAGTACTTGGTTGTGTTTCCATGAGACATCAGCCATTTGTAACTTCCTTCTTAGACCCATGTTCTGCTTTTCCTGTACTGTCTTGTGACACTGAAACCCAAATTTGAATTATGATTTGCAATTATAGCAATATGTTTTCGGGCCTTCAGAAATTCCCCCAGCTTCGATACAAAAGTTGCACTTGTAAAGGTGATCAAATCTTTAATATAGCAAGAGATTTTAGGGATGAAATTAATGGTTCGATTTTGTTTTTCTAGTGTTCATGGGGAAAGATGCAGCGCATGAGGTGCTGAGGGTCCACAAACGTGCCAACTATTTTCTAGAAGAGATCCGCCCAGGGAACTTGGAGAGAGAATGCAATGAGGAGAAGTGCTCGTTTGAGGAGGCAAAGGAGATCTTCCATTCGCAGGAGAAAACGGTGAAAAAATGAACAGTGAGCTGGAAGGAATTTCCACCAGCAGATCAACCCAACACTAACTTCAATTAACTTACCAATAGGAAATAATATTCTGTCCTTTTCATTCCAGATCCCAATTCCTTAGTTAGCTGTAAAGGTACAAAGCAGGGAAACGTGCAGGGGGAAGCTTGGTTTGGGTGGCAGGTGAACAGGAGGAGGAGTAGATGATGCTCCTGATGAACTTGCTGCATGGGTGCTCTCATTCCAACACCACAGTGCCCTATTCTGGGACTACGTAATCCTCTTGCCTTAACCTGCTTCAGAACAAAGAGCTGCAGTATTTAGCACAAGTTAGAATGGCATTAATTGCTGCTCCATCCCCAGGGGAGCAGTGTGTTTGCTGTGCAGAGCGGCGTTGCCAGCAGCTGGGAGTTGGCAGAAAGGATTTCACGCATTGCAGCTCTCAGCTTTAGGCATCAAATCTGCAGGAATATCCAGAATGCTGTAAGGAACCTGGGCTGCTTTCTAGCCTTAGGTGCCTCTGAGCAGGGTCTTTAAAGAGCTGTGTGCTGGAAAACCAGCTGTACAGCAGCTGCTGTATCCAGCACTTATTTTTGTGAGCACCCCAGCAGCACGATTCTGGCCTTTTCAAAGGGCTCAGCCTTGCTCAGATCAATACAAGGTGGTGGAGGACCTTGTTCCCATAGCACCCAGCTGGGATGCAAGGCTGCAGGCATTCTGCTGGGACCCTTCAAAGCAGGAGTTTGCAGTTTGAGTTTTATCCCAGTTCAATCCAATTGCTGCACTCTGCTCCAGAGTGAGCTGCGTGCTGATAATGAAGAGGATTTTATGGTCCTAATCAAACTCTTGCTTTACATGGAAACAAAAATTTGTTTTCTGATAACCAGTATGGCTACTTAGTGACTGTTTTCTTTCATGATTTCTTCTTGCAGATGGAGTTTTGGTTCAACTACAAAGGTGGGTAGAACAAAAATTTAAAATAATTATTTCTCATGTTCCTTCTGGGTACAAAGAATTCTGTGGAAATTTAAAACCAAACATCTCTCAGTCCTTGGAATTACACTGTGCTGTGTTTCTTCTTAGGTTTAAATCCATGCACTACAAATCCTTGTAAGAATGGTGGAGTTTGCAAAATAAGACGCTACAGTTACTTTTGCATCTGCCCCCCGAAATTTGGAGGAGACAACTGTGAAAAAGGTGAGTAGAGGAAGACACACATGGACATTCAGTGAAGGAAGGATTAAGGCTGGAATTTGTTCCCTGGACACTTTTCATTGGGGTTGTCGATGCTGACTTCATGCATCTGATACATACCTGGTTGGTTGGTTAAGGTTAACCCATTAGAATGGTGTTTTCCTATGTGACACGCTGGGGCAGTGCCATCATGGAAGGGGAATCGTGTGACACTGCTTGTAGCTGTGTTGTGCACAGGAGGGCAGCACTACCTGTCACACAGCAGCTGCCATTCTGGACTCTTGCACTGATCTGTGCAAGCCCAGCGGAAAGCGTGTGCTCATATCTCCCACTTCCTCTCTTGCTGCCTTGCTTCCTTCCTTCCTTTCTTCCCTCCCTCTCTTCCTTCCTCCTTCACTCTCTCCCATCTTCCCTTCCTCTTTCTGTCCTGCCCTTCAATCTCTTCATCTCTTCCCACCTTAGTTTTTCCATCCCTCCCTTTCCTTTCCCCATTCTTTTCCACATTTCATTCCCTCCCTGCCTTCCCATCCTCCATTCTTTGCTCTCTCCCTAATTCCTTTCTCTCCCTCCCACTCTTTCCACTCTTCCCCCTTCCCTTCACCAGTTCCTCCCCTCTTCTCCTATCCTCCTTTTCTCCCTCCCATCCTTCCATTTCCCTTCCTTCCTTCTTCCCACCCTCCCTCTGTTCCCTGCCTCTTTTCCTGCCCTACGTTCTCCAACGACCACACACTCCTCCCTCAACCCTCTTCCCTCCTTCCCCCCATCTCCATTCCCTCTCCCTTTATGATTTCCTCCACCCCTCCCTTTACCCTTCTCACCCTGCCTCCCTTTCTTCATCCCGCTCTTCCCTTCACCCTTCCTGCCTTCATCTGTGTCATTTTCCATTTCCTCCCTCACACTCCTCCTTTCCCACTCTTCCCATCACACTTCATCTCTCCCTTCCCCCTTCATCCTCTCCTTCCTCGCTCCCTCCCATCCTATCTTACCCCTCCCTCCCTCCTTTCATCACCTTCCTGCCTGCCTCTCCTTCAGTCCCTAATTCCTTCCCTTTCCTTCCCTTTCCTCGCCTTGCTTACTGCTCTGCAGTACCTCTCTCTCAGGGCCCTGTTTGCAGCACACTGTGCTTCCATTGCAGAGAAGTTGGAGTGCTGGTACAAGAACGGTGGCTGCTGGCAGTACTGCTGGGACAGAGGCTCCTTCCAGGTGCAGTGCTCCTGTGCCAAGGGCTACACCCTGCACGAGGATGGGAAGAAGTGCGTGCAAGCAGGTACTGTGCACCCTGTCCAACCCTACTGGAGTTTGTGCTTGATGTGTGGAAAATGAAACATTTGGATGCCTGTTAGCCTGCCTGTAATCCTGTGTCCCCATAAGGGCAAATGGGGAGCAGGGCAGCAGCAGGGCCAGGAATGAGCCCGTTCCTCCCCCCAGCATCTCCTGACACTGCATCAAGCACCCATTGCTCACAGCCTTTTTCTTTTTCCCCCCAGCCCCGTTTCCATGTGGCCTGATTAGAGCCCGGCGTGCCTTGGAGGAAGCACGGCACGAGGTGGCCACATGGAACAGCACAGCTCATGCAGTTAAACAGGCCACGGTGAAGCAAAGTGCTGCTGGGGAAAAGGAAGCTTTAAAGAATGCATCTGGGCAAAGCACAGCCATGGAGGACGATGATGGGCAGGAAGGTGGGGACCCCAGTCAGCAGCCCACAGAGGAACCGGCCTGTCAGAATGAGACAACAGCAGCTGCCATGCAGGAGGAGATGGTGGAGAAAACTTCTGGGCAGAACCGCAGCAGGCAGAGCACTGGGCAGGACAAGACAGGGGCAGTTCAGCATGTGCCTGGTGGTCTGAATGAGAGTGACAATGCAGATGTTTCAGCCACACCTCAGTGTCCCCAGAGAAACACCAGCACTCCTGCAGAGAACAGTGACTCCAGGATAACTGGAGGAACGTTGTGTCATCGGGGACAGTGCCCCTGGCAGGTAATGAACACACCTGGATGTTTGCTGTACAACCGGGTCCAGCTGGAGAGTTTCAGCAATGGTTACTAAGGTTGGTTGTGTAGGTCGAGAGTAATTCAAGCAAACACCACGTATTTATTTCTCAAACTCATGCATTTTTGATCCACGTTTCACTTGCTGCTGTTTGCACATTTAGCGCTTTCTCAACTACAGCAGCCAGCTCTTCTGCTGTCATGCACAGTTTCTGTCTGCTTGTGGTGCTCAATGGCTGATGGTATTTTTAGTCTCTGTGCCCACGTGAGATTCTTTTCCTGAGCCTTTCATACAGAGGACCCCAAACTGAAGGCAAATGGCACATTGGGAAACTTCCACTATCCCTCCTTTGTGCCATTTGTCATTACTACCACAGCAGTGCTGTTCTCACACAGGTTTTGATCCGTGACAGCAGAGATATTGGGTTCTGTGGAGGGAGTTTGATCAACAGTCGCTGGGTGATCACAGCTGCTCACTGCCTCGACCTGGTCAGACCTCACCACGTTACCATAGGTGAGTACCATGCCAGGGGGGATCTCATTTTAAATGGCCATATGGCATTGCACAACAGGCTTGGTTTCTCAGAGCTGCCCACCTCTCAGTGCCTGCTAAGATAACAGCACTGATTGCAGTAGCAAACTGGCACCCTCACACCAGGCATGCTGCAGTACAGCCTTGTGCTTGAGACCTCAGGGAAAAGAGCTACAGCAGCAGCAAGCAGAATACAGCCCAGGTATCTGGCACAAAGCAATGCTGCATCTTAATATTTATGTCAGAACCCTGAGTCTTGCCCTTAAAAATAGTTTTGTCAATATTGATGGTGAAATTCCTACATAAGAATCTACTGCTGTAGTTGGTTGGCCCTTAAGGAGCAAACTGGTAAAGTTGAGTTGCAGGATCATGTCTGCACTCCAAGAAGTTATTTCACACAGCTCGCTTTCTTTTGTCAAAGCATTGATACATGACCTTCCTGCTCCCTCACAAAGATACCGAGCAGGCCTGTTACACATGGCTTACCCTTTTAACTTGTCACCACTACAGGTGACTTTGACAAGTACCAGAGAGAACTGAAGGAACAGAAGATAGGCGTGGAGCGGAGCTGGACGCATCCACACTACGATTCCAACAACTACAATGGGGACATTGCCTTGCTGTACTTGAGCAGTGAGGTGGTTTTTAATGAGTACGCCATTCCCATCTGCCTGCCCAGCCCCAACCTGGCAGCCCTGCTGGCCGAGGAAGGACAAGTGGGGATGGTCAGTGGCTGGGGTGCCACTCACAGGTGGGGCTCCACACTGCGCTTCCTGATGCGGGTGCGGCTGCCCATTGTGAGCATGGACACGTGCCAGCAGTCCACAAGGAGACTGGTCACAGACAACATGTTCTGTGCTGGATATGGCACTGAAGCTGCAGATGCCTGCAAGGGTGACAGCGGAGGCCCATTTGCAGTGTCTTACCAAAACACTTGGTTCCTGCTAGGTGTTGTAAGCTGGGGTGATGGCTGTGCCGAAAAGGGAAAATACGGTGTGTACACAAGAGTGTCCAATTACATCCCCTGGATTAAAGAGACTGTTGAAAGTGTGGCAGATTCAGAAAAGTTTTCCATTAACTTTGCTTAAGAGCGACCTTAAAAATAGGGACAACTCTTATTACAGCTGTCTCTGATGCTAAAAGCCAGGTTTGTTGTTAAAGGAATGCATAACTTGTTGAATTGCTAAGGAAATATTACTAAGCAAAAAAATATATGTAATAAAGAACTATTCCTGCAATAACAAAGGTGACAACTGAACTTCTTTCTGAAGATGGCAGTAGAAAGGAGAGCTTGGGTGGCTGTTCTTTTGCTTCTCACACCTACGCTCACATCACACAGGGGCTGATCACTCACAAAAGGAAGCACGTGGCAGGCTGTGCTGTCTGTGAAGCAGCATGCTGATTCAGTGACTGTGGATCAAGGAAGTTTTGTAGTGTGTGCCTGCTGCTTCAAGTACAATTCAATTCACTGAAATACAAATGTTTCGTGATACAAGAAGTTGCTGGGTAGAATCTTGTATTAAAAGATGTACCAGCTGCACTGCTGGGAGAGAAATTATACAAGTGGAGCTACAGAACACAGACCTGTAGGCACAGCACAGAATGAAGGGCCAACTTTTACACCCACTTCCTGAAGGAAAGGAAAAGGTTTTTAATTCTCAAGACTCCTCTCCTCCCTCTTACACATCATTTCTCTCTCCCAGTGTTTGCTGCAAACCAGCATACACACAGGAGCACTTTCCTCTGCTGCAGTTAACGGGTAGTCTTTTTCATCCATCTCCAAAGACATTCTCACTTTCTCACCTTTCCTACAATTCACCAGTAAGCTCCCATAAAAAAAACAAGTCTTACTCATTATTAGCTCTTCTCTTCAGCTTCATGGACCACCAGGGGCCTGTAATTAACAAAACTCTTCAGATAAATACCCCAGTGCCTGACATGTGCAGTACCGTAACTACAATAAAGCTTAGGGGTTGCAGGGAGAGGGCTGAGAAAGCCACCCTAACCCACAGACCTTCAGGACCAAATAGAACCAGGATGTGAATACAGTTCATTGACTTTCTCAGAGCTTCACCTGCCACTATGGCAGTAAGGAATCCAGCCTGTCAATCAATTCTTAATTTGAAAGAAAAATGAACATAAAAACTTTGGAACACTTAGCAGGCATAAAATGACACACTTGAGCTCAGTTACATAGATAAGATTACTTATTTGCTCTTACGATGCATGTAAGTGGAATTCCTTCAGCAGCCTCCAGTGCAAGCATCCTTCACTGTTTGCTTAAAGGTCACGTCCCCCTCCAGGCTAACAAAGGCAAATCTCAAATGCAAGCATCATCATCTTATATTCTTCTCTGTTATTGCCTCAGCTGACCCTGAGTGCCTTCTGTGTCAGTGCACAGAGACCCCACCTGAAACAAGCCAAGCTCCACCCAGGCAATCTAAGTGCACAGCACACAGTGCCCAGCCACCTGTCAGTCCTCTTCAGCAGCCTCAATAACCTTCACTCCAAAGACTGGCTTTGACTGTAAAACTGATCTATACTATTGTGCTTCACAGGAAAGCCCTTCAGGTGCAGCTGCCTGATCTCCAGCAGCAGTCACCAGTGAAGGCTGTGCTCATGGCACAACAGATCAATAACAGCATCACCTCACCTGCTGCAAGCACTTCAGCTGGAAGCTGCTGGGTTTTCAATAGTTGGCCTCTGCTGGTCCTCTCCTGAGCTCTGCACCACACATTCGTGACAAATGAAGTCCTTCAAGTGGAAGATGGTCAGTATTTCTGTTGTGCGGATCTCCAAAGACAGGAAAACTGATTAATATTTGAAAAGCACTGAACACATACAAAATGGAAAACAAGAAACAAATTGCAGTTATCAGCTTCTCCACACACCAGGTGCACATTTTTTCTTCACATCTCACATATTCACTCTCTCCTTCATACTCCACGTATACATCATCCTGAGCAAATAACAGACAGCCCCCCAAAAAACAGAAGATGTTTTATTGTCTAAAGTGTTGCAATACAACAAACGTGTGATCTGTACAAAGGACACAATAGAGCAAGTTTAAATACAATCAGGAGAAAGAAGTCCCCAAATTCACAGTCCTTGGACATTATCTTATACCAGAACCTGAACCAACAATTTAAAGGTCAACTAAAAAACCCAAACGAGTTGTTAAAAAACGTTAAGGTCTCCAAAGAGTCTATGGGTGCATTGTCTTACAGCAGAGATCACAGGGTATTCTGTGAAGGGTCACAATGGCATCTTATTGCCCTCAATGCTGATTTTCACCGCATGGGCCGATCTGCTTTTTTTCCTGATATCTGTGAATTTCCGCATCTGTTTGTCCAGTCGACTCACCCCTTTCTTAGAGGTCCCCTGGAACTTAAAAAACAAAACTAATAATTACCACTGAAAAAAAGCAGACGTCCCATAGGCTCAAGAAAAGCAACGCATGCAAGGTTAAACCTGCAAGTGGGATCTGAAGGAGTCCCTGGTGTGGGGAGGGGCGTGCAGCTCTGCCCTCAGCTCCCCCCATGTGGAGATACAGTTCCCCCAGTGTACCATCCCATGTATGGCAGTGATCACACACATGTCACAGAGGAAAGCTCTCCCACTGCAGAGGTTAGCAGACACACGAGATGTTCACACACTGGCAGAACATACAGTTTGGAATAGCTTTTGTCTGGAGTGTAGTGACAAATATATTGCACAATGCCATACGTACACAGGCTTCCTGTGGAAGGTTTTAGATGTAACTACACTTGACTGAGCTGACACATCAATTCCAAACTGTGATTTATTTTGAAATTAATTCATTAGTACTTAAAAAGCGTGAGATTATTGGAAAAAAAGGAGGTGAGGTTGGAAGTGAAAAAAATGCCTAAGAAAAGCTGATCACATCAGTTACTAGAAGCTACTGCATTTCATCTCTGTGTTTTAACTGCAGCTGAAGAACGGAGACAACACAGCAGTTATTTCACACAGATGAGAAACGCCACTGAAGACAAAGGACATTCCAGTCCACAACCTAGATGCAATTTCCCCTTTAATTGGACAGCAGAAACAGTGATGGAAATTTCACACCTTTCATGTTTGGGAAAAAGTAACATCTGGAATATGCAACTTAGCACCTGACTAAAGCAGCTATTGGGAATTGAGCCTCTTGTTCCATCGCTACGGAACACTCATTTAAAACGAACTCTATTTAGTCACAGAATTCACTGAAATTCTAATCTGGAATTTCACTGATTTTCAAAGGAGATATCTATGTATATGCTTTGGGTTTGAGTTTTGTTTTTCATCGTTGTTTTACGTGAATAAATACGAAGTTTAAACTCAACATCTATCATCTGTGCTTGCCCCACATCACTGTTCCTTTGTAACACCTCTGCTCACAGAACCTGAATGCAGAGTTAGCACTGCCAAAACAATTCTCATGTTGATGCACGTCAGTGATTGATCTCCCTCCATCCACACTCATGGCAGGGAGTCTTCTCCTGTTCCTGACAACCACCCCCTGAATCTCACTTCTGTCAACGATTGTGGAAAAGAGTTGTTGCAAACATCTTGTTTTGTCTCAGCAAAACACCAAAGTCCTACACTGAGAGCTAAGAATTTCTGTGCATCTGTCCAGGCAAACCTGGAGAACTCAAGTAAGAACAAGTTTCAAGTGCCAGACTTGCTGGTATGCCAAGCACCAGAAGCCACAGGTGCAGAGCCTTCCGAACACAGGGATTCTCATGTAAAACTCATCATTTGGGTACCATGAAAGTAACAGGCGCAGGAAACATGGTAGACGTTACGTGCTACAGACTTTTTCCTGTACAAATTACAGTTTAGGCCACAGTGCGGACATCAGAGAATACAAGGAGAGTTTTCCAAGTTTAATTGGGGTGTACACACTCCTTTCCTGTATGTGCAATCTGCCAACAGCTGAAGCACATGCACTGTTCACACCTCCCTTGAGGGATACCTCTCAAACTTGGGGAAGGCAGTGTCATGGCTACAGGGGCATCCTGTTGCCTTCAATGCTGAACTTGATGGCCCGATGCACTTTGCTGAGTCGTTTCTGTTCAGCAAACCGTCTCTTGTGTTTTTCCAAGCGACTAATACCTCTCTTAATAGTCCCGGGCTAGAAACAATATCTCAATTAATGCAAAGAAGGAAAGATAACAGCAGAAAGATTACAATAGTTATTACCTCTTCCATTTACATCGGTTCTACCACGTATTCTAAACTAAAACCATACCAAGTAGATGGAAGAATCAAATTAAACAAGGCAAAGGCCTCTACTGAAGCTGTTAATGGCTGCCAAAACCTTGATGTTTTCCCAAACCAAAATATTATCAGACAACTATGAAACAAAAACTGGGGGAGAGAGAGAAAATATCAGTGGCATACTTATTGAACTGCTGCTTATTTCAACATGTTCTGAAAATAAGAGGCCTGTAATCAAACTCCCACATTAGAGAGAAGCTCTAGAACAGATAATGTGAAAATCTCTTTCTGTTAAGAGAAGCAATGATACCCGTGCAAAGAATTTGATGGGCTTATCTGAAAACAAACTTGTTTTCTACTCCTATTAGAAAAGGGGCATAAAAAGAATCACTATGCTGTTCAGTATCTACAGCAATAAGGTGATAAATCCCCAGGGCTTATTCACAGATAGCTTAGGTACAGAGTCACCTCACTAAAAGAGGCCCCAACAACACCCCACACCACAGCACTTACCCTGGAGGACTCCATCTCCACGTTCCACTTTGGCCTAACCACGTAGTCCTTGTTGGAAGGCATTGGCACCCTTGCACGGGCACAGAAACCTGGGTCTCCAGGTCTAAGAGCTCTGAAGAAAGAAAAGTTCCTGTTAGATACAGCAGTCTCTAACAGAAAGAACTATGGTTGATACAGATCAGGTAATTCTAAAACAGAGTATTATCATTGATTTTTAAAGCCTCAAAACAAACCATGTACTGTTAGTACTTGAGAAATACCTTTTTCTAGTTCAAATAAAAATCAATAAGAAAACTTCAACTCACTTTTCCTCTCCTGTTAACACTTTCTCCAGATCCCTGCGGGGAGTCTGACCACCAGAACTGCAAGAAAAATAAATCTTTATTAAGTATTCATATACAGACAAATATGGTAACTTCAAAGGACAATCAAGGACAGTAAGAGGAAAAAAACTGAGGTCAGAAATAACTGTTTTTTTTATTTACCCTAATACTTGCACACAGTTTTTCTTTATGGGAGTCCTAGAAAGAAAAATAACACATTCACATTTCTGTCTGCTATTCCTACCTGCTTAACCTCCTCCGCTGAGGCATCTGTTCCAAATCTCTCTGTTCTCTCTCTTCTCTTGTCATGCCTTTGTAGTTTGAGGTAAGACCAAAGATGGGTCGAGACCATTCATCTAGTAAATAAATAGATAAATAAGTTAAACTAATTTATTATCAGTGTTTATTATCCACAAACCATTCCTTACAAGGTTCATATATACATCTCTTCAAATGAGCAGCTGATCCATGAACTCTTTGTTTTTCAAAGAAATCCCAGAGTTGCAGACAGAAAGAAAAAGATTTCACCCATGAAGTCTCTTTCTGCTCACTTTTCAGTGCACTGTTTGTTTGGGTTTTTTTTTGGACTCTCTCAGCTCTAGGAACACTTAGTGACAGACACTCCTGCATGGCACAGTGAGTGTTACTTTAGAAATAAGAAAAATATATGCAGAAGAGCAGAAAAAAGGTTTTAAATCAGCTTGTAGACATTCAAGATGGAACACACCACACAAGATTACAGCTGTTTAAGTACTGGATTTTTAGACAGCCGTCCAAGATCTCACTGAATTTCAGAGAAAAAGCAGTTTTCTGACAGCACCTTCCATCCTCAGTAACTTGTAGGAGGAGATGCAGCCAACTTGCCAAGGAAGAATTTGGGCAAAATAAAAGCTATCCTCTAATTTTAAAGCAAAACAGAGAGAAACAGGGAAAAGTGCATGCAGATGGGAACCTAACTGTTCATTTAGAGCCCTGCAAACAAAGCAATGAGACCAAGGAGAATCTTACATTGCAGAGCGACTTCTACTATAGAAAATAACAACATGCAAAAGACAGACTGATAGAAATTAGAGAAACCTCACTGAAGAGAGATGAAAGATTTACATACTGATCAGCTTCCCTGCCATATCCTTGTTAGGTCTTGACTCTTTGGGGTGCTTGTAAAGGTACATCACAGCTCGTCCAATTCCACTGTGCTTTAGGGTCTCCTGACTCACGCTTGGCAGCTACAAGAGAAAGGAAAAGACAGAAAAAGGCAAAAAAATTCTGTTTGAACATTAACAGTGCCACTGAATTTTGCAGAAAACAAAATTCTGTTAAGTATTTATCCCAAATGCTCTTGTGCTTATATTACTCAAAATCAGAGCCACTGTCTTCTTAAACAAGCATTTTGTAAGGATTCAAGTTTACGTGGCAAATGCATTCCAGTATAACTTAACTCAGTCAGAACTTGTGCAGATTCTTAAATAAGGACAATTTCTAAACACTGAAACAAATAGTGATGCTGCAAGAGAAATCTAACTTCTGCCTCACTATCGAGGCTATGCCATACTCTACTTATGAATGCAGCAAAGACAAGCTAAAGTGAACCATCACAATACATAAGCCACTGCCAATGAGGGAAGATAAGTGACTAAGTGGTCCAGATTCCAGAATCTAGAAATGCCATAGCATGGGAACTCCCTAACAGAGAATAGGGAATTTAACAAGTGTAGTTTGTGAGAGGCTCTCAAACATCTCCTGGCCTGCTACTCAGCACAGCTTTTTGCTTTATTGTGAACACGAGCAAAATCTTCCTAACAGTTAAGTGTCTACAATTCCATACCCACATTTTGTTCAGCTAGACAGCATACCTACAACATAAGGAACACTTGTTAAAATGATGCAACATTTAAACCAAACATCTAATTTGTGGTTTGCTTCCTCCTGCACCTTAGCACGTGGCCCACCAGCAGCGTTACAGCAGTCAGCACAACACATTTCCCCAAAGCATGACCGTAAACCCACGGATCAAATACAGTTACAAGTCAGTTTAAAACCTCTTGCAGGATCTTCAGAAGCTCCTCTCGTATCTTTAGTGCTGGCAGACTTCGGTCTGGGAGAGGAGAAAGCCACTCCTTGATGGCAGACATGACACCACTATCGATGAATGTTTCTTTCAGGTCCTGCCTAAGAAGTTTAAAGAACAGAGAATTCACAGCCTTGCAACACATCCGGATCCCAAGACATAATGGTCCTTCAAGTGCAACAGTATATTGGAATTTAACAGGTAAAACTAGGTGTAATTTCAGTTCTGAGGGCACCTATCTCCAGCATTTACCCAAAATGTTTCCCTGCATACTCAGTACAACTGTAATGTCACCCTATGAAATCCAGCCAATTCCACTTGCTCCTCAAGATAATAAGCAGTTCCAAGACAGACTCACTTTTTAAGATGCATAACTACAGTTGGTAGCAAAGTTAATTTCTTCAGTGCAGGTTTCTTTTGTGTATTCAGCTGTCGATCCTCCTGGAGAGAGTTGAAGAATTACAAGATAATCAAAACAAGAAATCAGCAATTCTCATCCATTACAGCATTTACAGGAAAAGAGCTAGTGGACAACTGGAGAAGTGCACCTTTGGCAGGATGACACTGACTTTATACCCTATGCCACTCCTTCCTACAGCTCCAAAACACATCTTATATCATGATTTCTTAAATAAATAAACAAACAAAATCCCCTCCTTAATCAACATTTTCATCAGAGTATCGCATTAGGAGATTCTGCCAAGAATTACATGCTTTTCTACTTCATGATTCAAGTCTATCGTAATAGACTGGAGTTCTGCAGGGTCCTCCATGCAATGTACATGTAGCTTACCTAGAAACTCAGACAGTAAACTCACATCTGAACAATAAAAACCAACTAATCAAACAGTAAGAAGTGAAAACACATGCATTCATTTCACTGATGAATGTAACTGTATAGTGCAGATGCTTAGGGTAAAGTGTGGTGTAATTAACATAAAAGTACACAATTGTGCACCATGTGCTGGAACAAACAGTGTCAGTTTCACTTAGTAGGTGACTATACTCCAAGGTCATTATTTCAATATCTATTCAGTACTTGAGATCAAAAATCAAAAAGACCATTATGATCAACAGCTCTGTGTCCTGATGTGTTAATAGCTTTCCACTTGCACTTAATTCATTGAAGCCCCTTCCTACACAGAGGTTTTGTTTTTTTTTTTAATTACAAGGAGCAAGTCTCTTCTAATACCTCCCACTCCTCTGCTCCAGAACAGCCTGACAGGCACACAATAAACAACTCAATTGGAGCTCCGTTCTTCTCTCCAATACTTCACTACTTCATTTAGAACCTCTGACCATAGAATGGCCTGGGTTGAAAAGGTCCTCAATGCTCATCTGGTTCCAACCCCCTGCTATGTGCAGGGTCGCCAACCACCAGACCAGGCTGCCCAGAGCCACATCCAGCCTGGCTCTGAATGCCCATCATCTTGTCCAAGACCAGAAGTCACAGCTGCCTCCCAGACCACCATCTTACTTTCCCCTCCCTCCCCAAAACACACTGAGAAAGATTTCTCTTTCTAAAATTGTCCCCAATTGCTTTTAATAAGTTCCACGTAACAGTTAACTTGATTGCTACTCCAACAATATTACAAAGACAAAAGACAAGATCCTGCAGACCTTGCACACAACCAACCAACATATTCAACACAAGCCCCTGAAAGAGGAAGTCTGCCAAACCAAAATTTCCCCTAATTCTATGTTTCTACTATAATTTAATACATCACTCTCATTTAAGCACTTTAGAAAAGGTTTCTTCTGCAGAACAAACAATTAAGCTCTATATGCTTAATAGAAACTGTATAATGAAATATAATTCCTTTCTCAGTGTTTGATGCACATTTTATAAAACACGTGTTCATCTCTTTCCATAGTGCAACTGATCTCCAATTATAAAAGTGTAACACATTTACTAAACATAATCTTTAACATAATTTATCTAAGTTTCAACAGAAAGAAAATATCGAATTCAGACCAGCAAAATAGTCATCAGCTGTTTAGATATGCACAGCACACAGATTACTACTTCTGAGTACCAGACAAACCCCTCTATTTCACTGAACAAAAAATAGAAATTAATTTTAAGTCTCTCTGGTACCCAGAAGACTCACCTCTGCAGCTTCATTCATCTTCACAATCATAGCACTGACCACATCATCTGCATCACTAATGAAAGTCCCACCATCACGGTTTCGTCGACGCTTGCCACTCATACTCTTCTTTCGTTGCAGCATCATGTCAAAATCTGACATGAAGTCCATACTGAAATGCAAGGAGAGAGTCTGCTCATAGAATAGAGTTTAACTCACTGTCCTTGTAGAGAATAATTTTGTATTTCTCTAGCACCACCTTTCCAAAGGTCTTCCAGAACTCTACTAGAATTCTGTCTCAGCGTCTGTGTAAGATATTGGATGTCTTCAGTACACTAACAGGGAAATCAAAGGGCTTCAGTGGTTCTGAGGTGTGTTCAGAAGTCTGTAAGACCTTACTGAAGCAGCTACAGACATCCAGGGTACAAGTGCTAAAGCTGTCACTGAAGCTGTCCAAGATTTAGCTTTCCTGTACCTGCAATACATTCCTCTGACACTACTGGAGGAGACAAGGACAGAAGAGAGTGAGGTCAAATCACACCTTATCCCTCATGAGGAAAGAAACAGAATTGTGACTCCAATGCTACTACAAGCAGCCTAGTATTGAACTGCTAGAAGTACAGGTAGATGTTTGCCTCATTAGTTATTTTAAGTTTTGCTGGGAACTCCAAAATGCTCTACCTGTGCTGCTGCTCCAGTTATCTGCTATGGATTGCCAAGTGACCCAACTGAACAGGCACAGAGAACCTTATGTCACAGTCAATGAGAATGTGTTTTCTGCTGAGACACTGCCCTCCCCTTGCCTGTCTGCTGCATGAAGTCAAGCCAGTTTATGGAGAGGCTCTTCTGCAAAATTTTGTGTTTGCTATTAAAGTATGTAACACATCAACTTACTGCTTCCCTCTTTTGACGTTATCATCAGAGTCGGACTCATCTGCTGTCTCCTTCATCTCTGCATCACCCTTCTCTTCTTCCAAGTCTTCCTGGTTAAAGCCCTGACAATAAAGACAGTGCAAGTCAGTGCAGGAATTAAGACTGAGCATCAGTTCAGGTGCCTGACTTTTACATTCTCAAAGTTTTTTCCAAATCCTCTTCAAACTTATCTGGAAGAGGAACAAAAAAATCAATAATTTCACCTACAGCTTTCGCACCAATGACTCTCAATAGCAGAGTAGTGAAAATTATTCAACTCAAGAGTCTACCTCAGAAAGTCCAGGAGATAAAAAGACTCCCCTTCTGAGAAAGAGTATCCTTCAACAGGAATGCAAACCCCAACAGGCATTCTGGGAAGAGCTTCATATGAAGATTATACTGTCAACTAAATACCAAACTTCCACAATAACACTTACTGTAAATTCCTCTTCTTCTTCATCACCAGATTCTCCAAATATATCTGCAATCAGGTTCCTGGGAAGATAACAGCAACATTTATCTGTTTATAGAGCAGCAGTGAGAACACATTTTCTGTGACATTTCTAACGTGACTGAATACAGATCCACCCCTTTCATTTTGCCACACTGACCTTCCTCCTTGCAATACCAATAAAGGTAGATTCTGGCTGGTACTTTTGCATCTTCCTATTCACCATCAGTGTCACTCCCTGCAACCCTGAAGGAATTCATATTCCCAGAAGCACTTACTCTTGTTCATTTCCAGATTCACTGTCACTGCCAAACAGATCTTTCTCTTCCTTTTTCTTCCCAGTATCCTCTTTTCTTTCTTCCTCTTCTTCACTATCTGATACCATATTTTTCTTCCTTTTGTCAGATTTCTCTGAAGCAGCATCACTATCTGATTCTTCAACATCAGAAAGGATTCGTACTTTTTTTGCAGCTGCCAATGGAAAGAAGCATTACTACCTGCCCTGGTAACTGAAGTGACAACAGGTGTGCTCCAACAGCTGTTCTCTCTCAAATTCAATTTGAACAGGAGGGAAGCCAATTAGCATTCCTACACTAAAACAACTGCCCTTCAGAAAAAGAAAACACGTTCATTCTGAAATTTGTTTTATCCAGTCAGTAACTGAATAAAACTCCATCTATCCATATGAACTTTCACTTTCAAAACTCTCACTCTTAGTATATTTAAAACAAAATAGAGGGAAAACATGACCAGAGAAACAACAGAAAATCAAGAAATAACTGTAACAGAACCAATCAATATGACAACAGATTCCAGTATAAAGCAAGATCATAGATGTAGAATAGTCTTTTACTTCTGTTAAACCTACTTATTACTCCAAAGCACTGGGTACATATTCACACAGAAATACACTTAGAACAATCCCCTCCCCAAAAGTAGCGCTCTAAGAACAAAACTACTTTATGGTTTTGCATTTATCCTAGATACTAATTATATCACTACTGCTGGTCAAATCACATTATTGTCACATTAAAGTTTCTTACGTGCTTTCTCATTCTCATCCTCACTGTCAGAGAGGATAGCTGTTTTCCTCTTCACTGTCTTCTCCTCCTCCTTCTCATCATCATCACTGTCTGATATTTTTCGTCTCTGAGGACCTTCTTCTTCACTGTCAGAACCCTGAAATCCTTCCCTCGCTTGTTCATTATCTGAATGGTGAGAATCATTCTGCACCTCCTCCTTCCTGTCCTCCCCATCGCTATCATCAGACTCTATTTCTGGTTTGTGTCTGGCAACACCCTCACTCTCCGAGTCGCTGCCCAGCTGTTTGTGGAGCTCCTCACTCTCTGAGTCGCTGGCTGGCTGCTTCTGGAGCTCCTCATTCTCTGAGTCGCTGGCCGGCTGCTTCCGTGACTCCTCATTTTCAAAGTCACTACTGTGATTCCTGGGAGGTTCTCCATTTTCAGAGTCACTCGCCTGATGATTTAAGGCATCTTCGTTTTCAGAGTCACTTAAGTGCTGGTTTGGACGGTCCTCGGTATCAGAGTCACTGTCTTTCCCTCCCTGAGCTGCTTCATTGTCTGAATCGCTCACATTGTGATTTGGAGGCTCCTCGTTATCTGAGTCACTGTCTTTTTGCCTCGGTGCATCTTCATTCTCAGAGTCTGTCATATGAGGCTCTCCCATTTGCCCATCATCTTCTCCATCACTGTGTTCGTTCTGGAAAATAAACCAACAAGATCTCAGACAACAAAGCAAAAAACCAAGGAACAAAAAGCATTCCCAACTTATGCTTGTCCTTCCTCCCCTTTGACTGCCCAACCTACTACAGACTCAAATACTTTCTCTATAGAAAGGACTGCTAGACAAACTGTGTCAAAAAGCTATCAAATACCACAGATCAAGGAAAATCTTCAGAGACCAATGTAACTGTGCCCATCCTGCTGCTCAAATCTATTCAGGAAATAGTAACAGAAAAAAAAACCTCAAATTAAGATGTTCAAGAAAGGTCCATCTCCCTCAAGGGAGAATACTTAAAGGCTTCCATTTAAAGAGCCCAAACTTCAGAATGGATTAGCCCAACTACCCTCAAAATAATTGACCTCCTATACTGGTCATTTTCTTAAGATGCCAAATAAACTTTTCTGTATACATTTTACTGAAACTGCACATGCACTGTTTTCTGAATGAAGCTCAAGAGAGCTTGTCCTCTTTCAACATTTAAAAACATGTCAAGATCAGAAGTCCATTAAAAAAAGACAAAGCTTTACTCAGACCAGTTAGACAAGCTCTGTGTCTCGACCTATAACAACATAAGAACAGTTTCAACACTTCTGTCTCTTAAGCTTACAGCCCCGTGCCTATTCAGGTATCTATTTGTAAACACACCAACCTTCTTAAATCTGTAGTGGAAGACAATCTTTTATGTCTTCTACCCAGCAGCAACAGCCATTTTGGGAAAATCTATCACAAGACACTTGCCTACATCAGTGCAGACAACAGAATGTTGTTTTATCTTCACAAAATCTAAGTTCCGCGTTTGCCTGAGAAAACAGACTCTGTTGAATTCCCATTCCTTAGTTCAGCATGCCTACATGGTCACTGTCACCACAACATTTTCAGCCAGAAAGGAGACTGGAAAGGAATGGCTTTTCTACGTGTTTCTCTGCTTCACAGAGAGACTTTCTAGGGTGATTCTGCCTTCTCAGCTGCAGACTCCTCCCATTAGCATCTCCACAAACTGAGTATTTCATGGAATGGCAGATAATCACACATCTCTATATCCTAAAGCTTCCAAATCTTGTTACCAATGTACTTTCATTGGGAGAACACATTTTTCTACTTTTCTTTTTCATTCTACAGTCATTCTTCTCCCACACTCAGAGCCATACACAGCAGGTATATCTATCCTACAGTTACAACAAACAGTTATTACTCTTTATAACATATGGATAAGGAGGAATTTTAAATAAAGCAAAACTTCAATCACTTTTAGGAATTACTCCCAACACATTTATATAAACTGTTCAGGACAATAATTCTTAAAATGTTGGATCTTATGCATTTATTCCCTTGGCTAGCACTTGATACAACATGACTGAAATATAACTAAAAGAAAGTTACCATACAATGGGGAAAAAAAAAGGACCACATAAATTTACAACCATCACTTTTCAAATATAACTTCACTATTTCCATGTTCCTTAATACCATAACATGAGCACTTTCCTCTCTGGCAGCCTTCTCAATCACACTGCTGGTACTGTTCTGCAGTTCTCATTCCTCCTCACAGACAGGAAACGTGTTTCAGTTAAAAAACTGAATCAGGAGTTTTAAATAGAAAGATTAAATATCTACAGATTTGAGGGTGCACAACTGAGGAAGACCACACACCCAGATCACTGTTTGCTACAGGATTTTATTTTCTGTTCTTCAAAATATTAATTTGACTGCCCTGAACAGGTATACGATGCATTTTCTCTCACCGTATTGCTTAAGATAAAAGAAAACTTCAGCTGCTTAAAACAGCATTATAGATTGGATCATTGAGAGACACTGAAATGCAGCTGTGCATTTAAGTTGACTTAAACTTTGTTTGACTCAACAGTGCTTTGCCTGATTTTCTCCTGATTCCAGATGTCTGATATTGAACAGGTGCTAACAATTATGACAGCCATAATAAAACATTTTGTTAAACATCACCACAGAACACAAGAGAAATAGAACTGTTTAAACTATCAGGCTCATCACCTTCCATGCTGTAAGATTAAAAAGTCTTTACTACATGTTAAATAGAACTGAAAAAGCAACTTGAATCCATAGTGATTCTTTATTACTCAAGATTTCTATGAGCAAAAGCACGGCTGCAGGCTATACAGCCACCTATTCAGAATACATGACTAAGCTACAAAGAACTTCCTACACAAAACACTTGTGACTCCAATTAGACAGCAGCATTACTTTACAACATACTGAATCTCTCATCTGTTACTGCAAACAGCCAGTCACACTTGAGAAGGAAGGTGCTTGGGGAAGGAGAGCATCCATGCATCTTAATTAGCTCCCACTGTGACTACATGGTGCTCTGCACCACAAATCCCAGTGATAATTACAGCTTCTGAATCCACTGTGATATTGTCACCTACAACAAAACAGCTTAAGAGACAGCTTGGGAAGCAGCAGATAATACATACAACCCTCCAGAGGTTGGGCACAGCACCTGCTGCTCTGATCCCAAATCAGCAAAACAACCAAAGCCAACTCAAAGAGCACCATTATGTCAGCCCAGGGAAGCCCTGCAGGGATGTGACAGCTACTGCCTCATCTCAGCACTACCTTACAGTGAGTGAACATCCTCTAAAGCACAGCTGAGACAGCTGACTCGCTCAGAAGCGAGGCACAACAAGCAGGCCCTGTCCGCAACCATCGGCGCAAGGTCAGTCAAACACAATTCAAACATCTCTGAATGCTTGGAAATGTATTCCATACAAAAAGCAAGAGGAACTACACAAGATGACAAACTTCGTTGAGGAGAGACCAGCACTCTCCTACCTCCCTGACACACCTCCCCCGCTTCCCTTAAAAAACAGTTCATCTCTAAAAAGATATGTTCCAATAAATCAATGATGTAATTTAGAGTCTTCTGTTTTTATTTGTCCAATTACTGGACTAAAAGAATAGAAATCCTCAGAAACAAGTAGGTCTCAGGTAAGTGCTACCACATTTTTCTCTAATTCCTTTGCTTTCTTTTCTTCCTCCTCTTTATCTATAAACTTTTAAATTGAGATGTCCTTAATATTTTTAACTGACAATTCCATAACATGAGGCTTTAGTACAGTATAAAATACAGAATACATCAAAATCAAATTTACAGTGTTATCCTTCTACATGAAAATTTCATCTTGAAAGTAGGTTTTTGGATCAACATGCAGCCACTTTTAAGACTTACTACTTTGATAATTCATTAAGATGAACAAAATTGACCCATCCCCTACAATCTCATGAATGGCAGTTGATAAAACTAAGGCACACATAACCATCATAGGCAGTTCAGGAAGCTTGTTTTCAGTAAGATATTTGTGTGTTTAAGAGTCACAGTCAAACCATAACTTAAACCATGAAGACAGCAGCAACTTGCTTAGAGCGTACAATCTAAGTCACTGAAGATTTCCATATGAACCTGACTTGTACAAACACTGTAAACATGATTTAATATTCATTACTGTACTAAAACTATGTGCCATCTGATTCCATTTGACCGAAACAGAATCAGTAAGGACATCAAAGAGAGCATTTATAGATAAAGTGGAGCTGGGGGAAGGAAAGCCAGAAAAGAATTGTGGAAAAGAAAAACCCACATACCTGAGACCTACTTAAGTAATTCCTCAGGATCCCCCTTTTCTTTAAAGTTAAGAACCTGTAAAAAAAGTTGGAAATTTTAAAACTTCAGTTCTTTGTATCTGAACTCTGAATTCGAGACGAAATAGGAATTAAATAGACATAACTGATTGGGCTGTATCAAAGGTATTATTACCTTTGAATGTCATTCCTCCCACATACTCCTAAGATGAAAAAAATAACAGGATGAGAGAAAATTTAGGATAAATAGAATAATAAATTACTGAAAGCTACTCTCCTTTCAGAGACAGCAGCTCCACACTGTCAGCCAAGTTGCATTTGGAGTTTGATGTAGGAGAGCATTAAATCACTAGGAATGGAAGACTAAAAGAAAACACCTAAGAATCATTTTTTTATGATTTTAGCCAAACCAAGCCAAGCACTAAAGCCTGGAGGTTCATATTTACTACCAGATAAAGATTTTTTTTTAGTGCTATTAGGCTATTTTCATTTGTTTATTTTTAAGTTTTTTATTTTGCCTACAGAGGAAGATTAACAGCTATCACAGGAGCAAAGTCCTTACAATGCTGGAGGTACATGCAGAGAACCAATCAGCAACTACAACAGGTCACGCTGAAGATGTAAATGGTCAAATCTTTGTTTCTTTAGGGCAGATTTTCAGTTACTTGATAACAGCAAACAAAATTAAAATTCAACAGGAGCACAGAAGAACAACTGATCAAGTTTTCAAACACTGAAGATAAAGCTTAATATAACTGTAGCAGCATCACGGCTCTCCATGCTCTCGTTATGATTCTTCCCCACTAAAACAGAAGTACAAAATTCCTATCAAAGACAATTATTTCTGTCATGCATAAAATCATATTTCTTCCCCACATGGAAATCCCAGCTGTGTCAATGGCAGCTGCTGACTGACAGCAAATCCCCTGCAGTCCAATTTCTCTTGCTGCAAATATCAGTATCTCTAGAAACAAATCCAAATGTGCTTAACACTCAAAGAAGTGAGAGCTTTCCTTCTGCACTCATACCAAATTTTCACATCCTATCTCTGATGGAAACACAAATTCAGTAAAGGAATGAGGATTGCAAGTTACCCCACAGCAGAGTTGAGCTTTTGAAACATCAATCTGTTAGAAAACACCATACCATGCATTTTAAGCAATTTCTTTAAATGGATGCCAAGGCCAATGGATGTCAAAGTCAGTCTGATCTTCATGCAACATGCAATGCAATTTGCAAAGCAGAGTGAAATGGCTTTGATTTTAATTTTGAAGAGCTCTCCGTAACAGAACTCTGATGGCAGAAGTTGGGATTTCCCAGGCCAAAATCCTCCCAGCAAGGCCAAGAAAAACCTGATGTCATTCTATCATCTCAAGACACCAGAAATTCCTCAAGATTAACCCTAGAATCATCCCAGATGCAGGAGATACTTTTTTATCAGAATTTCTTTAAAACCCCAGGAGTCAAACCATGAGTAATAACACCTCTCCTCCAAATACAACCCTGCATCACAACACCAGCACCTTTTCAAGGGGCCAAGCTTCCAAAGCACAGAGCTCTTCAGAAGAAGAATAAGAGCCATCTTTTCACACAGGGAGAGTTATTCCTTTGTGAACGACAAAGTGAAAAGCGTATCACAGAGCAAACAGACTTCAGATGCAAGGCTCACATCCAAAAGGAAAGATGGAAGATGAGAAAGCATTTATTCTTTGGTAAGGAAACCTATACCTCCATGACGCATGGTTTTAAGTTACTACGTCAAATTGAAAGCAAAATTCCAAATCCTTCAACCCTCTGCTCAAAGTTTAAAATCCAGGAAGTTTATCTTAATGCAACTGAGTGCCCGTGTTACACTTTTTCGAGTGCAAACTGCTGTTACAACAACTAAAGACTCAACAGTCAAGAGATGAGATGAAAGAAGACATTCATTTCTACAAGTAAAGCTTTGCCACGCAGAGCCCTTTCAGATCAAATGAATAAACACTGAAGACTCAATTATCGATGCAATACATCTTTAAATGGAAAATCAGTTAACAACACAGCCATCTACACGAAGCACTAACAGTACCTCTGAACGGTGCCCTACACTCCCATTCTCAGATCCAGAATGCTGCTCATTTCCTTCATCTTCAACGTCAGATCCCGAATCTCTTTCGTCCTGCACCGGAGTAGCTCCACCGTCATCTACTCACGGGAAAAACAAGGGAAAATTCGGTGACATTTCCCAACATGCACCGGGCACTGAAGGCTCTGGGGGGCCCAGCAGCCGGGCCGGGGCACAGCCATGAGGTCACGTAGGGACACAGCCCGCACTGACTGCCTGGGGCACAGAGAGCCACAAACCTCCCCCGTTCCTCCCTCCCTCCTTCCTTCCCTCCCTCCCTCAGGGCCCCAGCGTCCCTCCCGCGCCGCTACCTGACTGGTCCCCGCTGTAGTACTCGGTCTCCATGGCGGGCCTCCGGCCCCGCCGAGACCCGGGGTCTGGCGGCGGGGCGAAGCCCTCAGCGCGGCGCTCAGCGCTGAGACCCACCGCCTACGAACACCTCCACCGCCCGGCTGTACAGGCCCAAAATGGCGCCTCCCCTCAGAACGGCCGCCGGTCACCCATGCGCATGCGCGAGTAGCATCCGCCTCTTTCTCCTCGCGCCCCGGCCCGGTAGCTCTCGCGAGAGTTTGGGGCGTCGCCAGAGAGCGCTGTATACGTTGGGGCGGGCGGGAGCAGGCGCTGTGGGAGCGGCGGGGGCTGCGGACGCGTCTGTTGGAGCCGGTGGCAAACTGGGAAAGGATGATTATTCGCTGCTTTATGCAGCCCGGGGATCCCCCTGCCAATGGGCGGGGCAGATCGTGCCCCAAGCAATCCCACGGCTACAGGACAGGAAAATTAACTTCTTGTTGGTGTGTTCTTCTGGAACACTGTTCTGGTTCAGTGACTCAAGTTGTGGGGAAACTGAAGAAGCCTGTGAGGAAAATAATAGTAATAATAATAAACTGAGCTCTTGCATCAACGAGTAACTGTAAAGAAATGTAAAATGATTATTCTAACAATGGTGATTCCACATATGGGCAGTGTGAGAGCTTCCAAGAGCTTCCAAGAGCCTGAAAATAGGGATCCAAAATGTTGGATGACTGCCTGCACACCCAGAATGGACTGGGAACCCGGGGTGTCCCTTCTGCCCATCAGATATGTGCTGGGAGCCCCCCAGCTTCATCCATTGCCTTCAGTAATAAAGATTGTACCACCTAGGAAATGGATGAATCTGTCTGCTCCCTGCAAGTGAAGATAGCAAGAAACAACGTGAATCTCTTTGAGATGGCAGGAGGAGAAAAACCTCCAAGCAAGCAGGCATGTGGGTGCTGGCAGCTCTCAGCGTGCTGCAGGCCAGCAATAGGAATGAGAAGTGGTTGTCTCAATGGAGTTCGGTCTGACCGCCCCATCTGAAGCTGTGGTTCAACACAGTTCATGCGTGGGTGATGCCTCCACATTTAGCCTTCAGCATCAACTGAAAGTTCGCCTCGAATGCCTCTCTGAATTGCCGACTTCCGGAGTAAGCAGGCAGATAAATCCATCAGGAATTGTTGTGTTCTGTTTTAGTGGCCTTTGTACTCAGAGCAGGTGCATAATGCACTTATTTGGCATGCCAAAGCTTGAGGATTACAAGCTACGACTTCTGTCATTGATAAAGCGTTTTAAAATGGGAAGCCGAATAAATCCATGTGCTGCTCATCTTCTTTTCTCGTTCTGTGCCAAATGTCTTCATTCTCTCAGATGGTGCAGGGTGTGTGACAAACAGAAAACATCTGTGTAATTTGAGATATTTCTAATTAATAACAGTGATTTTTATAATCTGATGTTCCTTTCTTGTTCAGGGACATCACAGTTCAATAAGCTGAGATCTCTGGTCTGACATGTAAATAAGTCATCATTTCTGCTAGAAATACTTCAGAGTGGATGGCAGAGAAGTAAAGCCTGTCTTAACACGTACACCCCAACAGCAAACACAATACAATGCATGCAGTTCATTCTACAGTGTTAAATACAGCTAAACTGTCTGACCTAAGGCATTGCTCAAAGTGACAGAATCTTGTTTCACTTAGAAGGAGAAATTGGCAGCAGAGTCAAATATTTCTTTGATGCAATCTTATATTAGCAAAAATGCAAAAATCCTTCTCCCTTCCTCCCCCCCCTCTCTCCCGCAAATCTGTGTACATGAAGCATAAAGAGAAGGTCTCTTCCTCACAGCTCTTTTCCAGATAGTCTCAAAGGTCTTTTAACTCTCCTCAGAATTGTGTTCTTAATTGTATTATGCCTTTTTTCCCTTCTCTGATGTGACTCTTACTGCTTTTAGCTCTTTGCTCTGTGTGGTTTCACTGAGGTCTTTTCTAGGAGGAGGCACATGTGCCTGTGTCTGATGGGAGGCTCCTACTGTTTCACTTATCTGACATCCATAAAGAAATTTAAATAGAAGGCTGTATGACGACTTGAATCCAACTCATAACAACACAACCAGTGAAGGTCTCTGCAGACAAATCACTAAAGTAGGAAATGAAATGTAAAATAATAGAAAATAAGGAGGAGAAACATAAATAGAAATTAACATAAAGGAGACTGAAAGTGCACTGAGGTGCTGGGAAATAGCACCAAAGTGTCTAGGAAACATGGAAGCCCACCAGATAAAGCAGGATCAGGGTACGATGGTTACCATCCCTTTTATTTTTATTTTTGTATGTTTATGAATATGTCATGTTCTGCAGTGATGTCAAGCCATTGTCCCAAATTCCAGCTGCAATGAGGCTGCAGTGATGAGAAAATAAATAATTTCTGCATTTGCTGAAAGTGAGCAGGCTTTCCTCCCTAAATGTAATGAATTTCAGAAAGGAAAGCTAACCACAAGCGTGGTGCTGTGACATCCCCACATGCACCACTGTATCAAGCAACCTCCTAATCTCAGTAACAGTGAATAATTGGACGTCAGTTTTGACAGCAGGTCTGCAGCCAACGTGTGTGTGTGCACTAGCATGCAAGCTTGCATGTGCTTGTCTTTGTCCTTCATGAGCCAGAACTTGGCACTCGCTGACCTGTAACATATTCCTTTAATACCTTCTTGGCTGCATCCCAAAAGGAAGGATGGAGTGACACTCAGACCATAATGGGATTGCACAGTGCAAGAGAGTGACCTGTCTTCTAGCAAGCAGAGTAAGCAGCACCCACTTGGCGAGTGTGGAGGTGTGTAATGACACAGATCCAAGTGCCTCACCAGTTTGCCTCAGTCCAGCATCATGAACTGCCTGGAATGAAATAAGCCTTTCCCTGAAGGACAGAATGCTCAAGACAATCAAGGGATGCACTTGAAAAATCCTCTTCTGGTATGTACTTCTTTAGTTTGCTTTGTTCTCCGCAGTGTGCCCTTCAGAGTTAACAGACATCAGTGACTTAGAGCTACAAATCTGCTTAGAAGAAGGCGGTTACTATAGACAGGAGAGCTTCCGTATGAACTGTTTAACCTGGAAACTGTTACATCCAATCCCCCCACAAACGGCATAAAAATAACTAGTTTAACATAAAATTATGCTTGGCATCTAGGACTGGGTGATGTGGAAATGATGAGGCTGCTTTGATTAGGCTGGAGAGGAAATGTGAGAGGAAATACCATGTGCAAATTAAACCCTTTGATCTTGGCATCAATCTCTTAATTAGGAAGCTGTCAGGAAGATGCAGTTCTGTTAACACGTCTGTCTGGGTAGACCTACTGTTCTGCACAACAGCAGAATTAATTTCACTAGGGATTATCCAATTTTAATTAATGTATTTCTCACTGTATTATTTATGAGCATGCTACAAATTACTCCAGTGCCTCTGCTACATCTAGCTACAGCTACAAATGTGCCTGTGACTTGCAGGGTCCCTTACCAAACTGTCTTCAGCAGTAAACAGAGTTGCTCACCCCTGGCAAACTCCTGATCCCTGCTACCTCCTGATACTGTGACTCAAACCTGAGCTCCAGCACTTCTGCTGGAGAAGCCTGCAGCAAGCTGTCTGCCCAGCTCTCACGTGCTTTCTAAAGAACCTAGGATGCTTCTGCTTGGGAGATCGAGTTGCTGCTCCTTCAGCATTTGTTTGTGCCACTTGAGTATGTCTAGACTTACCTGTGGAAATCCATCTCCCTTCTAATTGGTATTTCAGTGATGACACCATGAGTTGTGCTTTCCTTCAGGACTCCTGAGTTCCTCGTGTTCCCATCTCATACATGTTTACATATTCTGCTAGTACAGGAATAATTTGGTTATCTCTGAAATAGAGAACACTGCCATTGTGCCTTGGTGACAAGCATTGAAAATATTCTATTTTAGAATGTGATTCTCTGCCCCAAAACAAGCTGCATTTGGAATTTCAGCAAGTATGCTTCATTTGTTGAAGAATCATATATGGTATGTTTGTCTGTTTGTTTGTTTTCCTGCAATCTAATTGCACAAAAAGCTTTTTTTTTTAGACACCTACCTTGGCAGTCCAAAGGTGCTTACTTTGATTTTCTGATATTTGACCTACATCTAAAAATTCAGTGCTTCTTGAGGAGATTTTGGTCGTTCACACAGAGCACATACACTTCTAAAATAAAAGTCTGCTGAAGAACTGTCATCCTTAAGAATAACTTGCACAGTTAAGGAAAGCTCTGCTTTGTAGTTTCCTGCCTCTCTGAAAGCCTCTGAGCCCTAAGAGCCTACACTCTATTTGTGCTATAAAACTTAAATAATCTCTGGTTTGTTTGCTTAAGTTTTACAGCAGAAATAGAGGAAGCTAACGTTAAAATACAAATATGTAATGTGGACATGTAATGTGTAACACAAATTACTCCCAATTCTTCATCACTGTGCATGAATTCTGACCTCTGATTCCCATGTGGAACTACAGCAGGAATCCAAGACATGGAGGCTTCTTCTCATCTTTCCTATTACACGTTGTAGCTAATTAAACCTAGGAAACAAGAAAATAAGCACTAGGTATACCAGCATATATTCACAATTGCTGCACATTCTAAATTTGATTTAAAAGTCATCTGCATTAGGGTGTAGTGAGGCAAACCACTGCTGTGCACAGAGTTTGAGGGAAGGCTATACAATTAGTTTAAGGGATCTGTAAAAAAACTCATCCCCAGTGTTGGGCTTGCAGTTCAAGGATGAAATGTGCCATACTCCCAGGTGCTTGCTATAGCTGGAGGAGCCCTGCATCTGCCTCATTGCAGGCATACTGCCTTTCTCCTTCTTTCCTGGATGTCACATCTCAGGCTGGAAATTAATGGCATACTTAGTGGCAGAGGGTTACTGACAGTATATTTGAAGCAACTAGAAAGCAGGGAACTCAGAGCTGTCCTGTCCTCACTTGGAAAGAAAGAAATGGAGTTGACTTACAGAAAGTTAACTTGCACTGTGCTGGAACACAGGGACAGAGTGTTTGGTAGGCGATCAACTAATGAGAACAAAACCAGGACGAGTGAAACAGATCAGAAATCACAGTCCCTTTAGATGAGTGTGTGACCACTGGTATTTCAATTAAGTTCCACGAGCACTTTCCACCTTCAGCTATAGGTACTGTGAAACACAATCCCCACAAGACAGCAACTGATGTGCATTTTCTGACCTTGCAGAAGGAGCTGTACAAAACCAAAGGGAGGGATGAGAGATGAGAGCCCAATTTCCACTGAGCTAACAGTCATGCAGAGGGAAGTCAGTGGTGCTAGAGCAGCTAAGATCAGATGCTTAAGGGTTTCCTCTTGGGAGTGGTTTCCAGAAATGTGAAAGGATTCAAGCAGAGAGGAGAGACTGTAGTTTAAGGTTCACCCAGGCAAGAATCAGCTGTCCTGCTTACTGGAACACCTGACTTGGGAATGACAATATGCTCAACTGGGGGCAAAGTCCTGCAATAAATAACCGTGCTTCAGCTATTTCCTCCTTTGTGCAGCAGACAAGTGGCACTCAGCAAGAGAAACCTTCCTGGCACCAATGCCAGTTTCATCTTCCCTTTCCTTCTTACTCCCAAGCTTATGAAAAACAGGGAACTAAGCTGCTGAAGCCATACAGTGAAGATTTCTTCAGGAGAGGTAATTTTCCATCCCCTGGGCTGCAGGTTGTTTTGCTGCTGCGTTGCTTCGGAAAGAAAAGCAGCAGAAGAGCCAGGTGTTGAGGGAAGGCTGCCACTCAATCAGGAGGGGGGGTGCTCAGTTATGACTGGGAATAAGCATTTTCGGTGCTGAATCTACATATCCTGGGATTATAGAGGATCTCTACCCCATACACCCACTTGTGGGTCTAGAGGTAGATGTGCCCTGACCTGATCCAGCACAGCCGTTCTCCATGTTGGCTTGTACCACTCCCTCTCCATTCTGGGCAGACATTTCAGTCTCGCTGCGGTACTCTTATTTCTGGCTCAGGTTAGAAACTCTCTAGTGATTGTGAGTCCCTGTGGCTGACCATGGCCCACCTGTTGGCTACACACAGTGTTCCTGTACCACCCTGCTTTGCTCATGTCACAGGTCACCACACCCTGAGATTAGTGCACAGATCCAGTTGCCAAATCGTGAGTAAAGACATGAGGATGTGGCCGTAAGAAAACTGATCAGGAAAGATGGAATTTATTTCTTGAAAGAGAAGACAGAAAAAAAGTTAAAGGTCTCTTCTATGAGGAAAGATTTAGGGAACTGGGCTTGTTTAGCTTGGAGAAGAGAAGGCTCTGAAGAGACCTCATTGTGACCTTCCAGTATTTGAAGGGAATATATAAATGGGGGGAATGGCTGTTTATGAGGGTGAATAGTGATATGAAAAGGGGGAATGGTTTGAAACTGAGACAGGGGAGGTTTAGGTTGGATATTAGGAGGAATTTTTTCACCCAGAGGGTGGTGAAGCACTGGAACAGGTTGCCCAAGGAGGCTGTGGATGCCCCATCCCTGGAAGCATTCAAGGCCAGGCTGGATGTGGCTCTGGGCAGCCTGGGCTGGTGCACACCTGCACATAGGAGGGGGTTGGAACTGGATGATCACTGTGGTCCTTTTCAACCCAGGCTATTCTATGATTCTATGAAAGAACATTGCATTGCTAAGTTGATGTGCACCAAAATTCAGAATTGTCTTAGTTACAGAAGGTCTCTGGAGGTAGCCCTGGTCTCACAGGGAATTCTGAATGTAGTCACCAGGCACTGTGCTGGGGACACAGAAGTTGAAGGTCCTCCATGTGCCACATCGTGTTGTGTGACATTCCACACTTCTTCCTGTTATTGGGTGACGTGTGAAAACTGCAGTTAAAAATTCTGCTTTAAAACATGTGTTAGCATTGGACTTTTAGAGCAGTAGTCTCATCTCAACATCTTGAAGTTTCCATTTATTTTTCTCCTTGGGATCACAAGACATTTTGTAATTTTGATAACTTGTTATTTTTAATGTATTTTGTTGTTATTTGCAAGTGGTACATTGTTCTGGACTTGCTTAGAAACCTGTTCAATCCATGCTACTTCGTAAACCTTTTCAGCCACAAACAGGGCATGCACTTCTCATTTCCACTTTGCTACCATAGCAGCCCTCCTAGTGCTTAGGACATGGATGCAATGCTCACAGTGGCACTATCTTGCATATAGGGCTATAATTGCTCCCTCTGTTTAGTTTGAAGAAAAGGTGGTTTATGCAGCCATCAATTTTAGCTAAGGCTGTAATTTATGGAAGCTATTTGTGACTTCCCAGATAAGACAGGTAAGTAAAATTGGCAGCTACAGGAAAGCAAATGATAAAATGAACCCTCATTCTCTCACTACAAAATTTTCTTCTAACACTGAATACAAAAGTTTATTGAAACATGAAGAAGAAAACAATGTCATCCCCAAACTTCATTTCATTACGTGTATTTTAATGATGGTTTTTCAGGAGCATGAATTTCCAAAATCAAAGTGGTGGCTTAAAACACTTTTCTAGTAATTTAAAGAAAGGGAAAAATTATAAATTGCTCCATAGCTCCAGAACAAAATGGAGATAGAAGATTAAATGGCTGAAAATACTGTCAGAAAAATAATGAAACTTGCGTAGCTCTCATAAAATGTGTGCACAGTATTGCACAGAATTGTAAATAGTTGTTATAAATTTCATCCATAAGTTTTTAAAGCCTTTACAAGTGATAAAGAGAAGAAATCTCATGGGTTTCATTGAAATGATTTATGAATTTTCCCATCAGTCACTTTCGATGACTATTTGTATAGCAAAGGAAAAAAAACAAAACAAAACAAAACAACTTCCAACTCAGTTAATTCATGGTTTCCTTGCTTTTCTCAAGCTTTCCAGAGAACCTGTCCAAAATCTAGACAAGTTTAATTTGGGGTCAGAACAAAATAATTGCTCTACATGCAGAGAAAATAAGACCTTTGAATTTGAGTGTTGAGATAAAATTGGAGCAGGTGTTCCAGATCATGGACCTGCCTAGAATAAGTACCAGAAATCAGTTCCTTGTCCTGTCGTGTCCACTTGTCTTGTGAAATGCTTTACAGGAGCTTTGCCATCAGATGGGAATGTACAGAAGGGATGTATATATCCAGTGTCTTCACTGAGATCTTCCAAGCAGGAAGTTGTAAAATTTGCTTCAGATGTATGCTAAGGAAATGACAGTGATAATAGACCAAAAGAGAGTAGAAATGGAATTATTTAGTCCAAGGTTAGCATTTTGTGGAACATTTTGCTTATTGCAAGTGTTTCATTAGGAACTTTGAGTTGAACCCTGGGTGTGTGGTAGAGGAAGAGATCCTGTATAGAGATGAAAGGAGCAGAGTGGGCCGTGCAGCTGTTGGAAGGCTGTGATGTGTGGTTGTGGGGACCTGGGCGCACAGCAGCCACTCAATCACAGATTATTCTACCACCTTATGTGCAGGAAAGATTCTTGCTAGCAGGAAGAGAGAACAGGGAAAAATAAACCTTACCTTTTGGTCGGGAGATGGACCTACCTCACTTTGCAGTGAGCTGGAGCCAACAGCAACAAGCAGAAGAAGAAAGGATAAATGAAATGAAATTGTTATTAGGTATATGCTGCAGTTCTGTGGCTGTACCCATGCTGTTCCTCAAGTTCCAGCAGGAGGGACTCCACTCTGTGACTCACTGCTTAGCACAGGATCAGCAGACATGACATCACCCAGCTTATGCTTAATAGAGCCATATGTATCCTTAAGGTGTGTGCTCTGCTACAGAGGAGTGCTTCCCAATCTGTGATATAGAATCGTAGAATCACCAAAGTTGGAAAAGACCTCCAAGATCATCCAATCCAACTGTCCCCCTGTCACCAATATTTCCCATTAAACCATATCCCTTAGCACAAAATTTAAATGTTTCTTGAACATCTGCAGGGTGGTGACTCCACCACCTCCCTGGGCAGCCCATTCCAGCACCTGACCTCTCTTTTGGAGAATAAACTTTTCCTAATATACTGAAGAGGGAGGGAATATGCCATCCTCAAGTTATTGCAAAGAGTTTTCAGCAGTAATTGGGGTTTTATTCAGTACTGTCTGCACAGTGGAAGTTTGAAAGACAGTTCACCATTAGCAACCACTAAAATCATATGGTCATCTTTTATGTTTTAATTCGTTCCTCATTGTCCTTTATGTGAACTGTGTAGGTCTGCACATGAGTGGGGAGAGAGAACTCAGGTTTTTAAATGCAGTCTATTTTTTAGAGTTTATTCTCAGCTGAAACCTTTCACACGGCAAACTTTAGAAGTGAACTTTGTGAAGAGTCTTGACCAGCAATTTCCCCAACATAGTAAAAGGTCTTCATGCTGTAACAAGAATGGGAGCCAGCAAACCACAGTCCTGGAGTCGCTCCCCAAATCCAGCCCCTGTAGCCTATGGGTGAGGAAGCAGCTACTAAAGATTTTGGTTCCCTGGTTGTTCTAAGGAACACAGCCTAAACAGTATCACCCCTTAAGCAAAGCAGTGGTATAGACTTCTGGCCACTGGATATTTCACTATTCTTTTTAATAATGAGCTTCTAGTTTTATTGTGGTTCCCTCCAGTTCCTCATTTTGCTGCCCATTCCTTCAGGGCAACCGCTCTTGGTCCAACCAAGGACAGTTAATTGTAGATGTTATTTTCTAAATGGCAGAATGTTTAAGCTGGGATTCTCTGAGGGATCCAAGAAGCTTAGGAGAGCATGAATTAACCATGTCACTGGGCCAGCCACTTACAAGAACTGAACTGCTGGTTCAGCAGGCCAAAGTAACTCTGTTGTGCAACGGATCACATTGCATTGTGGGGTCTTTTGATTTGTGATCTAAACTTGCAGTTCAGGCAGTAAACATGCCTGATGCGTGACTGAGGGAATTATGCACATTGACTTCTTAGTGGTTGCAAGCATCTCTGGGCTGATAGAGCTCAGAGCAGACCACCAAACCAGATCTGCAGATTTTTACTTTGAGTAGATAATGTAATTGTTTCTAGAGTTGGTGTAGTTTATTATGATGTATTTCATTTTAGTGCAATCAATAAGCAGCATGACTTTAAGGCATTTTGCTGTTACTCTTTTCAAGAAAGTGTCTTCACTCCATTGCCTATTCTAATGAAAGCCTGAACCTTTTTCTGACCTAATATTGTGTTGTTCTTGGGACTGCAGGTTGCATACAGTGATCTGAGACATAATGGTCATTTTCAGAAAGGTAAGTCCAATCCTTTGCTATGATTTACTGATTCAGCCTGAGGCCTGAAGAGGAGAAAAAGACTTTAACATCCTTATTCATCTCAAAAGAAAAGCAGAAATAACCCGTTTTCAAAAAATATAAGATAGCAGTCCATACTGAAAATGCAAAAGCACCATGCCTTGTTGGGCTAGTGCTGGTGACCTCTGTCACAAGGTGTGGCACTGAAAGTGCAGATTACCTCTGTAGTTTTATTCAGTGCAAATCAGAGCACTTTAACGTTCTTTGTAACCTTATGTGACATTTACAGATGTTTACACTGCAGTCATTTGGTTTTAAATAGAAGTCCTTTAACTATTTTAGGAGGAAAAATAAATAATTTTTCAGTAAAAAACTTGAAACTTTGACAGTAATGCTGTGGTGAGAATGCAATAAAATAAATAAAATGTTTGTTGTATACAATAAGGCATAAGCCAATTCATACCCACTGAAGACCCAGCCTACAGCTTTGTTCCATTTTCATTCTAGCAATTGCAGTAAATTTTTGTTTCAACTTGAATTAGTGTCTGGAGCAAGAGAAGGTACTCTTGAGGTCTGGGAGTCCTAACAGGGCAGTAGTTCAGGCAACATCAAGGTGGTACTCATTCCTAGGAAAGGTCAGCCACAGCTCACACCTTTCCTCCAGCAGAGGACAGCAGAGCAACTCAGTCTGTTCATCCTTTTTTCACCTGGTAATGTCTTTGTTTTCAAGCATCTCATCTGAAAGAATACCGAAGCTAATGTGAGGACACCAAGGCACCTTGTTAGCATTCACTGTACACCCCACAGCCTCTGGGAGGTAGTGGAGCTGTACAGTCCCTGTCCTTGTAAAAGCTTTTAAGTCATTTCCTCTTGTAGGGCAACTGGACCCGATGACTTGACCAAAGTATGTTCTATGGTAGATGTGGAACTAAGGTCTCAATGCTCTAACCATCAGATTGTACTGCCTGCAAACAGTAAGAACTTGTCCAGTTAAACAGTGCAGAAACAATCAAAGCAATAGAAAATTAAGACCAAGAAATGTATGCATGTGAACTACACGGCATCTAGTATGTCATTTTACTTGACACTGGATTTTCTTCTTCCCAGGGTGATCACGTGTGGCTGGAAGCTCATCCAAACAGTGAATTTAACGTCCCTATTGGGGCAGTTGTGAAGGACTCTGACTCAGGACGGATCCTGCTGGAGGATGATGAAGGCAAGGTGGGCTACCCTATAACTTTCTGCAAATGATGAACGTAAAAGTAGAAAGTACAGAAGAAAGACCATACTGGGTCAGACTGAAGCTCCATCTAGACAGTCTGACTTTGATAATGGCTGATAGAATAAATTGAAAGAAATAATATAAAAATAATAATATAAGAATAGGGTGATACTTCCCTAGTATGCAGAGATCCCAACGGTATGAAGATTTAGAGCTTCCTGAGGCAGCAGTTATCAGCAGGTAGCTAAAAGCAGGAAATAGACAAGCTCCAATCCCAAAATTTGATAAAATCATGATCCCACTAAAGGCAGTTGGACTGCAGTGTTATCCCTACTTCGAACATGTTCTGGAAGAACTGCACTGTGAACATAGGTGATGTCAGGCTTCCCACATCTCTCACCTGAACCTTTAGGTGGGAATCAGGAGAGCATAACCTCTCCTACTGTAAGGGCAAGCAAGTCCAACACCACCTGATGAGATTGGATGTATATAAGTCCATGGGGACACCCTCTGCTCTGCCCTCGTGAGGCCCCATCTGTAGGACTGCATCCAGGCCTGTGGCACCCAGCACAGGAGGGATGCAGAGCTGTTGGAGCAGGTCCAGAGGAGGGCCACGAAAATCATCAGATGGATGGAGCACCTCTCCTATGAAGATAGGGTGAGAGAACTGGGCTTGTTCAGCCTGGAGAAGAGAAGGCTCTGGGAGATCTCATTGAGCTTTCCAGTACTTAAAAGGGAGCTTATAATCAGGGGGAATGGTTTTAATTAAAGAAGGGAAAATTTAGATTAGATGTTAGGGGAAAACTTTTTTACTCACAGGGTGGTGAGGCCCCAGCACAGGCTTCCCAGAGAAGTTGTGGATGTTCCAGCCCTGGAGTACACCAAGGCCAGGCTGAGTGGGGCCCTGGGCACCCTGATCTGGTGGGGACAACCCTGCCTACAGCTGGGGTTGGAAGTGGATGATCTTTAAGGTCCCTTCCAACCCAAGTCATTCTGTGATTCTGCGATGTCTGGAACCCAAATGAATGGCTTTGTCTGGGGTTTTAAATCATCTGGTTCTGTGGAGCAGCACACCTCTCGATTTCAGTCAGCTGTTTGTTAGAGTATGCTGCATTTAATGTGAACTCGAAATCATTCTGGTCTAACATGTCAGTCTTCTTTATTTGCCTCTAAGTAACAGCATAACCCATTAAAATGCTGCCTTTCCTTTTTCAGGAGCACTGGATCACAGCTCGGAACATGCACATGGTTCGCCCAATGGACCCTTCCACTGCCCAAGGGGTGGAAGACATGATCCGCCTTGGGGATCTCCACGAAGCAGGCATGGTGCATAACCTCCTCATCCGCCACCAGCAGCACAAAATCTATGTGAGTGCCAGTGTTACTGGAATGGTACTTTTAGGAATGACCTCTCATGCACCTTTAGAAGAGTGACTTAAGTAGCCTCCTAACTTCCTTTCATGCATAGGGCCCTCCAATTCCTTTACTGACTGAGAGTGCCAAGGAGGCATATTTTTTCTCTTCCTCCATCCAAGTAATTTGGCTGTGAAAAAAGGATTTAATATTAGTCTCTGAAATTGCAGAGATATGCAAAAGTAGTGACCCTGCTCACTTTCTCCTAGAGTGATCATTTCCAGCAGCAACTGACATTTAGCTAAATCCAGTCCATATTACTGAGTGCACATGCTGCTACTACTTGCAGCTGTGACTCTGGATCAGTTTAACCAGTATGCAGTGACATTATTTGGATCCAATCCAAGTCACTGTTTATTTAATTTAATGTAACAAAACAGGTAAAGAATAGATCTGCATATTTAGGACATTTGGTTTCACTTCCTGTCCATTACAGATTTAATCTGTGAGTTTGAACAATCTGACAGTTTCAGGTTTCTTGTTCCTTAGTTCCTAGTTTGCAATATGATAATAACATTTCAGCTTTTTCACACGTCATCTCCCATGTTATATACACTTCATACAGGAAAGGAGCTGTCTCTTACAATACAAACATGGTGATGTTCAGTGTAATGAAGCAGTGATTTTGATACATGCTGTAGTGACAACTACCAAGAGGTGCATACAGAACCATTACATTAGATTCCAGCAATCTGCCGTTGTGTCATGTACTTCTTGAACAATACAATTTCCAAGTACTTGACACTCTCCTTCATTTCAGTGGGGCTGTTTTTTATAAATACAAAATAAGTGTATAAATAGCACAACCGTAACATTGCCCAACTCATGGTAAGGAACCAGGCTTTTGGATCTCTCAGGTTTCTCACCTGAGTCTGCTTAGATCTACTCTGTGAATGCCTTTGGTTGTACTGTTGGTTGTGGGTTTGCTGCTGGAGGTAATGCTCATAACTGTTTTCCAGACTTACACAGGATCTATCTTGGTAGCAGTGAATCCATACCAGCTGCTGCCTCTCTACACAGTCGATCTTATCAGGCTGTACTGCAACAAGAGGATTGGAGAGCTGCCACCTCATGTCTTTGCCATTGCAGACAACTGTTACTTCAATATGAAGAGGAATAAGAGAGATCAGTGCTGTGTGATCAGGTAATTGTACTCATGATGCGTGGCAGACACCAAGTCTGGCATGTTTTTGGGGGATTTTTGCAGACACAGGAGACCTTTCAAATGGAAAGTCACAGATTAAGACTAGAGGCAACAGCAAGGAAATGTTCTCTTCCCTGCTACTTCTTTTTTTTTTGGTCAGGGCTACAAAAGCTGGAACAAAAGCAAGAGATATCTGAAGTCTGTTGTTTTCCCCTAGACTCTGAATGTGATGACATATTCTATACATATGTGTCTGTGTGATGTTGGACTGCATTTTACCTTGGGAACAGGATACTTGTGTTTCTTATATTTTCTGAAAACTGAGATTTCCTGAAGAAACACTGTCTCTGCTAATATCAAGATGGAAGAAACTACAGTATAAACACATGACATGTATCCATATTATGCCAGTCATCAGTAGAGAGAGCAGAGAGTCTCACTGCAGTGTGATTATGGTACATCACCTGAGTTGCCTCAGCTAAGACTAACACTGAAAATCTGATAATGCTTTAAAGAAAAGCAAGTAGTGATTTAATTTTTTACTGGTACAGAATGTGTTCCATGGATTTGCTCATTTTTAATCAAAGGGAGAATTTAGTCCTCAACCTTAGGCTAAAAAACACTTTACACTTTAGCAGATAAGGTGTTGAAAAGCTAGAATTGTATAGTCATCAATGAAAGACAACCTGATCTTCACAGCATAAAGTAGGATTTCACCTTGGTCTACCATTTGCCTCTCTAGCCAAAAAAAAAAAGAAAGCAAACCCTTAATGATCTCATTTCTTATTGCAGTGGAGAATCTGGAGCTGGGAAAACTGAAAGCACTAAGCTAATACTACAGTTTTTGGCAGCTGTCAGTGGCCAGCATTCCTGGATAGAGCAGCAAATCCTAGAGGCCAACCCCATTCTGGAAGGTGGGTTATTTAGCAAAAAAAAATCAACTTACCACACTTATCACAAGATTTTTGTCTCAGGGTAAAAATTCAGGAGCATACCCTCAAACAACTGTATTTGCATAACATAGCTAAAAACCCTGAAGCATAGGTGATGTAGGGCAGCAGTTCTCTAGTCTTTTTGCTGGGTCTTCATGAGGTCCAGAGCAGTTCTCATGATGCAGGAGAAGGTGCCATTGTAGCAGTACCTCAGAACTGCATGGAGCACAAGGGTCATAAGAGACATAGAGCATATTCAGATCACCTGATGTCTTTTAGGGCCCAGCTATCTGGATGCACACAATATGCCTGCCTGTCACTTCAGAAGGAAGTCAGCTCAGATATTCTTTAGTGCATGTCACTGTTTGGTGTACAACATGCAAAATACCAAGAGAAAAATGGAAGCACATCAAAAATAGACTTGATGTTCATTAACTGCAGTAATCAAGATCCTGTCTGTCCTTCTCCCATCAGCTTTTGGAAATGCCAAGACAATTCGAAATGACAATTCAAGCCGCTTTGGTAAATACATTGATATCTACTTCAACCACAGTGGTGTGATAGAAGGAGCCCGGATAGAACAGTTTCTTCTGGAAAAGTCCCGAGTTTGCCGGCAGGTGAGGCCGCTTGCAGACATCCATTCTGCCTGCTCCTGTGCTAGAAACCTGTACCAACAAGGCTATATTGGCCTCTTTCTTTCTTTCTAGGCTCCAGAGGAGAGGAACTATCACATCTTCTATTGCATGCTGATGGGGATGAATCTGGAGCAGAAAAAGATGCTGAATCTGGGCACTGCCTCAGAGTACACTTATCTCACTATGGTAACTATCTCCATTATCCCTCTGTCATTTGTTTTCTCCAGCAACCAGTACCATCACTAGGAGCTGCAGATGGGTGTACCATCAGTCCTTTCCTTAGAATACCAGAAGCAGTAACACAAGTTCTGTGAGTCTCAGTTTCAGAGGCTTACTGTAATGCCCATCTGTCCACCGCAGGGGCAGCATGTGGCAGTTCAAAGCTTTCTGTCCAACTCAGCCTTAAGAAACATTAAAGGGCATCATAAAGCACAATGGAAATATCCTCCATTTTCACGGGCGCTCAGACTTTAGGTGAATGCAAGGGATCTAATGCCAGGGAGAAAGCTAATTAAGTATGTATACCTTAGGTGATAATGAGTAAGCAGAAACAGTGCCAAGAATCCTTGTCCTTATGCCTGAGTTTATGTGATCTGAAGAGAAATCAGAAAAGATTCTCTTTACCTGTGAATGTGGTTTCTTGCAGGGCAACTGCACATCCTGTGACAGCCGGAACGACGCCAAGGAGTATGCCCACATCCGCTCGGCGATGAAGATCCTCATGTTCTCAGACTCTGAGCACTGGGACATCAGCAAACTTCTGGCTGCTATCCTGCATCTGGGGAATGTGGAGTTCGAAGGTAAACTCAGCATTGCCTCTGCTTGGTCTCTCCTCAGACTTGATGTTAAAGGCCTAGAGGTGCTTCTGCTTCCAGCTGTAAGGATTAGGTTGTGCTTCTCTGCTCAGTATAAATAGTTAGGTGGACTAGATTGGTGGGGCAGGCAATTAAGCACCATTTCACACTGGGTAATGTTTTGAAAAACACCCATCTTATTATTTTGTCACACTGGGATTTCCTTGGTTATAAATAGACCCTTATCACACTATCTGAATCACCAGACAAAATAATGCCATGCTGCATTTGCTGACTGTAGTGCTGTGTAAGTCAGAGGACAGAGGAGCAACTGAGTCATGCTTTCTGTGGAGATGATAGCTGTCATTGTCCTGCTGGGTACTGTGAACACTCAGCTGCATAAATGCAGCTCTGATAAGGCAGACAGTCTGATAACACCCATCAGTAGGACAGCAGGAGCTTTCATATTTTAGAAGAGGACTCATCTCTATGTGATGCAGTGGTGCCAGGTGGTTTTTTTGGGGTAATGCTGGCTGCTAAAATGAGGTATCTCCTATATGAAGGAAGGTTGTTATCTAGGCAACCTTTTTTGTCTACATTTCCCACCAGCTAGATACAAGACAAGAAATGTTTTCAGAAAAAAATCTGAAGTCAGTGGAGTTGTGGGGACCCTATATGTGCCAGAATCCCTAGGTAAAATTAGAACCTTCCTTAGTAAAATCTTCAAACGCAGGAGCTTCATCAGACAAATTACTACTTTGCCACATTCCTGGAGATACAAGCTTACAGAAATATGGCTGCACAGCTCCCAACCACAACAGAAATGATTAACCATGAAAATGACTGTTTTCTCATTCCAGCGGCTGTGTATGACAACTTGGACTGCTCTGATGTGATGGATTCACCACACTTTTCAATTGCGACCAAACTGCTTGAGGTAATAAACTCTCATCTTTTCCTACTTGTTCCTTTCTTCATCCATGCTCCTTGAGCACACTGACAAAGCATGTCTCTGTGGAGCATTTCTGTAGTGAAGCACATAGACGGGGCATTTCCTGTTCTTTCTGCTGATATTCAAGTGCTGCTATTGCAGATATCTTTCTGAGCCAGCAGATCCTTCAGTCTTGGGTTGCAGAATGCTGTCATGAGTGCTGCTGGACAAGCAGTTTGTCACAGCCCTCCTTCCTGAGACAGACTTTCTTTTCTGGGTCTCTTTTCTCTACCTGGAATGACGAAGTTGCCATGACTGTTCTTCCAGGTGGACTACAGTGAACTTCAGAACAGCCTCACAAACCTCTCCATCATTGTCCGAGGAGAAAGTGTGTCCAGGCCCCTGAATGTGGCCCAAGCTGCAGATGGGAGGGATGCCTTTGTGAAGGTACTGGTTCTTACATCTGCTCTGTTTAAAGACTGGGGATGCTTTCAGAGCTGTCTGTCTTACCAGTTAAAGGGCCTTATGTGATAAATGTGCACCCAGAGCACCTGGTTCCCTCTTGGTCTTCTGGCGTAATTTGACATCATTGTTTCAACACAACAGGAAGCAGAGAGATTTGTCCAAAGACTGTAATGATGAGCTCTCACTTTAATTTCTCCCCAGGGTATATATGGACGGATTTTCCTCTGGATAGTGAACAAGATCAACTCAGCCATTTTTAACCCAACTTCTCAGAAGCCTAAAAATACACGTCAGTCCATTGGGTTGTTGGATATTTTTGGGTTTGAAAACTTTAGCAACAACAGGTAAGAGGCTCAGGATTCATTTGCACTGGGGTGCTGAAAAGCAGTTGATGTAAATGGAAAAAATGAAAAAAAAAAACCCAAGCAAATTTCCTTCCATTATTATTGTCATTCCCAGAGAAGCAGTGAAATTTCCATCACTAAGTTTCCCCAGTGACAATCTAACACAAATACCATTTTTCTTTAGTCTTGGTCACATTTCTGCTTTCTCCTTCAGCTTTCAGTGTGGTGCAGCCATTGCACATGTCTATTCCAGAACCCCAGGAATTTGCTCAGGGAAGATGTCTATGAAGCTGCTATGAGCAGGCAGCCATGAAGAGCAGATACATGTTCCCCTTGTTCCATAGCATTTTAACAAGACTTCTTGGGATGCTTCTGTACACAGCAAAAAGGAGACTGTGTTTTGATTCCCATTTCAGCTATGCTTCTGTTTTGCTCAGTGTTCCCCTGTCACTCTTTGGGGACTACTTAATTTCTCTGCTTCGAAGGACAGGTCAGCAAAAAACTGGTCTGTATACACTGTCCTACTGTTACCTCTTGTACTGGTGTTTTCAGTCCCAGAGCACCATTTCTATACGCCCTTCTCTACAGAGGCAGCAGTTCTCTGTTTTATGGTACCATATCATCAGTACTCCACAAACCATCACATACAGTCTGGAGGCTACAAACCTTTGGGACCAGAGTAAGGAAACTTTCTCCATCATGGGGCACTGTTGACATGTGAGCAGTGTTGAGGCTGGTATGCTACAGGCAGTGAAGTATGTAGTAAATGACTGTGACAAACTGTGTAATTTGTGTCACTCCATTTCCCTCCACCTTTGTCAACTCCTCCTTGATAAATCAATTAAAATGTTCCACTTTTTTCATTCTTTCTAAATTCCACATGGCAACCTTTTACAATCCATTGCAACAGATGCATCCTACTTGCATTCAGCAAGATAATATTCCTCACTGACTTTTAGAACATAAGCTGTTCAGCCCATCCACATTTTTAATGTTCTTTCCTATTATTTTATGCTATCCCCAAAGGCTGCAGTCCACATGGGGCCTCACTGGCACACATTGTGCCACAGCAATTACCAGGTAATGAAACTCACATGCAGTGTTAAGGACTAACTGATAAAAGAAGTGGTAATGCCATTGCAAGTAAAAACAGATTATACACTCACCCAGACATGCTATTTTCACAGTTATGTGTTCCCCCTTCTCTCTAGAGTTCCTTGAAACAGATCATTCCTTGCTTAACCAGCAACACTCAGTCAACAGTTGGCTCATTTCTGCTCATCTTTATTAGAGCAGGAAATGCATCTTTTATGTTCCTAAGACAACATGCAGTGGTGGTGATCATTAACATGGAATATAACAGTAATTTGTCTGGAAAAGTATTAAATATGGACAATAAACAAATGCCATAGAGCAGTGCAGCACTGGCCAGGGTCCAGGAATGACCATGGGTTCCCATCTTGTCCCCTTACAGCTTTGAGCAGCTCTGCATTAACATTGCAAATGAACATCTTCAGCAGTTCTTTGTGCACCATGTCTTCAAGCTGGAGCAAGAGGAATACCTTGCAGAGCACATTACCTGGAATAACATTGACTTCACTGACAACCGCCAGGCTCTGGAGGTCATTGCACTCAAACCCATGAATATCATCTCCCTCATTGATGAGGAGAGCAAGTTCCCAAAGGTAACTTTCTGGTTTCACCTGTAATATTTGACCTTGAGCACAGCACATCAACAATGCTTTACACACAGAAAAGTGCAGAGGAGGCTTTCAGAGACAATACCCCCTTTTAATTTGCTATATGAATACTTTCTCTGCCAGAGTGTGCTGTTCCTGGTACCTTGCTGTTTTGAAACTTTTACAGTTGTACCAGATGGAGAAGGAAGGAGACATGATCATTCTGAAGTGACTTTTTAGAAAATGTATGGATTTTCATATTGAGTATTGTTCTGCTGTTGGTCTGGGCTGCACCTTCCTCTTTCTTCTCTTGGATGACAGTCATAGTTGAGCACTGTAATCGTGAAAAAAATGCCATTCTACAAAGGGCAGGCATCTCCAACAGAAGAACAGAGTTAAAGTAGCATCTGATCTCAAACATAGCTGCTGCAGATTTCCATGGTCTGCACATTTCCATGACAAGGGTAAGCAGGACTGTCAGTACAGGAATCAGATGGCAGCACCAGCTTATCTAGGAAAGCAAGCTTCTGCCTCAGCTCACCTGTAGTACTCAGGCAGCAATTTTAGAGGTTTGTGTACAAACAGAGAGCTTTCCCCTTTTTTTCCTGAGAAGAGGGTGGTCCCAATTGTAAGTCCTGTAATCAGGAGAAAAGTCTCTTCTATGATTCCCAGAGTACATGGCTTCTCAGATAGTACAGCACTACCATAACAGGGGAAGTGAGCAGAACTACCCTCACACACATCCCAAGGGGATGAGGATGTGATGGCACCAGCTGGCTGCTGGTAGAAGTCACAGTCCATGCTGGGTATCTGCTTTGGGCTGCCTTCTGGGGATCTCTGAGTCTTGTACCAGTAGGGCAATGAAAGCAGGTCCTGTGCACCTACCTGGTTACTTCACAAACAAGGGGCAGAATTTAGCCTTTGTTATCTTGAAGCACCTTATGTGTTTGTTTGCTGGGCATAGCCTTATGCTACAACAGAGAATCTATTTAACTGTCCTTTTCCACCTGTATTTGTTTCTAGGGCACAGATGCCACCATGCTTATCAAAATCAATTCCCTCCATGGAAAAAGTAGAGTCTATATCCCACCTAAGAGTGACCATGACACCAAGTTTGGCATTAACCACTTTGCTGGGGCTGTCTTTTATGAATCAAAAGGTGAGCCTTTCTTGGCTGGATGTGGAAGGTGAAGAGAAGAGCATCATTTGCCATGCTTTATGGCACTCCAGAGTAGTGTTGATCTGTAATTTCTCAAGATAAGAGTTCAAAACATTCAGGTTTATTTTGCTGAAGTCAGGAGGTCAAGAGGATTACTGTAAACTAATCATCAAGTTACTATAGATGAAATTGATTTTAGCTTGACAGAGTTGCATTAGAGCCAGTAGGCTGCAGAGATGACAAGCTGTTCTTTCTTTCTTTTTCCATCCTATAGATTTCTTAGAGAAAAACAGGGACACTCTGAGTGCTAATGTAATGCAAGTGGTTCATTCCTCCAAAAATAAATTCCTGAAGGAGATTTTCCAGGTGGAAACAACCCCAACTAGTCTGGGACGTGGTACTATCCGGCATCTTGGAAGTGACCAGGCCTACAAGGTTGGCTTACTGACACTGTGATGCAGAACCAGCTAATTTCCCTACTGTAATGCTCTGCCTGTTCTTGACCTTCGCTTTCTGTTGTACTGTTTCTGCACATGCCTTCCCCTTTCATTTCTTCAAAGGATTCTGAAGGAAAAGTTAGGAGAGTCCTGGCCTTTCCTGTCTTGCAGAGTGGCTGGCTAGCACAAAGAGCAAATAGCTGTGCTGTCACAGAAGGCCACTCCATCTCCCATAGACAGTCTCACCAACCTGCACATTGCTGCAGTGTTAGCTCTCCCTCCACATTCAGAGCCTTTGTGACAAAGTTGCTGGTGGCTAATTATCACAGAAACATCAGTGCCTGGAGGTATCAGGAGCCCCAGTGAAGTACAGCGGTCTGGAAATGCTGTGGGCCAGAGTTCAGGCTCTCTGCCTTGCTGCAGTTTTCTTTACTTCTGAGCCCTAAACCATGCAGCATCAGTATTGGGTGAAGGTACTTTCGCTTTTAGTGCTTATATCCCTCAGCTTCCTTCTCAGAGTGGAGGGTGAACAGTTGTCCTACCTGTTATCTCCCTATTCTCCTGGCATTTTTTTCTCATCCTGTTCTCTCTTCCTCAGTCTCTAGCCCAATGTGGCTTTTTGCTGTCCAGAACATCTGGCTACGGACAGGTAAACAACCTGTGGGAGAAAAAAAGTAGTATCAGATACAACATAGAGATGGTTTAGCATCTATTAAACATTATGAGTAACTTAAGATTAAATATCAGGCCTATCTATGTTGGTCTGATGGGTTTTTCTCTTTAAATAAGGTTGTGTTATTGGGGGGGGGGAAGTTTCCTTAGGAAAGCATTTAGAAAGTAGAGCAGCATGAAAAGAAAAAAACTACTAAATGTGGACTACCATCCACAAAAACTCACCACCACCCCAGCAACAAGTTCCACCTAACAGTGTCATTTCTAAAGGTAGTCTGTGAAACTGGGAGATTGGCTTCAGCCTTCTGAGACCATCCCATTAATTTACTGGTACAGCAAAAAAACCCCTGGGGTCTGGGAGTGCAAACTGCTTTTTGGCACTAATGCATTTAGACATCTATCTGATGTTATCGTATCTACTTCAAACAGATGTTTGCTAGGCCTAAAAAGCATCACAGCTGCTATGAAGTATTCCCAGGAGCTATTTTACAAGGCATGAGTGTTTGGTCGCTGGAGGGCAGCATTGCCACATAGCTGAGAGCAGAAGGTGGCAGCTCAGGTCTTGAAAAGGACACTTTAAATGTAAGAAACAGTAGAATGAGTGACTATAAAGGTCATTAAAGTAACGAGAGCCACTGGGATTTAAATTTATCTGGAGTAGGAAAAACAAACAAACAAGTGGGAAAAAAAACCCCACAACCTGAGCTAAAACAAAACAAAAAGTTTTATTGTGCTGTAATGACTCCAAGCTCATAGGAAGACTGTCAGAAAAAAGCCAGCAGATTCTTTTTGTTACTTGGAATCTGTGCTGCTCTCACTGTAATTTAATACACCCTTAAACACAAAAAGAGCAGTTAAGGCCTGTTGTGATAATGTTTGGAAGAGGACAAAGGTGGAACTGTGCTTGCAGGGAAGCTGAGGAAGTCAGGAGATAATTGCAGCCAAGTGCAATCCTTCTGGGCTTACACTAGTGCAGCTGGGGCAAAATTCAACTCAGAAGCTGTGAGGCATAAAGCACTGCATCTGCAGGCAAAAATAAAGCAGCTTTTACATTATTCTCCAGTAGAAGTTTGCCTTTCACTACTTACTGTAGTAGTGAAAGCAGGGAAACCACCCTAAATGTTAAAAGAAAGAGCTGTTCTGAATCCTAGCTAGCTATGAGCTGGCAGCAAGCTGCCTGCCTGCTCAAGAGGCTATTTTTGGGAGTGGCTGTTTCCTGCCAAACTTTCAGGCGTGCATCTGTGTATAATAGCTTGGCACCCAAGCCCTGCACAAGGCACAGTCTTGGTTAGAAGAGACAGGCCTGTGTGGGCTCCTGTGGGTTGAATTTCTTCCACCACAGCCAGCCCTACTGCTAGAACTTACACCCATGTAGTGCTGGGTATCAGTGAGGTTGTAAGATTTGCAGAAGGCAGATTTAGCTCCCTTGTAGGTAAATAACATTTCCTGGCAGTTGTATGGTACCATTACCTAGCACAGAAATAGAAAGCTGTATTAACTGGCCCTCTGATGATGAACAATGTAGCAGACAGCATGTGCTTATTCTTCCCAGGGCCTGGATACCACCAAACGGCTCTCTACTCTGGGGGGCCAGTTCAAGCAGTCCCTGGAAAAGCTAATGAAAATTCTTGGTCAGTGCCAGCCATACTTCATCCGCTGCATCAAACCCAATGACTACAAGAAACCACTGGTAATAATTTAACAATATGAAATCTTGTTTTCCTTAAACTTTTTAATGAGAAAAAGCTGTCAGTTGCAGTGTAGGATTTTCTATCTGTACTTCAGACAAGAACTGGAGGATGAGGTATTACTGCAATGAAAAGGGCAGTATGATATAGCAAGGTTCATTTATAAAATCATCTGTAAATCGATCCTAGAGTGATGGGCTGCCAAAAGAGCACTGGGAGCAACTCTAGAAGCCATTCTTGTAAACAGAGAACTGGAGAGTTTCCAACCCCCAGCAAGGGGACAAATAAAAACTGAGATCCAGCAATGACTATACCATGAAATAGCTTGAGAGAGATAAAGAAAGCTGTGGGTGAGAAGGATGATACAGCTAGATTTGACACCACAGAAGAAGCTCAAGAAGAAGCTCATTTGTCATTAAAATGTTTGGCTGGATCTTGGGGGATCAAAACCCAGTTCTACACTGGGTTTTGTTTGTTGTTGGTCGAGTGACTTAATTGTTTTTAATGTTGTGCATGTGGATTAGTGAGCCTATTTTTTAAGAAACTAGGAGCAGTCATGCTGTGCTAAGCCCAAAGGAGATAAGTTTCTATTGCAGTTTCTTGCACCTGCAAAACAATATGATCATTCACCTGAATTTACATTTATAGAATTGAAGATATAGAATTGAAGATGGTTGCTAAAGCCAGTCAGAACTTAATAGACTGTTTCTGCTGCCAAACACATGTGAAGACTTTAAAGTGGCATGTTTATGCCCATAATTAATTAGTCTGGGACACTGAAATAAGAGTACAATTAAGAAAAGCATAGTAGCCTGTTTTGCAGTTCTCTGAGTTCTCAGGTTAATAGATGTGTTCTGAGGAACATTGCATGTGCAGCCTCTTTCTGTGCTAACTCCTTGTCTGCTCTCTTTTGCAGCTGTTTGACCGGGGGCTGTGTATCAAACAGCTGCGATACTCAGGGATGATGGAGACCATTAGGATCAGGAAAGCTGGCTACCCAGTTCGTTACACCTTTGAGGAGTTCTTTGAGAGATACAGAGTCCTCCTGCCGTGGTCTGCTCTAGAACCGGTGTGTTAGCACGTGCTTGCTTTAAGCAAATCTAACTCTTCCTTATGAGGGGTTAGGTCTTTCCCACTGGAGAAAGTTCTTAGATTACTGCTGGCACAACAGAGAGAGAGCTGTCATCACTGGAATGGTAGCTAAATATTGAGAACCTCACTTGGACCTCAGCCGAAAGTAGAGCGCTGTTAGGTCCAGCTAATCCTGGACTTGCTCCACATAGACACTCCAGGCAGGATGGCATTACTACTGCCCTCAAGTTGTTTGTTTTTCTGCAATCACACACTTCTGACATAGTCAGAATTGACAGTTTTCCTGTCATTTTAACTCTGGAATGCTTCACCAAGCACTAATGTTCCTCCTTTTCTTGACCATTTGAGCTGAACACTTTCATTCATTATCCTGTTGGCCCAGAGGTCTGTCAGACCTCATCTGTTTGCATTCTTTGCTCACTGAAATGCAGGGCCATAGGTTCCTTACATAGTACAGCCACTTTGTTTCCAAACAAGCCCTAACATAATGATACTTTTGCACATCAGGTGAAGAATGATGCTCGACAGTGCTGTATCAGAATCTCTGAAGCAGTGCTGGGCAAAGACGAAAGCTGGCAGGCTGGAAAAACAAAGATTTTCCTTAAAGTAAGTAAAAAGAACAGTTTGTTGTCTCTTCTCCTGAAGAACTGGGCACTTCACCATAAAGCTTGACCTGTCAGCACAAGAGCGGTGGCCTAGAAGGACTGAGTTCACTTAAAGGTCTCTCTTAGAACTCACACTCTTGAAGACAATGTAATTTGATGGACACAAGCTTGGTGTAGGAATGGGCTGATACTTTCCCTGTTCTCCAGTGGGGTAGCTGAAACAGTAGAGTGTGATGCATTGGACTCTGCTCAAGTGCAGAGCATAAAAAGTAACTGCATACCAGCATGCTGTCACAGGGAACTTCCTTGCCCTAAGTAAGGTAAAAAACATCCCTTCTTTAGGCAGATTCTGTGCGTGTTCATTGCTACTGCCACACACAGCATGGCTGGGTGGTGCACACTCTTTCTACTGCAGATTGCACATTTGAATCCCAGCTTGCACTACGTCACGCTGATTCTGCACCTCTTTCAGAACTTGTGCCCAGTTTTCAGAAGTGGGGATGTCTGTTCAACTGTATATCAATATTTTCTTTTAACAGGATTATCATGATACAATATTGGAGTTAGAACGACAGAAAATACTCACAGATAAGGTTCTTCTTATCCAGAAGGTGATGAGAGGTTTCAAGGACAGGTCAGTGATGCTACAGAAGGGAATTTGATTAGGTTTGAAGCACAAACATTTGTACTGATCTTTAACATTCTCACTGAAACTCTTCTGCTTATGAAGCGTATCAGTCCTAACTTCCACTGGCCCTAAATTCTATGCTCATCATGTAACAGTGCATCTATGCAAGTTTTGCACAAAGATTTGTTCTGTCTCAGTTTACTATAATTATGCTTTTCAAAATGCAGGATTTCTGCACGTGCAGCTGAGAGGAAGGGTTGGAAGGAAGATATGCACTTAATATTCATAGCACACAGCACAGATACCTTATCAGGAATCTGGAAAACAGGAAGTTTGTGTGCAGTTTGTTCTTTCCAGAGCTACAAGGACCTTCTTTTTCAGTATACTTATTTAATATAAGACATAAAAAAAAAAAAAATAGTAAAGATAGAAAACTAAATAGGAAACTACCTAGTCCTCCACCTTGACAAAGATACACAACTCTTGTTTGGTTTGAAATATCTTCAAAAGGGATATTAAGTCACTGCCAAAAAAAATAGTTGTCCTCAATAAATGCTTTATGTTATTATCTGTATTTATTAATTTTGTGCCACCCAATCAGAAGCATAATATAAGACTAACTGCTGGGTTGGTTTAAAAATGTTCCTAACAGTGGAGAAGCAGTTGCTGAGGATATTCTCACACCTTTAAGGTCAAAGTCAGATATGTCAAAGTAGATTACTAATATTTTTATCTCATCCTTTCTACTTGCAAATGGATAACAAAACAAATATGAAAGCTCTCACTGGTGCCTTCACTGAACTGAATTGGTGCTGCTTCACCTCCAGGACGAGCTGAGCTCACATGAAATTCCCCAGGGGCTGTGTTATGTAAAGGTTCAGCAAAACAGCCTCTTCTCACATCTCCATCAGCCAGGAGAAGGCATAAGACAACAAAACACTTTCAGTGAGGATTATCTCATAGTTGAGCTTCAGATTTGCCCTAGCAAGTTGTTTACTAGCAACGGAGCTAGTTAGCGTAGCTTTAGTTTTTCTGACTAGTATTCCTATTCAGCAACAATGGCTGAGATCAGAGCGCGGAAATCCCATAAATAGAAAAAAACCCACCACCTTTATTTTTTATTCTTATCCTATGTAGCAGCAGAGATAACTATTGCTTCTCACCTCATTTGTCTGTTTGCATAGGAAGCAGTTTTTGAAACAGAGGAAGTCTGCCATAGCTATCCAAGCAGCTTGGCGAGGCTACTGCTGCCGGAAGGATTTCAGGATGGTAAGAAGCACGTGTGTGTGTGTGTATGTGTGTGTGTAACAACCAGAAAGATCAGCACAGTAGATTAGCAATACAGGAGATACAATAACAGAGAGACTAGTGCGACAGAGAGGTGTTCTGCAGAACAAAGAAAAGTGCTCGCTCCTCTCTGAAGATCAAGGCTCACAGGAAAAACTCCACAAGGGAAAAATCTTCAACCAGAAAACCTTCCCCAGTGGCAGTCAGCCCTTAAACGAGGTCTAAGGGAGGTGCAGCCAGGCTCCACTCCTTCCAGTCACACAGCTGAACTGCCTTCACCTGTGTTCCCAGGGCTGACCGGCTCCTTTCCCCAGGTGTTCAATCAGTGGGTCAGGCTGGGACTCAACGATTAGGATACAGTATGTCTGTATTTATATACCATCCCTCCCCAGCTGAGGGGAGTAGAGAGAATTAAAATATTCACAAATTAAGAGGGGAAAAAAAAAATGGCAGGGTACAAGGAAGGGGTTTGTTGGGCCTAAGGAGGACTCTGGGGCATCTCATGGCTTGCTGAGCCTGTGATGATTCTGCTTACTGGTGAAATAGTAACCCAACTAACCTCTGGCAGGCCTGGCTCCAGCATCCTGGCACCCCAGTGCTCCCACACTCCTTCTGTTCCAAGGCTGGCATTTGTGCATCACTGACAAGCTGTGATCAAAGGGTCTTCCACAACAGTTAGAGCAAACAGACTGGGAATGTGTAACAAAGCGTATCAATCTCTCTCTCCCTTTTTTTTTTTTTTTTTAAATAATGGCTGAACTTGTATAGATTGACATTTTTGTGGGTGAAAAAAGCTGGAACGTACTGATGGTGCTCATATATTGTATGTTTCTGTGGGAGAAGTTTTTAATATATGAGAACCTCCCATTCATAAAGAGCAAGAGGAGAAACTGCCAGTTTCAGTCAGGAACATTTTCTATTTTGTGTCAGTGACCCAGTCCCTATCTGAAGATAGGGACTGCCCCATCTATTTCTGACTCATCTCTCCCAAAGCTATGCCCTGTTTGTTTTTTTTCCCATACACTTAGTTTAATTTCTGCTCTTTTTTCCCTTGTCATCATCTCAGGCTAATCCCTAGAAAGGGTCCTCAAAAGAACACTCCCTCACATGATTTTAAAGGCTGAACTATCAGAAATCAAAGTATTCCTTTGGAGAGCAGCATTCCGTTAACCTCTTCCAATGTCTTTATCCAACTACTGAATTTTGTTGTCTTCTACTCATCTCACTGAACCCCAGACTCACTTGTTTGAATCATGATCACTTCTTTTTTTCTCCACCTCCTACAGATTATGCTGGGCTTTGGGCGCCTGCAGGCCCTCTACCGGAGCCGGCAGCTTGCTAAGCAGTATGAAACAGCCCGGGCACACATCATCAGGTTTCAAGCTGCATGCCGTGGTTATCTAATACGTCAAAAGGTAGCAGCACAGATGAAAGCTGTTTGTGTTACATACAGGCATATACAAGGGGCATATTTTCTTGCCAAACTTCACAGAGGATGAAGAGGGAGGTATACATATGTGTCCAGATATTTTGTCAACGTGACGTTGTTTCTATGAGGTTCTGAGGCATAATGACCAGTAAGTGTTGCCACAGCATAGCACCAGATGTGGATATTTATTTTGGAACATTTTATTTTGAGGTACAAAAGCAGGTATGATCTTATTTACACGTTCTTTATACATTCATTTCCATGGATCAGAACTTCAGTGACAGAGCAGAAATGTTTTTGACAGAATGAAAGATAAAAGGATAAAAGTCATTCCTGCAAAGGAAGATTAATTTCTACAGCAAGACCTGTTAATGGCACTTAGAGATACATCTAAGAGGGAATCCTGATGTAGTGTATATTGGTATGCACTGCCAGATAAAGTCTTGTACTTACTACCTTGGCTATCTATTGCCAAGGGAACTCTTGCTGTGGTTTTCTTTTTGTATTATATCTTGTACAAACAAGACAAAGCCAGTTAGCAGATCTCTGCCTGTGGCTCATTCCCTAAATGGAATAGTCCCTGTTGGGATGAAACCCTGGTGTGGACAGCTTGCTAATGGTGTAACTTGCTCAGCAGTTTTGGAAACAGTAACAGAATGGTTCTGTTGCCTACAGAACAAAGTCAAGCTGGAAGCAAGGAATATCCGCTTGGAAGAAGAGGAACGTCTCATTAGCATCGTTGGCCCAGTGAAAGCAAGGGAAGAAGCTATGAGGTTAGAAAAGGTAGGTATGTCAGCTAAGGAATACTGAACATAATATGCTTTTCCTGTATAATCACTAAGTGATGCAGTTCTTGAATACAGAACATTATTGTTAATAGACCAACAGTCTACAAAGACAACTGTAGGAGCAAAGCACTTTGCAATTGTGTTTTATCCTCACACCCATTTCTTTTAGCAGAATTATGTTCCAATCATGCTTAATGAACTTCTGTGTTTAAAGGAACACCTAGCTGCTCTGGAAGAAGAGGAGGAGGAAGAAGGACAAAGGATGAATGATGATTTTGTCGACAGACACACAAATTATGATGTTATCAGTGACCAGGAGATGGTGGACAAAATTTTTGGATTTTTACCTTCTATGATTGGAGGCCAAGAAGGACAGGCTCCTCTGGGCTTTGAGGTACAGTGTTCATGTTCATGTAAATCTAACAAATCTGTTCGAATTCCATCAGTGGTCAATTCTATTTACTGAACTGTACAGACAGAACCTGCTTTCAGAGGTCAGTTCCCAAAAGTTTTTGGTCACCTGCCATTGAGGGACTGTGTGTCGTCAAAAAGCACTTCATATTTATTTCTTTATCCCAGTAGACCCCCACCAAATAATGCTATTCTGTCCATTTTGGAACCAGCCACATGATCTGCTGCCAGAGCTCTCAATGATTTTCCAGCTGGCACAAGCTGGAATTTCATGACCTAAGTTATCTCATGTTCTGAAAAGCAAAATTTGACTGACAGCTACAGAATAGGCTGGACATCTAGTATCTACTACTGTCCATCTGGACAGATGGAGTAGGGAGAGTAGATAGAATAGAATAGAGTGGGCTGGGTTGTACAGGATATGAGCAGTAAGACAGAACCTGCGTTTTGCAACCAGCAGCTTTCTTGGTTAGCTGAAGACCAGGGCAGGAGAACAAACTGTGAATCCCAGTAGTCTGTTGGTGGTGGCTGAAAAATGGCTTTAGTGTTAGCTGGAAAGTACATAAAATATCAGATGAGAGAGAAAAAGATGCTTCTTACCATAGAATGACAGAATGGCTTAGGTTGGAAGGGACCTTAAAGATTATCTAGTTCCAACCCCCCTGCCATGGGGCCCCATCCAAACTGGCTGCCCAGAGCCCCATCCAGCCTGGCTTTGAGAACCTCAGGGAATGAGACATCTACAGTTTCTCTGGCAGCCTGTGCTAGGGCCTCACCATCCTCTGAGTAAAAAATTTCCTTCTAACATCTCATCTAAATCTCTTTAAGTTTAAAATCATTCCCCTTGTCCTGTCACTTTCTGTCCATGTAAAAAGTCAATCTTCCTCCCATTTATAAGTTCCCCTTTAAGTACTGTAAGGCTGCAATGAGGTCTCCCCAGAGCCTTCTCCAGGCTGAACAAGCTGAGCTCTCTCAACCTATCTTCATAGGTGCTTCAGCCATTTGTGGCCCTCCTCTGGACCTGCTTCAACAGCTCTGCATCACTCGTGCACTGGGGCCTGATCACAGTACTCCAGATGGGGTCTCATGAGGGCAGAGCAGAGGAGACAATCCCCTCCCTCTCCCTGCTGCCACCCCTCTGTTGGTGCAGCCCAGGGTACAGTTGGCCTTTCAGGCTGCGGGTGCACACTGCTGGCTCATGTCCAGATTTTTGTCCACCAGAACTCCCAAGTCTTTTTCTTCCTCATGTTCTGCACAGGATTTGGAAACAAAGCCCAGCAAGCTGGAAGAAGTGGACCTGGACACGATTCCTATGAGCGTGGAGCTAGAAGAGGAAGCAGATGGCTTGGAAGACTACACCTTCCCAAAGTTTGCAGCTACTTATTTCCAGGGGTCGTCTACACATACACACATCCGGAAACCACTACGGCACCCATTACTCTACCATGATGACAAGGACAACGTCCTGGTATCTTGCTCCTTGTTGATGAACTTGCTCCCCTCACCTCAGGCACAGTCCTAGGAGCCAGAGACTTTAGAGCCAAGCAGATACTCCTAATCACTTGTATGAAAGTAGTTGTTCACATCAGCATTTTGTAGTGCTTTGCAAGCAGGCATTTCACATAGATGCCTGCCTAGCACAAGATCTTTGGTCACCATCTTTGCTCAGAGAGCACTCTGAGGCTTATTGTGACTTCTTCAGATATCCTCTGGGGCCAAAAGTGGACAGAGGAAGCATCAGAGCTTGCCTAACTCTCTACTCTTGTGAGGGTTGCTGCTCTGTGAGCTAGGACAGAAATGGAGAGGCAACCTGGGCCTCCAGATTTTCCTGTTGAATCACAGAAGGATGAAGAAGGGGAGCTTTTCTTGATGCTAAGCAGCATTGTAGAATGCTGCAAAAAACGTTGCTTACTAGTTCTGGGTGTCAGGGCTCCTGGAAGAGCTTGCAGCACTGCTTCTCTGCCCAGGTGGGTAAAGGCAGAGTGCTGTTCAGCAATGGTTTCTCTTTTTCACTCCAGCCACAACACACCTATGAAGTGCCAGTAAAGAGGAGTGCTGAGAGCATATCTGATATTCCCACTAGGGCTGCATCCTCTTCCTGAGAGTGTTGTGAATGTTGCTCATGTGGTTGGACAAGAAAGTAAACTTCAGGTGTGAACGGCAGGAAGAGACAGGGATTAACAGCTTGAACTGGGTAAAAGAAGGAAGAAATATTGTGAGGCATTCTGTGACTTGGCAGGGTCTGACTGTGCCTCCTGTCTCTGCAGGCTTCTCTAGTTGTGTGGGTTACCATCCTGAGATTCATGGGGGACCTACCAGAGCCAACAATGTTTGCCAAGAATGCCACCAAGAGCAGTTCTATGATGACGCAGATATATGACACACTTGGCAGAAAAAATCAAGTCCAGTTCAAGAATGACAGCCCAGATATGGTGAGATGATCAAGCTATGTTTGTATTTTCATGTGCTTTCCCTGGTTTCTGTGCTGTTCTACTGAGACAGAAAAGCTGAGGAACTTTTGCATGCTGCTGTACTTGAAATAGCAATTGCAAAAGGATGCGGGGTTGATCCCAGGAGGACAACACAGCTCCTTCTGGTCAGAGGAGACCAAACAAAAACATCTCTATTTGACTATCTTTTCTTTCTCCATGAATAGTTCTTGCTGTGCATAATTTCCTATATTGGCAATATTTGTTGTAGAGAGAAAGCAAAAAGGATAACAAGATTTCCAAGGGCATCTCTTCCCTGAAGCTGAAACGGTCCTCCAAGTTGACAGGGAAGGTAAGAACTGGAAATAAATGGCCCTTCAGGCTCTTTGCCTGGACCTTCATCCATTGTGCACTGATACTCATTCTCTGGCAGTTTCACTTCAACCCTTACTGCTGAAGAGGGTGAACAGTTTATGACTGTGAATTGTTGATATTACAGAACAGTTTACCCAAAGCCCTGAGTAGACTAAGAAGCACCATGTGCTTAGGACTGTACAGGACGGTACCAGAATGTTTTCCTAGCCAGGAATAATAGTGCAGTAACACTGTATTTTATGAGTGAGGTTGTGTGGGGAGTAAGATCTGTTCCTAACTGCCATTGCTCTCAGCAGGAAGAGTTTTAGCCAGAAAGACTGAAAAGGAATGTCTCTTATTTCCAGGACAGCTGCCTGGTAAGAGGGAAGGTTTCTAGAGCACTCCAGGAGCTCTGATTGGTTTCTTTCAGGTAACAGACCAGCTGAAAAGTGGAGAAGAGGGTTTCCAGGAGGACAGCTCAATCTCTGAGAGACCCATGTCCAACCTAGAAAAAGTGCACTTCATCATTGGCAATGCAATTCTGCGCCCTGCCATCAGGTAGGAAACTTGCACTTCCTTTCTAGGATGAGGCACTCATTACATCAAGGAAATCCCCCTTCCTAAATCCATGGGGCACTTTTCTAGTGCTGGAAATGTCCCTTTTTATCTCTGAAGATTCCCAACTGAAAGTCTAAACCAAACACTTAGACCATAAGCCAAAAACCACTGTTTCCTCAGTTTCCTAAAAGTATGAAATGAAGCAGGATGCTCCCCCTCCTCCTTATCCCCAAACCCACATATGCACTGACAGACAGGAGCCATGAGACACAAGCCACATACTGTGGAGAGCTTAGAGCCAGCTTCACATAAAGGAGACAGCAGAGCTATCTGGCATCTGGATGAAGCAGGAATTGTTATCCCCACCCAGCTCTCTGGCTTGTCACAGCAGGAATTCCAGCACAGGAACTGAACTTGAACTGGTTGAGTAACAAGGGGTGGCAGAGGACACTAGGCTTACGTTGAGCCTTTTCCTACCAACACCAGTTATTTCCAGCTGTACACTACAGGTGGTATCCTAGTTAATGTGGCTAAATCTAGCTCAGATCTACTTCTTTCTGTCAAGCTTGCAATGGAAATGTCTATTTCTATCATCATTATCTTTTGCTTGTTTTATTTTTGGGTGTTTTATTACAGAGATGAGATTTATTGCCAGATTTGCAAACAACTCACTGAAAACAGCAGCAGGAGCAGCTATGCTCGAGGCTGGATACTTCTGTCACTTTGCCTTGGTTGTTTTCCCCCTTCAGACACATTTGTGAAGGTACATTATTCACCTTTCCTATAGCAGCTCAAATGCCTCAGCTGACCTGGTTTCTTTTGTTTTGCAGTGTTTTGACACAAATAGCCACATAAAACATCTGGCTGCCATAGCAGCTGGTGCTATGATTCAGTGGGAATGGTCTCATCTCATGCTTATCTTGTAATTTAAAGAAATGAACACTGTACTCATATTAAATTATCTTTCATGACTTGCCGTGCAAGTTAGAAACTGTAGTTGATACAGCTCTTATTTGAGATCTTTAAGAATCTAGCAAATGTTATCCTCTTCTGCTTTTCCATCATTTTAAACCCATCTTTAGTTACAAAACTAGTAATTAAGTATACTCAGAAGTCCAGTGTAAAATAACCCCACATATTTTATCAGTTTTTACCCTGTATCTCCAAGCCCCATAAAACTAAATAGATTTAGATTTGAGCTCCTTAATATATATTTTTAATACCTTAATTTCTAAATTGAGTTGGATAAATCCACTTCACCACAGAAAAACAAACAGTGGATCCAAATTGACATCAGCCTCAGAAGCATACAGAGTCCATAGATATCCCTGAATCTTTATTTATTCAATACACTTGCTCAAATGATAAATGCTCAAACCATAAATGCTGCTAGATGGACACAGCTTGCAACAAACCAGACACAAATCCAAGACATATTTCAACACCAGTCTTTAACCAAAGTGTGAGCTGTGCAGAATTCATGGAAGACTTGACTTCCTCCAGTTCCCTTTTTCTAATCAATACCTTCAGGAATACTCTTAATCATAAAAACAACCAAGCGACTGACCCATGATTGCACTAAATACAGATCAAATATGTAAATATAAGTCCATGCTTATACCACATCATCCAAGATATCGAAGCCATACAAACTCTGAAAGCTCAGTTTCTCCAGTCTTTCTTTTCCAAAGATCTAAGCCAGTCTGTTAGCTGCAAAAGGTTTCTAGTGTTTTATGGTCATTTATGTTTCCTAATTCATCCTTACACTCTGTGCATACAGTACCTACTGAATTTCATCCACAATGGACCCTCAGGCTATGCACCATATTGTGCTGAACGTCTGAGACGTACCTATGTCAATGGAGCAAGGACTGAACCTCCAAGCTGGCTGGAACTTCAGGTAACTTTTCTTTATGCTTAATTATATTGATCTGTGTCATTTTATGCTAGACTGCATTTACTGACCTATGCCAACAGATCTTCCTAAGTGCAATCATGGACACATGGAGTTTGAAGACAGCTTCATTATTCTGCGCAGCTTCTTAGAAATGGCTCTTCTGGCTGTTCCATTAACCTAAACCCCATGGAAGACATAAGTTAGAGCTGCAGCATGTGATTTGCAAACACTCAGGAGCTCTAGACCATAACAGTTTACTATGGGAAACTTTACCCACCGTTTTTGGAAGGAACTGAGCAGGGCTTATGCTTTTAAAATGGAGAGAGGACGTGTGAATGATAACAAGGGTTACATTGCCCTGCCCCTTCCTTTAAATGTCAGCCTTGGTACTCGTAATTAGAAGTCATGTATAATGTAAATGAAGATCTCAGTTCTATTTCTTCCTAAATCTGAGTGACCCCATCACCTACCGTGCATTCTCCTAGGCAAAATACTTCCTGCAGTTCATCTCTCTGCTGATGCACAAGAGGCTACACCCAAAAGTCAACATGCTAAAAAGGCCTCAGGAAAAATCTATCAGTTCACACTGTATGAATCAGTCAGCTCCCCTGAGCTGTGGGGAGTTGGACACTGGATTCCAGTGGATTCCAGTGCTGCTCCAGGGACATCATTTATACTTAAGACTTCCTATACATTGAAGAAACTGTGAGCTTTGGAGGCTCACTGTGTTGACTAGGGTGAAGGTATAGGGTATGGAGCTCCTAACTGTAAATGCCTTCTTCAGTTTTTAAGAAAATAAGGTTTGCCCACAATTGTTTCTCTCGTTTTACCTTTGGCTTGCAGGCAACAAAGCAGAAGAAACCCATTATGTTTAATGTCACCCTGATGAACGGCCAGAGCATCACTGTCCCTGCAGATTCTGCTTCCACTGCCAAAGAGATCTGTCAGTTCATAGCAGATAAAACCAAACTGAAGGATATCTTTGGTTTTTCACTCTACATTGCTGTGTTTGATAAGGTAAGGTGTAGAAAAGTAGAACTGAAGCTGTCTTCTCTTTCTGTAGAATTACTGCTGTGAAGACTACCTGGACAGACACCTGTTCTGGTTCCAGAGTTTGAATCAAATCAGTTCTGAACACCAGCTGAATCCCAGGGCAGTGCAGTACTGTTCCTGCCCTGTTCTGGGATCCCACCCCTGCTGGCCATGCATGCAGCACTCAGAGATGCTGCAGTAGGGTGAAACTAGTAGGTCTCACACAATAGAGTGCCTGCTCAAAGATGGATTTCCCACCTGCACTGCTGAACACAGCTTTCTTGTCCTGTGTCACAGTACTGCTGATGCAGTCCTTACTACATGGCACATACATTGAAAGCTGTGTTTTTTGCCAGTGTTGCTACTATAAGCTCACATGCTGGCATTTTTGCCTTTTTTTAAAAACAGTAATACTGGAGAACAGATGTACACAACAGGATGACATCTTGATGCTCACTGAGGCTCCAATTAAAAAAAAAAAAATAATAATAATAATAATTCAGACATTATGGCTCTAGGCGACCTGATCCAGCTGTGGTGTGTCCCTGTTCATTGCAGTGGATATGGACTGGATGGCCTTAGAGGTCCCTTCCAAATGTCAGGATTCTGTGATCATTTTAGTTTAAATTATAGCAAGACTTGCATGCACATTTAAGGGAATATACAAGGGATGAGCAAAAGTACAAGGAGGCAAACAGCAGACTGCAAATCTTGCAGCAATGCCTTTTTATCTTCCAACTAATTTTCCCCAGTAGCACCCCTAAACATAAGAATACACATAATTAAAAGTGTAACTTCCACATCCATCTACTCACCTTTTCAGACACTTCTATTTTTGTGTTGGGAGCATTGGCTTTGCTGTCCTTCACTCAGATGCAATGCAGGCATGCCAGTAAATGCAGTGTCCCTTTGTTCCAGGTGTGGTCACTGGGTGGAGGACGGGATCATGTCCTAGATGCCATCTCTCAGTGTGAGCAGCTGGTGAAGGAGCGGGGCACACATGAACGCCATGCACCCTGGAGACTTTACTTTCGAAAGGAAATTTTCACCCCATGGCACAACTCCCAGGAGGATCCCATCAGCACTGATCTCATTTACCACCAGGTCATTCGTGGGATCCGATTTGGAGAATACCGTTGTGAGAAGGTGTGTCTCCTTATCCTCCTCCTAGAGAGAGCAAACTAAATGAACATTTCCTGTGCATTTAAAAGCAAGAGGATGAACAAAGTTTCTAGCAGCTGTGCACAACTCTTCCTTTCTATGGACAGTTCCAGTCCAGGTGATTGAGCCAGCTGTCACGCGGCCAGCTGTAATAATTCTTTGCCTGCAACATTCAGTTCACATGACAGCTGGAGGCATGTTTCAGAGAGGCAGTTTGGGTCCTTTTAAAATATCTTTGTTAATAATCTCTTTGATGTTTTGATCCTTTATGCTGGGTGGTTGTCAAGAGTAATCCAGAAAAAAAATGGAGAAAACTGCCTTCAAGCTTGAACAAGGTTAGCTGGGCTTTGTGACATCTTTCTAGCCCTCTTTTAATGGCTTAATTGTTTCAGGAGGAGGATTTGGTGGAGATAGGTGCCAAGTATTGTTATGTCCAGTTTGGAGATACTATCCACAATGAACTTGTGCAGAAAGTGCTCCATGACTGCATCCCAGTGAAACAGCTGAAGTCCAAGCCCCTGGAAAAGTGGGTGAGCCTTATCACCTATGCACATGCTAAGGTAAGAGATTTGTCTGGCACTGCTGGGTAACCACACTCAATCACCAGCTTCTGCTTCCTTTGCCATTTCCATTTATGAATTGTCCATTGAGGGAAGAAAGAAAAAAACATCTCAGATTGCGTATCCCAAATAGGAGTGGGAGAGAGGAGAACTTTTCCACTCACTCTTCCATACAGGGCTCAGATGAGCCGGAATGAATAAAGTATATTTAAATCTCTGAACAGAGTCTCTTGTAATGGAGTCAAGATGGGCATGGGATGAAGTACCATTTTAGTCTGGAAATAGTACCTGAATAATAGTTATAGCACCCAAAATGTGCTAGACTCTGATCAGTCAATGGAGATTTTAGGGAAATCTGGAATCCACATGCCTACAGGCAGCCTTAGTTGCATGAAGCTCTGTGCCTGGACACTTCCCAGTGTGAATTTCCTCAGGTACTGCTGACATCACTTACAGCAGGGGGCTGCAGAGAACCTCCTGGAGCAGACCTGTTCTCGATTGCCTCTAGATCATGCCAGTCAGAACTCACTGAGAAAAAACTGGTTGTCTTTTTCTACTGCAGGCCCCATACACACAGGATCGGCTCTCCCGCCAGGCTGTGAAGGAACAACTTGTAGATTTCGCTCGCTTTCAGTGGCCTTTGCTTTTTTCCAGATTCTTTGAAGTCACTAAGTTTTCAGGTAATACCCTGAGCCTAAGAGCCACGGACAGATGTAAGCATCTCTATTTTCAATAGAGAAAGATGTAAGCATTGATAAGGAAGTGCTATTTTTCTGCATTTTCAGGTCCCAGCTTGCCCAAGAACCACTTTATACTTGCTGTAAACTGGAAGGGTATCTGCTTCTTGGATGAGTCAGAAAAGCGGCTCCTTGAGCTGACCTTCCCAGAGATAACAGGCATCCATACAAACAGGTGAGTGCCCCAGAAAGGCAAGATCTGAAGGCCCTGCTCATATTCAGAACGGGGTTCTGTGTAAGAGGGTGGTATACTTTCTCTGTCACCCTCCTAAGTGATTTCATCTGAACCTGGAATGGTGGGTTAGCCTAGGTCTGGGATACAAGAGGGACATGTTCCGAGCAGCCTAGAAAGGAAATGATGAAATGGCTGAATCTTCCCAATCAGTGGAGGGAAAGATGACACTGCTCAGCTGGAATAGTGTAAGGAACTAAATGAGATTTTATTATTGCTCAGTTGTTCCATAAGAAGGATGTTTTCTTGTTTAGAGTGAAGTATTTCTGTACAAAATATCGTAGAGCCAGAGAACCTGAACCACTTTAGTCCTTTAGAGCCATAAATTTCTAATATAAACTAGGATCTATGGAGTTGTCTACCACCTCAGCTGTGACTGCAGATAGCTCTACATTTTTCAGATGGTCTGCTAACAAACTACTTGATAATACATAGGGCAGTGAAATCATTTGGACAGAGTTGCACTCTCATCACCCTTCGTGCCGAAGAGTTTGTCCTAACATCTGTGAACAGCATTGTCATTGCTGAACTGGTGGTGATGTTCCTGGAGGGGCTAAAGAAGAGATCACGATTTGCTGTGGCAATGCATGAGAAAAAATCCCAAGGTGAGTCCTAGAATTATTCTACAGGGTAAGGAAGAAATCTTGAGAGAACTCACAGCACTAGTTTAAAAAGAGCTTAAAGAGAAGTGGGAGAAGTTCAGCCAAGTGTTGCTTTGCTCCAGGAATAACATACAGTGGTCAGCAGAGTAATACAGAGCATAAGGCAATGTGATTCAAATCATTTGCTTACAAATTAGCCAACTTTCTACTTGCCTATTTTGTTTAGACCTTACAGTGGCCAACAACTCAGCCTGCTTACAGTAGGAAGCTGGAGCTGGGCTCCCTGGAAAAACTTCCCAGAAAAATTTCTTTCTATGCTTTACTGCCAGCTCTAGAAACAAATTCTGCAACCATTTCATTCAAATGGAGTTCTACTGTTGCCCTCACTGGAATAAAAAATCAGGCTAGCATAGGAAATTTAACTGATTTCTCTGAAATGTTACTGGAGGATTAGCTGTATTTACACAAACCACTTACTGTTGCTAATTGAATTCAGGACTTCAAAATACAGTTCTCTTGTCTTTCTTGTTGAAATGTCTTTGCATTTTCTTAGTCTGTCAAGCCTGAACAGTACTCCCTTATTCTGTATTTCAGAAGACCCTGCCATCCTGTCCTTCAAGAAGGGAGACTTGCTAATCTTGACCGAGGATAAAAGGCTAGATGCAAACTCTGGCTGGATCTATGCCCAGAATGACAGGACAGGCAAAACAGGGAATGTATTTCTGGAGGAGATGTACATCATTCCTTCTCTCACAAAGCCCTCTAGTCAAGTACTGGTAAGAAAAGCTGTACAATCTCTTTGAAGAGACTGGAAGATAAATAATGGTTAACTATGATTAAACTTATAAGTGGAAATTAATTGTTCCTCCAAAGTCAGACAAGTTCTGTGTCTCCCACTGATGCAAAAGTATTACTTTCTGCCCTGTCTGAACTGTCTGAAAACAAAACTAAACCTAGCCCAAACTAGGAGAAGGCTGCAGCTTTACAAAGCAATGACTTTCAAAATAATGGTCTGTTCTGTACCAGGGAGTTCAGTACCTGGAATTAATAGCAATTGATCATAGGTGTGAAGTTGAATTTTCCTGCGTAAAAACAGCATTTTTCATAGAATCATAGACTCACAGAATGGCCTGGGTTGAAAAGGACCACAAAGGTCATCTCGTTCCAACCCCCTGCTGTGTGCAGGGTCACCAACCAGCAGCCCAGGCTGCCCAGAGCCACATCCAGCCTGCTTGAATGCCTGCAGGGATGGGGCATCCACAGCCTCCTTGGGCAACCTGTTCCAGTGCCTCACTATCCTCTATGTGAAAAACTTCCTCCTAATATCCAACCTAAACCTCCCTTTTCTCAGTTTAAAACCACTCCCCTTGTCCTATCACTATCCATCCTTGTAAACAGATTTTTCTGCAAAGCATAACAGGGTGCTTTAAAAGAACAAATGCTTCGAGAGAGTGAACACAAGGTTTCCCATTGATCACTGCTAATAATTTTTTTCTTCAGTTTTGGAGACAGCATATTGGACGTTGTGCTAACAAGAAACTCAATAAGTGGGCAAAAAAACCCCAATGCTAGTGATAAGCAGGTGCAGTTTGAACACGTTGTGCTGCAGATAATCACACATCTTGGTGGCCACTGCTGTTAGGTCTATGAAGTCACTTCCTGAGTCTCTCACCCCCTGCAGCACAGAGTACACCTCCTAGTATGCACCACCTGCATGTATATGCTGAGTAACACTGGACAGCTGTGCAGAGGCCTGTCCACGTGACATCTGTACATGGCTGTGTCTTTCCAGAGTTTGCTGATGATGTCTCCAGACCAGAGGAGGACAGCATCGCAGAACTCCTACATAGAGGAACCTGATGAAGAGGATCTCAAAGTGAAGCCTTACACACTGGAGGAGTTCTCCTATGAACACTTCAGGTGAAACTCCCCTGCAGTGTGAGCACAAAGAAAGCTCTAAGTTTTAAGGATCACTGAAGATCAATTAGAAAGGAATCCTTTTTTGACTGGGTTTCTTTTTGTTCCCTGTAATGAAGTGTAACTTTGGATGTGCAGAGATTCTGGCATATCACCTGCTTCTACCTTTTGTCTGCAGAAATGCAGTGTGACGGGCAGATGAATTCTAGCTGGAACTTACTTTTATTTCCAGCAGGCCCTCTGCTTCCCTCCCATCCACTCTTCAGCATTTACCAGCTAGCACAACATCTAAGACATCAGAATTTGGGAAAATTTAGCCTTCCAAACTTCTCTCCTTTTTGCAAGCATTCTCCTTTCTGGATTTTAAAGAAGCTGCATTTTCCCATTTTTGCTGTCTTGTTTTATCAAAGAAGATCACTGTTTTGAGAAGGAATATGCTTGGGAAAGACATGAATCTTTTTTATAATGTTCATAGCAATACGATCTGATTCTTTTGTATTGCCTGTCCTTGTCTTCTTTCAGAATTCCTGAGAAGGAATCCATCAGCAAAGCTGTTCTCCAGAAATCTCGTGGGCACAGTCAGCTGTGGGCACACTCTAAGGATCCCTTAAAACAGCCCTTGCTGAAGGCAGCATGCATAGACCCTGATGTTCGGGACGTGGCTTGTCAGGCCTTCACTGATATCCTTTTACTTTTCTCTTTGGGATCTGAGAACTCTTGGGGGAAGGAAGAGCTTCTTCCATGAAACACCTCCACTGAGATAATACCACATCCACATTACTGGGGGCACACTTACATTAAGTAGAGGAGGAGGAGTGGGGGGTTTAAGAGCTCTTCATGATTTAGCGTTGTTTCCCTTCTCTCAGAGAAAAAAGTCCTATTCCCTCCCACAACATGTGATGACCACTTAACTGAGAACATGGCTACAGGAGAGAGCAAGATTTATTACATATGCCCAGAACAGTTAATACAGCTGAAGTCATGGACAAGCAGCAACTGCTATCTATGCAGGGAAAGGGAATGAGCAGAGAATCAGTTCCAGACCTTCATCTTAGTATTTCCCCTTCAGACTCCAACAGAGTGCTTTAACATGTTAGAATCGAACTGATACCTCCCATTTACCTCTCAAATTGTCCTGCTTTTGTCCTTAATGGCACAGTCACCCATCATGAAATTCATGGGGGACTACCCATCAAAGCAGACACACTCCTCCGTGGAAGTCACTGACCAGATATTTGTGGCAGCTATCAAGGAAGAGGTCCTGCGGGATGAAATCTACTGTCAGATCATGAAGCAACTAACTGAAAACAGGAACAGGTACTTACCCAGGGATAAAACCCTGCTTCTGGGGACTGGCATTCCCCAGAACACTGAGGGGGGAGGGTGCACACATTCCAGCCTGACACCTTCCCTTACAGTGCGAGGTGAGAAAGATCGCAAGGCAGCCTGGTGAGAAAATACATCATTGCAGAGTTCTTGGGTGCTTTCAGTGGCTGTTTTCCCAGTCCTGTGTTGGTTTTCAGCTTCCCAATGGCAGTGTTTCCATCCTACAAACATGTAGTTCACTGTAGATCATGGGTGTCCAACATCTTGGCTTGCCTGGGCTGCACTGTGTGAAGAAGAATTGTCTTGGGCTGATAATTTGGTTGTTGCTAAGTGATGGGTGCACACATAAGGCCAGGCCAGGCTGCTGTGCAGGGAAGAGGTGCTGCCACGATGGCAGAGGGGCAGGGTTAATTATTAGCTGCCATGGGTGCCTGCAATCTAGATCTTTTACCACCAGTAAATCCTTCTGAATAGGTGTATCAGTTAGTTCACACAACTGGTTTGCATTGGTTACAGAGGCTCCTGTGTGTGGATAAGTCTCTGAAACAGGCCAGAGTTTTGCTTCCTAACCTAGGAAATGGTAATGTGATCTAATTCCATGGGAAATGAACTGCAAAAAGCAGCTTAAAACATTAATAAAACAATTCTAATTGTTAGCAGAACAGTTTGCCAATTTCTGGCTGCCATGTACCACTGCAAAAGTTTCAGATGGAGCTTCTCTATCTTCTTACTTTTACACAAATATTAAACTTAGCAGAAACTTTACTCTGTGTTTAACTGTTAGATGGTACATTTCCTTGCATGCAGTAAAACTCACAAGCTTAATGCATAGTCTGTAACCATTGTGCCAGTGCCATTCCTGCTGTACTCTATTAACTTGGGCTTGTGAGTCATTCAGTGTTTTGAGAGGGATCACTGATGTGGAAAAAACAGTGCTTGAAAGGTGGCTATTTCCATATATTTTCATTAGAACAGCCACAGCAACAAATCTTTCATCCTTCCCAGGCTGCTGCCCTGTAGACCACATCCTGCCCCCACACAGACACAAACACCACTGACCTGTAGAATATAAATAGGATTTAAGTAGTCCTTCTTCTTCTACAAAACCAGAAAAGTAAATGGGAATAAAGAAGCCAGGACATCTTAATTCAGCAGCATTGTAGCATCTGTTCAGAGGCAGACCTGCCAGCTTCTCAGGTGGAACCACTCCACACTGCTCAGCATTTAGGAGCAATTCCTGAGACACAGCTGAAGTGTGTTACACTCCTGGCTGTGAAAGCAGAGTGAATGGCCACCTGCTGGCTACACAGCCCTTCTTGCTGATGAGGCTGAGATGCCACAAGAGCTTTAGCTGGGAGATTTCACAGGTGCAGAGACTGGAGGAACCTGAATAGCTTAGGGTAGAAGGGACCTTAAAAGATAAGAGTTCCAATCCCCCTGCTATGGGCAGGAGCTAATGTTTATATGAGAAGTAAATACATTGTTATGCAATGTCATCTGCTTGCTCTTTTTTTCAGAGCAGGGACGTGAGTAAGGGACAGTAAACTGCAAGTAAAAAGCTTGTGTACTGAGCAAAGCTGGCCAACAGACACAGCTGATAGAGCCCAATCCAAGTAACCATGCCTTTCCAAAAGGATGATAGCAAGGTCACTGCTGCCAAGATGACTGTAAAACCGGAGCTTATATTTTATTCATGAGATTTACAACTGTCATGATATTTATCAGCCAGGGTTTAGCATTATCTTCACAAACAGGCTGTGGTTACTGCACAGAAAATGGCTGTCAGCTCCTGTGTGAAAGCTCTGCTGATTTGCAGCTCTCTGCTGAATGCCACAAAGTACTGTGATGGGGCTGTGTTTCTTTACCCTAAAGCTGCTGTGTGGTCAAAGGAAGAATAATGTGTGGCTGCAGCAGAACTATTTGCTTTGTGCTCACAGGTATAGCGTGACCAAGGGCTGGCAGCTCCTGTGGCTCTGCACTGGCCTGTTCCCTCCCAGCAAGTCACTGCTGAAACATGCCCAGAAGTTCATAGAGACACGTCAGAAAGAGCCACTGGCCCTGGAGTGCAAGCGGAGGATTCAGACAGTGATGAGGTAAACAGTCTGTGATACATGCATCTCTAAGTGCTCAAACATCATCTGTCAGGTGCTGGAAAACCCCAGGGACTAAAATGTTGATACTCTTACTTCCATTTCTCTTTTTAGACCTTTTTATTTAAAATGATTGTTACTTTTAATTCTCTTACGGATTTAGAACCACTAAGAGAGGACTGAGTCACAGTTTCACTCTTTTCTTTCATTTTAAAAAGTTGAGTATCACATGCAATCACTTGATTCCCATAGCTGGGCTATGTCAAGCACTACAAGGCATTGGGGTGAAATGAAACCCAGAGGTTTCGCTGATGAGGTCCTGACCTTGCTTTCCTTTGATGACATAGCATGTCCTTATCCCCACCACGTGTCTGAGGATTAGTCTTGATTTTTGTTGAACCTCAACATACTCTGAGTGTGTTACTCATGGTGAGAAACACCACTGAAGTCTCTGAGATCTGCTTAGTGCTGATGTGGCTCTGTTGGTTTTCTGTGAAGCAAAGCAGACCCATGCTCAGAAGAGAGCATTAACACAGTTTCTAGCCTTTAAGGAAACCCAGATGAGCAAAGCCCTGATTCTTCCATGGTTGTTCACCCCAGGGCACTTCTCAGAGCACCAGACATCATCCTTGTCCTGTCTGCCCCCCTTGTCAATCCCAGCACAGAAAAGTCTGGCAACAAAAAACAAGAGGAATTTGCTAACACAGTGGCTGTCCCCATTGCAGGAGATGAGTCTTGGTGCTGCTGGGGAAATGTCACTGCACATTGAACTTGCCTTTGAAGTGCATGAAAAAATGCACGGCAAGGAATGCTATTCATTACTCTTTCCATGGAGAACACTGAAAATTTCTCACCATCCTATATCATATGCTATTCATGCTCAAAGCCCTGCTAAGCTCTCTATAGAGCTTTTTTAGAGTGAGGAAAACAGTGAGGGGAAAGCATAATGGACTACTTCAGAGGAGAGATCTCTGCAAAAATGCCCCAAATCTGGAGTGTGGGGGAGGGAAAGATTAACAGACAAAATGCTGTTTTGTGAGAGCGTTTATTTCCAAAGATTAAGCTTGTACCCACTCAAAATTTCCCTGTGAGTAGCCTGCTGTCCTTAGGAAGTGGAGAGTAGGCAGCTTGAAGGACTGACCTACAATTGCATGGGGTGGAAGCCAATTGAGCTTTCAGGTACACCTTTCCCTCCACAAAAAGCTTTACTGCTCCATCCCCACACTCCAGGCCAGGTAACCAGAGAGCATCCTGATGGGTGTTAAGCTGGCAATGAATTCTCAGCTGAGGCTGCAATGGGAGGTGGCCCTGTGCCTCCAGCCCACACTTGGTCTCAGGTGCAGGAATAAATCACAGAATTGCTAACATTGGAAAAGACCTTAAAGATCATCAAGTCCAACTGCAAAATGATGACAGAGCAGGGCAGGTACATGTCCCTTAAAGGGCCTGTGTAGCACCAGAGTACATACCGTTGAACTTGGGATCACAGACTCCAAATGGAACTGCTATTTTATTTAATGGGAAAAAGTGTTTTCGTGTCTACATAACTAAAGCTAGGTGCCAGACTAAGGTCTCCTGAAAGATGTGCTCCACCTGAGAGAAGTCTGGCACAAAAAAGCTATAGTGTGTAACATCTGCCAGCAGGCTGCTCTGTGCCACTGAGGACTGGAAAATACCAGCCCCAGACAGCACTGTGCTACATTTGTCCTTACTTTAACCATAGCAGTGTTTTTGCATGACTCATACTTAAGGTCCAGTTCCTCTGCTTTAAAGGGCAGCGCTATTCTGAGATATAATTTCAAAGATCTGGGGCTGTTCATGAGTCAGTGATTACCTGCCAGCTCCTATGTAAGCTGTAATGCTTCTTACAGCTGTCCACACTTTTCTAAGCTGTGATATTCATTTTGAATCTGTATGCAAATCTTTCAGCTGATGCAAGAGTTAAAATACCACATAGTGCTCCTTTAGCCACTATCTTCACACTTCAGTAACAGTATGGAAAATTGTTGCTGAATACACAGAAGGGGTGATGGTACTGGTTTGGAAGGTGCCTTATTCATACAGCCTCATTGCAAAGCAGGGCATTCAATTTATGTGCTAATAATCCCCTCTGTTTCTTGCTGCTAATAGAATGAATTTGCACTGGGGTGAGGGTCCATCAGCCTCCCACATGCCACAGCACTGAGCATTTCACATGGAATCTGTTGTTTGGATGAAATACTGTTGAACTCCTGAAAGATTAATTCTCAAGCACTGATCTCTCTTACACTACTGGTGGCATTTTGCAGGAGTGGCTCCAGGAAATGGGCACCTCATCCTGTGGAGGTTGAGGCCATCTTACAGAACAACACTAAGATCTCACACAAGATTTGCTTCCCCAATGAAACAGAACAGGTGAGAACTTACTTGTTTTCTCAGCCAACACGTATTCCTGCAGGAGCATATTTCAAGATATTAAGTGTTCTCACTTATTCCTCCTCTGTGTAACAAAAATCTTGTTGTCTCACAGACATTTGATGTGGGAACAAACACCAAAAACCGGACTCTGTGTCAGAACATCGCTTCCAAATTGCAACTGAGCTCTTGGGAAGGTTTCAGCCTCTTTGTCAAGATTGCAGACAAGGTAACTTCTCAACTACATTGAGGTTGTCAGACTGCCTCTTTTCCTTCCTTCCCATACCACCTAAGCAACAATATTTGAAAACAGGCAACAGAGCAGGTCATTACTGCTGCTGTCTTTCTGAGGGGCTACAGCCTAGACTCTGAGTCTTCTGAAGAAGCTGGAAGCAGATACAGAATTTCTATCAGTCTGTTGGTACACAAGCAGTACTGAAAGCTGACAGAGGGCAGAGGCTTTCTTGCTGCTCTGCTAGGGTGCTGGCAAATTGCATGTTGCATGCTGCCGGATTCAGCCTGTTTGTCTCAGGCTTTGCCCAGCAGATGTGCTGCATACCTACAGTACTCACTAGCATTAGAGAAAGCTGTGGTTGACCAGCACCAGTCACTGCTCTGTCCAGTTTCTCAAAACTTGCCTTGTCTGAGCTGAAGCTCAGTTTGGCTGCTTTGTTGAGATGACCCTTCTCTCTGGAACTGCATGAGGATTGTGACCAAGGCAGAAGCAGTACTGAATACAAGCAGAGGGAGCTTCTGATGTTCTGCTGTGGTCCTGAGAAATTCAATCTTATAACAGTGTTTTCCTATGAGATAACTAGGAATAAGGTAGGCATCTTCAGCTTACTTTCAGTAAGGAAGTTAGAAAGAAAAAAGCAGCAGAGAATGGAATAACTTTCCTCTCCATTTGAAATGGAAATCTTGTAAGCCTTCCTCCTTTTCCCTTTCTATCCCCTTGCCTCTGTCTTTCCTGCCATAATTGTGCTTTCTTGCTCTAGACAGGGAAAGCAAATTCAGCTTTGCATTTGGGTATGTTGGCACAGGTAGTATTTTAAATGCTCTACTAATCCCTCCTTTCTCCTCTTCATCACTTGGCTTCTTCCAGGTGATCAGTCAGAATGAAGCAGACTATTTCTTTGACTCACTGAGGCAGCTGACAGATTGGACCAAGAGGAACAAACCAGTGAAAGATGGTAAGGAGACAGTCAGCATGACAAGAAGCTGCATGGAACTGGGAAAACAGCAAGTAGGACTGATTCCATCTTACCACGTGTGTGACAGGGTCTGATTTTACCATTTTTATTTGTACATAAGTGATTTCTGCCTGCACCAGCAGTAAGACCCAGTGACCTCATGCAGCCAGCCACTGGCTGTTGGAAGTACCAGAATCTCTTTGTCTGGGGATCTTTGCAGGAATGTTAAAATTATACAGAATATTTGATTTGTTCTACCCAAAACACACATCTGGATGCATACAACTTAGATAGATTGAGCCTGTGTATAATCCAAAGCTTATGCAGTGCCAGACTGTGTATCGCCCAGCACACATTCTTTACACTTTCTCTTTGGGTCACTAGAAAATTGTTCTCCAGATTACTCCCTGGTGATACCAGATCACAAGTTGTAGAGCTAAGGGAACACTTAGTTAGCATAAAGCAGTGTAACACTAACAACAGCAACATTTTGACTTCATTGTAATGTGTAACCAATATCTTGAAATCTACAGCAAACTCAAACTCCACTCCAATTTCTTATTACTTATGCTGACTTTTGCTTATTTAAGGACAGTGAGGATCAGCTTCCAGAAGCACTAAGTATCTAAGACTTTCTAGTTTCCCTCTTCTCCCCACAGCTGCTGCAGCTGCCAGGATTTCTGAAATATATAGCATAGAGATGTTAGTGCTCTAAAACACAATTCATTTCTGTAAAACAGAAATTCCCACTGGGGAATGTATCCAAACAGAATTCAAGTGAGATGAACATCAGCAGACATCAGCTTGTCACCAGCAGCAAGAAACAACAAACACTCACACTGCTGGGGCCTTCAGCCTCATTCTCCATTGCTGAAGAGCCCAGTGCTGCACCAGTCACTATGTGATTGTTGTCCAGGAACTGACAATTAGTCACAGTTCCTTGGTCATCTATGACTGCCTTTTTCTGTGGGTTGGTTTATTTTGTTGTGGATGTTTTTGTTTGTTATTTTGTTATTATTAAGAATGGAATTGTATTTCTAAAGAAACAATCCAATTACAAAAGCAGAGCTCCACAATGATGCAGCAGACACTAATAAGACATTGTTTTCCCAGGTGCTACTATGTCTGTAGCTTATGAAGTGTACTTCATGAGAAAGCTGTGGTTAAATGTAACTCCTGGGAAGGACCTGAAAGCTGATTCCATTTTTCATTACCACCAGGTAAGCTCCCTAAAGCATAAATGTAGCAGCAGTCAACACCAGTCAAGAAATACTGCAGAAAAAGTAACCATGCTGGAATGTTGCCCTGTTCCTCACCAACAGGGAGCTCCTGGGCAGCACAGCTTAGCCTCTGAAACAAACTTAAGTCCCACAGTGCTTACACCTTAGCTATACGGTTATGATAACAACACAGCTCCTCAATCTATTTGTTCCTTGGAGGTACTCATCTTCCACCATGACCATATGCAGAATCTCCAGAAGGAGCCATAAGTTCTTGGGATGCCCTTGGACCGTGCCTGGTGACACTCTCACCCCAACCTCACAGGTTTAGCGTGACTAAGACAGTGTTTGCTTCAGGCCTTTCTGTCTAGATTCAGAGTTGGTCTCTTCCAGGAGCTGCCCAAGTACCTCAGAGGCTACCACAACTGTTCCAGAGATGAAGCTGTTCAGCTGGCAGGGCTGATTTATAAAGTGCGCTTCAACAACGACCGCACACAGCTGGCAACCATCCCCAAAATCCTGAAAGAGTTGGTGCCAGACAATCTGCTTCGAGTGACCTCACCAGATGAGTGGAAGAAGGTATGAAAACCAGCATTGCTTCCACTAATTATACTAATTCCATAGAGCGTTATGAGAGAAGAACTACATCAAGCCACGTGCCGTCTTTGATTTGAGACTTTGGAAGCACTATATAATGATGCTATTGGACACTGCTGTTATGCTTCTTAGAGTTCAGATTTTGCATCATCTCCACCAAACCTCTGAAAGAGGCCTGAAGGGGCTCTGTTCTTCAGAAGCAGAAAATTAGAACTTGCTAAATAGTTCAAAGGTTGGCCAGCAAATTAGTGACCTTGCACTATGTGCACACTTCTCATGGCAAAAGGTTCTTTCATTCACAGAAAGGCAAGAAAGATTCAGCAGGTACTTCAAATACAGCTGGAGGGCCCACCTCAGAAAATGTGGTCTGTGTCTATTGGGAACAGCAGTGTTCTGAGTCTTGTTTCATCCCATATTGCCCCTCAGCCCTGGAAATCTGCTCCCTTTAGCTCACAGACTTCCTTCACCCAACACATGAGTAAGATACACTGGGGAGGTTTGGCACCACCCTGCCCCATGGGATGGTAGGCTACTTTCATTGTCACAGTGCTCACAAGAGTGACCTGGCTGATGGTGTGATTCTCTCTCTAGTGCTAATGCTGGACAATGGAAACCTACCTATCTCCAACTGACTAGGCTGTGTATCCTTTTTTCCTACACAGAGTATTACTGCAGCATATAGCAAACATGAAGGAAAAACTGTGGATGAGGCCAAGATTGCCTTCTTGAAAATCATATACCGGTGGCCAACGTTTGGATCAGCCTTTTTTGAGGTGAAGGTAGGTGCAAAGGCCTGGATGTCTGGCTTTGGTAGCAGAGCAACACTAGGGGATATGGACATAATTCCCTATCTATGTAATAATACATTAGTTAACTGGCTTCCCATCATGCCCTAAGGAAAACACAGTGTCTTGACAATGGGGAGATGAGTTCTTGATCCCAGTTCCTGGTTCCTGGAAGGGGCAAAACTACCAAACACAGGAGTACATTGCAAAGAAACAATGATGCTACATTCACTGTTGGGGAAGGATCAGTTGTAAAACATAGCAGTAACACAAATAGTATTAAAACCAGCTGTAATACCTAATATTATGATGATGTAGCAGATGGGGGGCTTTTAGTTATAGGGTTACTGTTCTCCACAACACAATGCTGCTATCTCTGGAGACCCTCTCCTCAGAGCAGAACTGTACTAAACATCTCATTCAGAGTGGGTACCCACAGGGAACATTCTCTCCTTGCTTTTAATTTCTCCCCACTAGGTTCTTACCAACAACTTAGTCTGCAGCCAACCACTAAGGCCACTGTCAGTTTGGAAAATAACAAACCCGATTCTGCTTTATGTAGCAGTGAGGAAGTCATTGCTGTTTAGCCAAAAACTCATCCTCAGCAACAGTGTCATAATACTGAAGAGCTTTAGGTTCCATTATTTATTTGATAAAGAGAACAAGAAGCACTAGGAACTGGTAGATGCATCACACCTAATAATTTTTTCACCTTTTCTGTTCTAGCAAACCTCTGAGCCAAATTTCCCAGAGATTGTGCTGATTGCAATCAACAAGCAAGGAGTCTCACTGATACATCAGAAGACAAAGGTAACAGTTGTTTCTCAAGCATCTAAGCAACTGAGCCTCCTAAATTAGAGACAGCAATAGCATCTTCTCTCTCAGTGCTAGAGAGGTTAGGATCCCTTCACTCATTTTCAGTGCAAAACTGAAGAAAATGTTATAGCCTCAGATCACTCCTTTGCAGTTTCTGCACTGAAAAGGGATCAATGTGGGGCATCTCTGAAAACAGAAGCAGTAATCATGATGGACCTGGATCATGGATGGACAGTGTACCAGGGAACCTGCCTCAGAAAAATGTTTTGCAGGAAATGCATACTATCCAAAAGAACATGCCAAATGACAGTGCTCACCAGCCCTCCAACCTAGCTAAAGTCTGGTCTTACCAATTTCTTAGGCAAAAGCAGCCAGAAGTATTACTATTTGCTTTTAATAAGAGAAGAATCATCCAGTGAGTTTTAGATTATTGTAAATGTGATGGCAGTGTGTTAAAGAAGTAAGAGGAAGTCTCAGTGTGATTAAGACTCATCTGCTCAGTGTATACCACCAGACTGGATGTAAGACCTACCTTGATCCACTTTATATATTCGTATATGTATATATATTTATATATGTATTTATTGTATATATGTATTTGTATATGTATATATATTTATATATGTATTTATAAATGAAACAGGAGATGAAAAGACAGCTCTTTCGCTTCAGGTTTTTGTATGTGACAGCCTATTTTCATTTGAGCAGTGCTGAATAGTTCAGTCAAATCAATTTGTTTCTCCTTACAGGAAATTTTAACAGTTTATCCTTTTAATAAAATCTCCAATTGGAGCAGTGGGAGTACATTCTTTCACATGACAATAGGAAACCTGGTACGAGGAAGCCGGATCTTATGTGAGACATCTCTGGTAAGAAGAGTTTTGTTCACTTACCAACCAAAAGTTTCTCATTTTTCCTTTGTGTCCAGACCAGCTACAAACAGGATGCCAAAACTGGATGCCAGACCATTAAAACCAGTGCAGATAACCCACCTGCTGTTATGCCAATACAACTGCAGTTTAGAATCAATTTAGTGCTCTGTAATGCCATCTGATGCAAAGAAGCAAGCTATAGAAATAAGGAAAAAAGGTCACTTCCCAAATTCTTCCCATACATAAAAATTCTATCTGAGATAGAAAAGATTGCATTTAGTTGCAGAACTGTGTAAGAGCATTTTCATCTTGCTTGGTTTGATCCACTGTGCAGTAATGACATCTTGTAAGATTTTACTCTTACGTGAATGGATTTAGGATTGGTTTCAGACTGTTGAGACTGAGAGAAGCATCACTGTACTGATATTTATAGGTAAAACTGTAAAGAAAACCTTAAAACTCTTAGGGTTTAACTTCTCTCACAGAGAAGCTTGGATTCCCAAGTATAAGATCACAGAACCAGAGGGGTTGGGTGGAGCCCCTGGAGGACATCTCACCCCGCCTCCCAGTGTCTAGACAAGATTCTAGTTATAGAATAAATTCTGGGTTTGAATTACAAGGATATGACAATGACAGCAGAGCTGTGCTCTGTAAACTTTTGTCAATCTGTGAAAGGAATAGCAGAGGGAAAAATAGATAAATAGTTATAAAACCAGCAATAGCTGTTGGAAGAGACATCATCCATTTAGGAAAACATCTAAGAAGAAAAAACAAGGAGAAAATAATAATTATTTTTGCTTCTTGGGCTGTTGGGGAGACTTAAGACTTCTTTCTTTTCCAACAGGGTTACAAAATGGATGACCTGCTGACATCCTATGTACACCTGCTGATGAATGCAGTTAACAAGCAGAAGAGCCTCCCAGCTTGAAAGCAAAAATAGAATCCACGACCTGCATTGGTGCCAAAGTACCCATCGTTTCATCTCCCAGAAGAAAAAAGATTTAAAAATATGAATCTAGCTGATCAGTTTTCTGGTCACACACTAAATGAACTGTGCTGCTGAAATACTAATACAAGTTCAAGTGAGCACGTGCTTTCAAATATCTTCACCTCGTCTTTCCTAGGTGTAATAGTAGAACTCCATTCAGATTTTGAAGTTTGAGGAAGTGTAGCTGTTTTTAATCTAATAAGAGAGGAATACCCAAACCCTAATACAAAAGCCACTCCTGTATTCAGGATCTCCTCTATTCTTAAAGAGAGAAACATTAACAGGCTTCTTTTTCCCTTTTGAAGAGAAAATCCTGCCTTGTTTCCTAAGCTTTTACCAAATGCATTATTTGCAGCAGAGGTAATATTTCTTCCTAGTGGAAATTCTGGAAGTAGAGAAATACCCTTTAGTACTAGGATAATGGGACACCTGGAAAGGTAAGATGAAGGTTTTCATCCTTTTATCACTAGGTTATGTACAGAAAATACAGTAGACTATGATGGCCAGTTACTGTCACAATATAAATGTCACTCCTGTGTGATGCTAAGTTAGTGAGCTGGCACTGGCTTATCACTGCCTTCGCTAAATTAAATGGTTTTCTTCCTTCCATGATTCATAAAACACTCAGAAACTAACAGCTGCTTCCTACTAGACAGCTTCTAGGAAGCCTGAACAAACTCTGAAATGGGTTTGGATCGTGAGCCCATTACTCAGTTGCTCCTATTTCAAGCTTATAGATGTGCTATTCAGTGCAATCTGAACTGAAAAAGTCAATCTGACAGACATCTGTTGAAAAGAGATGTATTTCTGCTCTGTAGAAATGTCCTCAGCTTGGAGTTATGTAGACACTCATTCACAAGACAAGAACGATAGCAAAGATCTTCAGCTATGAAAGCTATTTCCTGTTTTAGGCACTGATTCGGTGCTTGTTCATGTCACAGACCTTTGTCAACACACAACTTGGGACTGTCAGGAAGCAGAGCATGTATGCCCTGTGGTGGCAGTGAGCCCAGATGCTTGCTCCACTAGAGAACAAGGACTGCTCCCCCAGCGACAGGCTCTCACAGTGAAACATGGACATGTCTTAAAGCACTGCACCAAGTTCCTTGAGAGTCGACCCAGCAGTGCTGGAGAAGCAGCTCTGCTGGATCTCTCACCAATTTGCCAATGTGTGCACAATGGTTCCCTTGTTCCCTCAGCTGTGTGTGCGTGCAACTCAAATGCTAATGGGAATTCTGTACATGCGTGGCAGGGAAGAGCCCCCCTCTCTTTGTGCATGTAAATGAGTGCCACACTTGTTAGAATAGGTGATGGTTTTGCAAGCAATTAGATGTTCCTGCTGTCATGTCCATTGCTGGCAATGGAAACTTTTGAGATTAAAGACTTTGAAGGTGTTTTGTCATCCTTTATGTCATCTAACTGAGTGTAAGTGAGAAGCATTCAATACTTCACCTGTGAAAAAAAGAAATTTTGCATCCAAAATGTTATTGTTTCTGGTTTTTAAATAAACACTGCAGAAAATCAACCACAGTGTCTTTTCCAACATGAAAAGTGTGTATTTGTTCCAGATCCACGTAACTTAAACCCACAACACATCCACTACAATCACAGCATCCCAGCTGCTTTTCTTAGACAACACAAGTTGTATGGATAGCCTCTAAAGAGACAACGCTCCTTTCTGCACATCTTCATCAACCAACACAACAGAAGCAACACAACCAAAACAGGAATTCAAGACAGCAGTGGATCAGACCTGGGCAGTCCTCAGAGCTCCTCAGAATGCGTAATGCCCCATTGCTCAGCAATGCAAATGTAAGTTTTCTATATACAAATTCTTTTTACTTTTTTTTTTTTGGTGTGCAAAGATTTAAAATGTAGCAGTACAATTAACTTTATTACAGGAATATAAACAGGTACAATATTACAATACTTCAATCCACAGTCACATGTTAGGTCAGACAGCACCAGCAACGTGTGAGAAAACGAGAGCTCCGCACTGTGCAGAGTCCACACCTATCATTCAAAGCCTGAACCACGACTAATTGCTGCTAATTCTTTTATCCAACTTACGCTGTCCTCAGCACTTCATAGTGCTTTACAGACTACTGCAACTGCACTTATTAGCTCTGTCTGCAATCTGTTCCTTCACCATCTGATCACGTGTCAGTCACATCATCTGATACAAAGCTCACATCTAGGAACTCTCTGTCCAGGAGGTTGAATGTTTGCTAACACTGCACAGATTGATATAAAAATAAAGGCCAGGATGCAAACCCAAGGGAACAGGTTATAAAGAAAGATAGCAGGTGATTAACATGCCCTTTTAATACAAATAAGCTTCACATACTGTGGTTTCTAAAAGCATAAATGTTTTCAAGTGTAATCAGTGAATATTAGTGATTGTAATTCAGTATGTATAAATAGGAATGTAAACTAGAAATGCATATAATTACATGATCTTTTAGTTAGTGTAGACTTCTGAGCCAAATTCAACCTTGATATAAATCTCTGCTCTCCAGAGGTTTGATACTTAGGATGAATTTGGCCATTTATCTGCTTACAGCAATGGAAAAAAAGCAGGCAGCATATTTCTGACCAAGACCTTAGCTTCATGAGAGGCACAATTCTGAAGTCTGCATTATCTTCTACTTGTAAGTTTTTTAGAAGTGGACCCAGAGAGGTAGAGGGAAGATGCATCTGTTCAACTACTTCTAACGACGTTTCTCTCCTTCACTTCCATTGCCTCACAAAGGCACGTGAGTAACGTTCACCACCATCTGTACATTGTAGGCTAAGAAAAAAAGTCTGAAAATTTCATAATTTAAGAGCTGCTAAGAGATCACCACTCTCAGTTCTTCACAGAGAACAGAGACTATGGTGGTTTTTTCACTCCTTTTGGGCAATGCTCTGAGGACAGAATGCAAACTGAACACCTTAGCAAAGAGAATGATACCAACTGCCCTTGGAATACTAAAGCCTACTAGGTCTACTTGATTTCTAGCATGAGGCAAAGTGAAAGCACAGACTAAATCTCTATTTCCAGTAATAAATAATTCCATCTGCTTCTATATGCCTGAATTTTCCATTGCTGCACTTGAGAGTGGCCACAGAAAGAGTATTTCCCATTGCCTGCTAGCTACATACTCTTTGTTTTCACTAGTAGGTACACAGCTTGGTGTTCCCCACCATCTTCCCAAAAGCTGCTGCACACAGCTGTTCAGACTTGGCATTAGGTGTGATTTGTGACTGAGATGACAGGAGCAGACCTGCATGCTTTATGCTGAGATCAATCTGCATAACATATCTAGATCAGATGTTCCTGTACTTCATTCTGTGAACCAAACACCAAAGGATAGGAAAAATCTTTGCAGTGGCCACATCCTACTGCACCAAAAGACATGCTGTTCTTTGGGTCCTTAACTAAAAGACCATTTGCAGGTTAGTGAGAGAACAGGGACAAGGCACGTGTTCTCCTAAAGCAGTGACAAGAGCCACAATTAGTGTAATCCACAGTGCATCCTGATCAGAAGGTGATGGGAGAGTTCTACCACCTGATTAAAGCCCATCCCCTCATCACTGTTAGGGTGGATAAAGATTATCCCAGTTAAATTCGTATGGAAACTTATGACAATAGTAAAGCAGAGCAGCTGGAGGAAAATTGAATCAGGAAAGCCAGTAGATGGTTTTGCACAGGGGATTCTTATCTGCACAGTTAACCATGACTTCCCACTGCTGCCATGAGACCACTGCTGCAGTTCCATGGGCAGTGGCTGCACAGCAAGCACATGAACAGCTATCAGTGCTTTACCTTGTGCAGATCCATTTGGAGCAGAGCATAATGGCAGTGAGGGCAATTTTAAGGTAGATTACCCAATCCAGTTGTTTCTCACACATGCAAAAAGTGAGGAAGCTTTAACTTCTTGCTAACAGGGTGCTGCCTCAGGCCCAACTGCTTTATTCACTTCATCTGCTGAACTATACACTTTCTGGTAGATTTAAATCCCACATGGGACAGCAGTCTTCCAGTGCCCTCAATCCTGTCCATCTCACAAAATAGCCAGATACAGTCTCCAACTATTCATGGAAAGCCATTCTCAGTCTGCTCAGATTGGTTCAGATCACCCCTAAAGAAACAGTAAGAATGATCAAAACCAATATATTTTTGGCACCTTGGGTTGTATGAGCAAAACTGCACAAGTGAGAGGAAAAACTACAGAGCAGAAGGAAATCTGCAAGCAAAACTATATATTAAAAGGTATAGATTCAGGTCTGAGGTCCTCTCTTTAAGTACACATTCAGGTCTTAAGAAGAAAGATGTTGGGTGGCTCTTATTTGGGTGAATTTTATGAAAAACATTCACTGATTTTTCTCTGTAAGATAGCATTTGTGATCAACTACAAATAACAGAAATCTCTTAATGTAATTCAGCTTTGTGGAGAGTGACCTCAGAGTGTATTCTCACCTTTCAAACAAAGTGAGAAGGATTGGATTTGAGACTGAAGCAGATAAACTAATGCCATATTATCAACTGGGTTTCATAATTCAAAAGAACTAGAAGTGTCAGCTTTGTCCAAGGATAGGATGTGCTTTGTGCTGACCACCAGAATCTCATAATGGATAAAGAGGACAGACTGAGAAATCATAGCACCAGTTTCTAACAAAGTTTATCCTTTTCCACAGCCAGCACCTCCTTAAAAGGAGCCCAACCATTCAGAAGAGGCTGACGTAGCGTTGGCAACTGCAATCTCCTTACTGCTGAACAGAGAAACAGCAAAGTAAACTTCTGCAGTGGTCCTAACATTGGTTCTGAGTCAGACAAGTAGGCAATGAAAGTGTTGTAACTATTGGCTCCTGAGCTTACCCAGTAATCTTGAACCAAAAAAGAGCAAACAACACGTTTCTTCCACCGCTACACTCAATTAGTGTTTCTAAATTCATTAGACTGTAGAGGAATGGAGAGAGAAGTACAGTTCAACTGAAGAAAGAAAGAAAGAAAGATGCTGTACAGTTTAAAAATAAGATGTTAGCAAATTAATAACCAGCCTGTAAACTGCTCTTTCTGCCAGTGTTAATAGGCAGTTGCTTGAGAAAAAGAGAGAGTCAAGATGCAGGCTACATTACCAGAAGCAGGGCAAGGTACCACTTTTCTTTGGTTTCACTTGTTCTTAGTAATTCTCTTTTAATCAAAACAGCTGCTGTGAGCAGCACCTCATGACTGCAAGAGCACAGTCAACAGATGGACAGACCTGTTTAAGCAGAATTTAAATCCAGGGCTTTGGGGTGTGCCTTCTTGGATGCCAGCTCTGACAGCTTCTTCAGGCGTTTCTTCAGTTCCAGTGGGAATTTCTCGTAGCACTTCTTGCATACAGGCTTCATGTCAAACTCCACAAACTTATTCCTTTAACACAAACAATAGTGGGCTATTAAAGCAGTATTTGCAAGCTACATGCTTAATTAAATCAAGTCTGTGTGCAACTACAGAAATGCAATTGTTTGTTCTACTACGTGTAAAATGCCTCACTTCCATGATAATGAAAGTATAAAAATCAGATTTTAATTGGGGAACTGGGGCTTTTAGTACTGCTAGCTTAGTTAGAAGCAAGATTTTGCCATACATTTATATATAACAGCCTAGGATAGTAATGTCATTACAAATGTCTGCATGATGAATTAGAGTGCTTTCACACACCAGGCCTTTAGGGTCAATCCAAAGCAGGATAAGGGTTTGAACCATTTGAACCTGAGAAAGGAAAACGTAGGACTGCTTTGTTTTCTGTTCCTCTTCTACATATTTAGTAACTATTTTAAAGGAAAATGAAATGCTACTCTAAGTAATTGCAAGCACTGCCAGCAAGGGGTGCATCCACACTAAGGAGCAATGGAAGCTGCAGGAATTTCAGTATAGGCAGTTATTCAGAGTTTAAAACCTTCCTTCTGTACAGCTGTCCTCTTACCCAACCTCCTCAGAGAAGAAATTCTTCCTTTGTGAACAGAAGGAAAATTAGATAGAGAAAATGTTGGGTACCAGCTCTCTTTTAGTTGTGAAATCAGCACTCCCACAGAGAGATGGCATTGCAAATCAGTGGATCAGAAGAACGTGGCCCCTCAGGGGCACTGGCTCACAGCACTCCCAAGCTGATACTCTGCCTTAGGGGCAAATGTTCACTACAGCCCAGAGCATAAACGCTGACTTACTTCAGTGTGAGCTTGATGTTGCAGGTGGAGCACGAGAAGCAGTTCACACACCAGGCCTTGTTAAGAGCTGATACCACTGCAAAAGCACAAAATAAAAGGAAACTGCCAGATTATTTGAATTCAGATTTGTATCCAAATTCAAATGAGGCCAGATGTGAAAAAGAAACACTGGTGCCTTGCAACTGTGAGCCTGCAACAGCTGCACTAACAAACAGAATAGGGACAGTAACCCAAAATAAGAAGAGAACAAATCTTACCATCTCCCTCTATCACGTGGCTGCAGTTGTAGCAAACATCTCCAAAGAGCTGCACAGTAAAAGAAGTAAGAACAGGAACTCGTGTTACTGACTGCTCACACTCCCCAAATCACACAGCTGGTGCAAACGTCCAATCCTAACACTTAATGAATTCCCAGATATTGCAGTTGCCCCCAAATGTACCAATTTAAATCTTCTGAATAACTTCTCATACGCTTGCCAATAGCCCATGTTCATTTGGATCTCATACCACTAAATACTACAAGGCCTTTGTTGTTGTTGTCATACACTCTACCACTGTTGTATGATCTTAAAATCTTGTACACGTGGCAATTTGAGTATGGCAGGATCAGTAAAATATATTTGCTAAAGACAGATATCTCCTGATGCTAAAATGAACAACAAAACAAAATCTAGAGCTATTTTCAAAATAGCAACACTTCTTATGAGAGAAAGACTAATTTATCTGGCAGAAGAAAACACCAAACTCATAGCTGTTCACTATCGTCATATAGAAAAAACACATTTGTTTTGACTTGTGAAACATGCTTGTCTTTATGGTTTAAGCAGCACAACATTTATCTTAGGCCTACAGAAACCAATAAGTAACCAAAAGCCCACACAAATTACAGGAATTTTTATTGCTGCCCATGGTCAATGTTTTTAATCTCAAAAGGATAATCAAAAATTGATCTGAGACATTTCCAGTATGTTCTCAGCATTACTTTTCACATCTACCAAGAAAACCTATTTTTCCAATGAAATCCCATTAATTTCTTAATACTGTGGTGATTCTACAAATTGAGACTACAAAAGCATCTGTCAGTCAGAGCAAGCACCTACAGCACAGATGGCAGAATTTACCTGGTTATAATGAGTTTCACAGTAAGCCAGTCCTTTTTTCTCATAGTGGCGGTGCCCCAGGAATGGCTTCTCACATTTAGCACAAACAAAATGCTGCAAAAGAAAGAAGACACTCAGTGACAAGCAGTGTGACTTTTCCATCACCAGGGAAAAAACTTGCTTGGATGCTATGCTGGCTGCAAATCATGGCTCAATACAAGAGACTTAATGCCTTAATAAAACTTAGATAGGAAAATCCTTGAGAGTGAGAAGATGAAATGTTTAGGATTTTACAATAATTCATTAAGAATTACATTAATGATAAACAGAGCACTTGCTGGAAGGGTAACTGTGTTATGTCTATGCTGAGAAGACTTGTGGAATATTGCCTTCCTTATCTCAGAGAAGAGAAACAGGAATATAAAATGTGGTTGGTATGAGTGCAGCTTGGATGAGCAGCAGCATCTCTGTCACATTCAGCCCTACAAGGTTTACATCACCAAATCCATAAATCCCTATAAAACTTTAGAGCGTGCTGTGACAACTTAGCTGAAAGTTACAGAAAATTTGAGCTGAAAAGGCTTAGAAGGCAAGAACTGAACTGGTTCTGCTTAGTTTCCAAATTCTAACAGCTACAAACCTTTTAATCAGGAGTGGAAAGAATATATCTACCCTAGTAAGTAATTATTTCAATTTATTAGTAAATAAATGCCATTATGTGAACTCCATTGACAGTGCAGTCCTGACAAACCTGCAGTACTCATTCACTCACACAAAATGAAGTCAATCTGAAACATAAGCAAATAGTTTTTTGTCTTCCAAAACAGCTCCTGAAGGAAGTTTCAGATTTGGGAAGGCCTCACCTCAACATGCCATTGCTTTCCCAGGGCATTGACCACTCGGCCCTCGATGGGCCTGCGGCAGGCTCCACAGATGGGGATTCCCATCTTGTCATGGCAGGGCAGGCAGTACAGCTCTCCCTTCAGCTCCCGGGCCTCAGCAGTCAACTCCTTCCTGAAAACACAAACGTGTCCCTAAAGTAAGAACACCCTTAAGTAAGAAGCTCCTTAATGTCAGAGATGAAACCTTGGAAGACTGAACTTGAAAGTTAACAAATTTTGGCAACGTTCATGCTATAAACACTCTCATTAAACTAAGCTAGTGAAATGCAGTTGTTATATACTATTTTTTCTATAATTGCTTTCTCGTTTTGTCATCATGTCTCAGGTACACACTCTGGCAAAAATATCTGGTGTGCTTACATGCAATTATACAGTATCATGCTGTCTTTGAATGGGATAGCTCAGGTAAGGGACTATTCCTGAGTGGTCAGCAGCAACACTTCACCTTGTTTCTCAGTGCTGTTACCCACACCGTGCTCCAGTTACACAGCCCCTCTGAGAATAACAGGTCAGACAGGTACAGCACGGCAACAGACAGCCCCACAAGTCTACAAGTCATCCCTTTTTTTTCCCCTCTATCCAGAAATGCAAAGTGAAACTATTTGGAATAATCTGGCACCAGCAAACTTTGGACAGCACTTTTACTGCATTGTGCACACAGTCTCTGATGTAAGTTCTCACAAGTAACTGTTACTGCTTTTCAGTACAAAATGGTGTCATTTCAAATCCAGCAGAGAAGAACAGCGAACAGCAAAATAAAACTGCAATTTTTCTAGGTCTTCCCAATATCTTTCCATTTTTCATCAAAGAATTCCTGTTTTTTCAACAAAGTGAAGGCAGCAAAATTTAGGCCTCAAAAAGGACTGCACTGTTGACTGAACTATCCCTTCTCCTTTGTTGTCAGGGTTTAGAATACCAGAACTTACCCACAGTGGGTGCAATTGAAGTGATCTGGATGGTAGGAATCATTGCGGAACATCAGAGGCTGCTCATCAATTATCAGGTGGCACTTCTGACAGATGTACTTGCCCAGCCCCTTTGCTTTCTCACGGTTATGGCACGGCCTGCACAGGTGCCTGGTTGAACAAAGAAAAGAAAGAAAAACATGATGAAATTCTTTCTCCTAAAAAAATGTATGCTGCATGATGCAAGGTGTACTCGATGTAATCTTTTGAGGTCAGGCTAAACGTTATTTAGTTTAATATCCTATCTTTAACACCAGTTGCACAGAAAAGAGTATATAGAATAGCTACCAGGTTATATTTCCTGGAATCCTTCTCCAACATTCCCAGATTTGTGTTTATATCACAGGCAGATAGTGATAGGACAAGGGGAAACGGTTTTAAACTAAGAAGGGGAGATTTAGGTTAGATGCTAGGAGGAAATTCTTTACTCAGAAGGCAGTGAGGCCCTGGCACTGCTGCCCAGAGAAGCTGTGGATGCCCCATCCCTGCAGGTGTTCAAGGCCAGGTTGGATGGGCAAACTGGTATAGTGGGAAGTGTCCATGATCCTGGCAGGGGTTGGGACTGGATGGGCTTTAAGGTCCCTTCCAACACAAGCCACTCTGTGATTCCATGATGTACCATATTATAGACATGTTCCATGTCTACCATCACCTGTTACTCTTTCAGGTAATCTTTCCAGTTCTTCTAGACCCAATCCTCTCCAAAAGGTGAGATTTTTGTACCATGAAGCAGCAAAACTGCTTCTGACAAGTCCTCTGTGATACCAGGCAAAGTATTCTTGGGAATACCAACTGTCACACACAAGAAAACAGCTGCCTCACCCAGCTGGTGATGAGGGTCTCTGGCACCTGTGCTCCCTGTGCCAGCCATACCCCTTCCCCAGGTGCTTAATCACCAGTTCAGGCCCTGACATGACAGTTCCCCTACACACACCTTCTCTCCATTAATAACTATGGCAGAAGCATTACAGGAGTTGGGAGGAAGCAGAGCAGAGAGAATTATGAACAATTAAACCAAAGAATGTTGCTTGAATGGGATTCCTTAATCTTCAATAGCTAATAGATAAACAAGAACCTCTTGAATTCTAGCTCCTCTGTCTCCTAACTCCTTTTAGTCCTTAGTTAAGGAAAACAAAAGAACTATGTGATTTTATGCGGTAAATACAACTGTGTTTCTATCCCTTGTTCTAGAGCAAATTACAAGCACAGCCCTCAGCAGGCACAGAAGCCAAATTTCTGGTAGAGAAGCCTGGGCAAGAGCATAGAAGGGGCTTCTATAAAGGCTGCAGGAATCCACCAGTTTTATCCCGGTATCCAGAAGCTCTGAGGAGAAACTGTTCAGTTTAATTCCCTCTTATGTAGCCCTCTAGCAGCAAGAAAAGAATTTATGGTAAAGCAAAACTGACAGAGGATTCACTTCTGCAGGTTTATCTGAGGCAGAACAGAATCCCACTTGATTCCTTTCACTGTATTGCTGTGTGAAACTTGCTGAGATCTACAGGTCATTCTCAACAGACAGGAGACGAAAGGAAAAGTTCAAATGGAAAGGGCAGATTTATGGCTGCAGCAGTGGATTCATCGCAGGGCCCCTTCCAAAATTCTGGTAGGATGAATCACTTACCCTTAGATCTGTAAAACAGGGATAAGGATTCAACACAGATGTTGTTGTGAGACCTCAAAACATTTCTGACCCTCAGTTGGCAGGCGCCTGCCTAAGTGCTAAGTATCGTTATTATTTTCTCCAAATCTGAGTCCTCCTGTCATCAAGAGTTTCTCTCCAGGGCTGGAACTACTGTCTGCCCAGACGGAATCCAGAAAAAGCAGACAGGACCCCATTATAAGGAAACATGCAGCTGTGCTCATCTCAGCATAAAGGCATCGATTTTATTCGGCGCTGTCAAATGGAGAGTAATTATATGGGGCAGGACAGAGGGACCCCGAAGCAAGTGTCCTGAAAGAGACCCCTCTCATTCAGCTGAATAAGATGCCTTCAGCCATTTGCACTGATAAACCATTATCAACCCCTCCCCATTCACAGGCCCTCTCTCCCTGTCCCATAGACCCTCCTCTATTGCAAGCAAAGGGAAGTGTTGGACAGGCTGAGCTGTTACCATAGCAGCCGCCCCTCTCCCTCTCTGCACTCCCACCATTATGGAATTATCCCATTCTGAAATGTCCTGTTGTGCCTATTAATACCAGACTTCCCCCAAACAATGCTTCACTCCACCCTCCTAAAATAATCAGGGGACTCCAAGAGGGCTGTGTGAAAGGCTGGGAGTTCAGCAACGGCCTTCAGTGAGCACCACGAACACTGGAATATTCATACAGCACATTCATATCTGCAACAGCAGCAGCAAGCCCCATGCCAAGGGTTCAGCTGGGATGAAGAATGCTCTTCAGTGCAGGGGTGTCCTCTCCCTGCTCTGTTGTGTGCCTGAGCTGATAAGGCACTATCAGAGCCAGAGGGACGCTATATAGAGGGGCACCCCTCTCCACCTTCAGCAGCCCTGCAAACGTGTTCTCTTTTTGGATCAGCTCCTCGGTTTTGCTGTAGCTGCTTCGTTTTGGTTTGCTGCCATCAGCAGGAGTTCCCTGAGATCTTCCCTAAAAGGAACCAACTCTCCACCCATAGGACTGCGCTGTGAAGAGGTAAGAGACAAATTTCTGTAGCAGGGTAGCAAAGGAGCTTTCCTAGCGCTGTGAGTTTTAGCTGTTGTCAGCAAGGTGGAAAGATACACAAACTGGGATCGTGAACATAATGGAAATGTCTGAAACTAAGAAAAAGCAGCACATTTTGAAGATCAAAACACCAGACTTTTCACACTTCTGTCCTTAACGTCCATCCCTTCAGCCAGGGAAGCTGACTGCTGTGTGTCCATCGCTCTGACGCCGCTCTGATGCTTAAAGGAAACCAGAGCCTGAGCTGAGGGGTGGGAGGCTCAGCAGGAGTGATTGTCAGGAGAACAGCATCAGTTAGAAGCGGGCTACTTCTAAGGAAGAACACTTACAGAGAAAGGCAGGAGACAAGATGCTACAAGCAGAAATACAACCCCCCAAACTAGCATATTCCCAAGCCAAAATTCTTCCAGCTGAGCCAGAAGTCATTTCCCGAAATCCATCACTAATTTCAACATACACTTTGAATTTATCTGCAGTAAGCATCGTAACAAAGCCTTCAAATTAGCCAGGTAATGAATTTGTGATGAGTTATTTTTTCTGTTTATTAATTTTTGCATCATTAATAACTGATAGAGTAACCCTGCACTGCCAGCCCCAGGGATTGTTATCTGTTTGTTTCTGAGCAAAACAGAAACAGGGACATAAAACATGGGCAGTGTGCAAGCATTTCTAATGAGTGCTGACAGCCCCCTTCCAGCTCGGCCCCGGGGGCTGGGATAATGGCTCCCTCCACAAAAGCACTCTGCTCAGCAATACGTACATCAAGAAATATTCATAGAGCACCAGGAGTGCAATCCAAGAGGAAATTATTGGGCGGTGAGACAGACTCCCAAATAAGTTTTCTGTTTGTGGAGTGAAAGCCTCTTGTGCTATACTGTATACATTAGCTCAAACTGCACATTCTAGGTCATTTTGGAAAGTTTCAAGTTTGCTCTCAGCATAAATACAGATAAAAGAAAAGTTTTACAGGATTTATGAGCGTCCTTTTTTGCAAGCTAACAAACCAGAAAGAAAGAAAAAGCCTAAACAGTAAATCAGTTATTTACACTGATAGAGACATGCAAAATAAAAATGCAGCAAAGGGCTTTCCATAATCTACAACTACAAAAGCCATAATTTTTGTCAAGTTGCAGCTTTCTGTCAAAAACATCTCTGCTCCAGACATAACCTCAGCAAGCAACCCTAGCAAAACAGCAGCTTTTCCTCTGACCTAGTTTAGTGCTGCATGCTGTCAACAAACAGAACTGTAAAGAAATACAAAAATTCATTAAAGTTCCCTTCTTAACTTAAAATCTAAGCAAAATTAGAAAGAGATCCAATTCCCCAAGGGATGGAACACCTCTCCTACAGGACAGGCTGAGAGCTGGGGCTGTGCAGATGGAGAAGAGAAGGCTGTGGGGAGAGCTGAGGGCAGCTGTCAGTATCTAAAGGGGAGTGACAGGAAAGAAGGGGACAGACTCTTTAGCAGGGCCTGTGGTGACAGAACAAGGGAAATGGCTTCAAGCTCAAAGAGGGGAGATCTAGGTTGGGTATAGGGAAAAAGCCTTTCACACTGTGGGTGGTGAGGCACTGGCACAGGTTGCCCAGAGATGTGGTGGATGCCCCATCCATGGAGACTTTCAAGGCCAGGCTGATCAGGCCCTGGGCAACCTGATCCAGCTGTGGTGTCCCTGTGCAGTGCAGGGCAGTTGGACCACGTGGCCTTTAAAGGTCCCTTCCAGCTCTGAGGGGTCTATGATTCTCTATTCATTTGGTTTCTGACCAGGCAATGAATGATGCCTTCCTTCCCCTTCCTCCAACAAGTAAATAAGGTAAGAGCAGATCTCACGTGAAGGCAATGACTTGAACAGGACAGAATTTATTGATTTTATCATCTGCTCTAAGGATCTCCTTCTTGTCACTGACATTTTGAGCTTACAGACAGACCCACGTTCTCCCTTCTCCTCCACCCCACAGCACCTTGCAGTGAAAATATGTCCAGACAGAAATCAATGGCAGAGTCAGTGCTGACATCACTGAGGGCAAAACTGCTGACTGAAATGCCTTGACTAGTCCACATCCAGCATGGGCAGACAGCTGGGTCTGAATTCCAAAGATCCTCCATAGGAAATCAGTTCAGTGTATCAGCTGCTAACTCTCAAGCATCTGGCTTCTACACAGGGCTTACTGCTTTGCTTACTGAAGTTAAATCACTGTCATCAAGGGAAGAAACATCCCTGTCTGCTACCCTCCCTTTAGTCTTTTCAGCTGGTGCAGTCCTGTACCTACTGCTTTTTCAATGGTGTAACCACACAAAGAGGAGCACTTACCATCAGACCAACTCACTCATCACTGACAGGTGTGTGAACATATAAAGATCATTGCATTTTTGCAGATTAAATAAAAATTAAACAAAGATGATAGGTACCACTGTAAATTAGCAGCCCATAGGCATGGTCTCAGCGTTCATTTCTTCCCTACTGTGCAACAGAAAAATATGTATTTAAACTAATTCCATCCAGGAAAGACAAGTATTTGGAAACGCAAAACATGGAAACTCCAAATTCTTGGGTTCAAAAAGACTTGTAGGCTTTATCTTATATAAAGACAAAAACCCAAACTTGTGTGCTCTCCAGCAACCCCAGGAAATTCACACAGAAAACGCAACAGTGAGTCTTCTTTTTGTTCATGAAAGCAACAGGAACTGCACAGTATAAGATATCACATGTATTTATAGGGAATGAAATGCCCCTTGGAAAAAAGGACAGCCTAGATGCACTTTTAGTAATGCCACCTACTAAAGTGTTGTTCTCTCTAGCTGGCAGCAGACAGTGATTACCCACACTCAAACTTAGTCTTTCTTGTGCCATAGGCACACATTGTATTTGGGGAGTGCATAGAGTGAGAAGGCCCCTCTGTGGCCACACAGAGAAATTCCTGTTTCCAAATGTAATTTGTTCTCCTTTCTGCTGACTCTGGTCTCCCCAGCCATGCAGTAAGCAGAAGTGGTCCAGCATGTTCATTCTTCACCTACTGCAGTTTCCTGCCCATCTGAAAGTGACAACAGCTAACAAAAGATGAGAATTACCTTGGAGTTTTATTTACAAATTTCCCATATACTGGTCTGCAATTAATCAGACATTTCAGTGAATGTACTCAAATTTTGAGTTCTGTTGGAAGTTGGATGCCTTGCTTCATGCCTTGGACCTTCTGCCTACTGATGTAAGATCTCAGCACGCAGTGTAACTTCTGCCTGAGACTCACAATGTTGTGTAAGTGTCAGCCTCTACCTTAAAATTTCAATCTTGGTAGAGGAAAATGGAGCAGACTGATCTTAAAACATTCTAATGGGTGAAGAACGTGTCAAAGAAACAAGAGATGGCTCCTTGTTTCCCTAGGCAAAGCAAACAGACACTCAAGCCAAACTTGGAAATTCTTCTTGTCTTTTGCTATCATTATTTCATTGTTTTTTTTCCAAATGCTTTTCAAACACAGTTGTATTTGATGCTGCCTCGGTGACCTGAGGGTACTGAGACAGGAACACAGGGCACACAGAAACCAGAAGCTACAGTTTTCAGCTTCCTTAGCTGCTTATTCTTTAAATATGTATTGAATGTTGTGCTGTAATCATCAATTAGTACAACTAATAGAGGTACTGCTGTGGATACTGCAACACCTCTGAGGAATCCAAGAAACAGAGACAGCACTGGAAGCTCAGACTGTCTGTATTTCCCTACCATTGACCCTGACAGATGAGGAGTGTATTACACTCCTCAGTGTAGGTGTTACAATTACACTCCTCAGATGAGGTGTTACAAAGGCAGGGGTAAACACCCACAAAATGTAGTCACTTTTGGTTGATGCTATTCAGGACCCTGCAGAGACTGCCAAAGCTAAGCACAGTCTTACTATGCTGCAACTTGGAAAAGCTCCTGGATAAGCTACAGGGAGAGAGTTACACTGGGAGAAGATGCAGGGAAAGGCAGTGCTTTGGCAACAGAAGACAGCATGGGTATTATTAGCAATATTTTCTGAGTCAATGTATTGTTTTTCTGCTATTCAAATGAGATGCTGTTACCCATCTGAAAGGCTTCCCCCTTTATTGGTGCTGTATGTGTTTGCCATCAATGCAGGACTTCAGAACAAAATAATTCTCAAAAGATTTTCAGGAATCTTGCTTTTTTTTAAAAAAAAAAATAACAATACCTGATCTGCTTTCTACTGCTCCAACAAACAAGGATGTTGCAGGCACCTTACAGTAAGAACATGTTCAGAAAAGCTCTTCAGTCCTAAACCAGTCTTTCAAACTAAACACAACGAATAGCATCTAGCTAGACATACAGAACCTGCTTCCACTTTTCCATATGCCTGATAAATGAGCACATGACTATTACTCAACTAAGCCCAGCACAGGGTGGAGACAAACTCATAACCAGCTAGTTTCTCTTCAATAGTGGTTCCTTCAATGGGAATTAATGGGCTGGACAGCTGAGCAGAGTTTTAATGTACATGTTTAAAGTCAGACTGACACGTCCTATTAAGTATCAGTATCAGCAAGCACAAGACCACACTGATTTCCATCTGTGTTTTCTCCAAAAAACAGTTTTGTTTTTTTTTTTAAACTATAACATGATGTCTCAACTCTTTCAGGTTTTTCTTTCATACTTCAAAACTGTGGTGAAAAATGAAAGGCCCAGCAGATCCCTCAAGTCTGCTCTTCAATTGCTCAAATCAATCAAACTTCCCTTGGGAAACTTCAGAGCAATGTGGCAAAGAGACACACCTCGAGAACGTACTTTTTGCTACCTTCTACTTCCTAGACTTCATCCTGGCTTTTATTGGCAACTCCCTGGCTCTTTGGCTCTTCATTCGGGACCAGAAGTCTGGCACACCCGCCAACATTTTCCTGATGCACCTTGCTGTGGCTGACCTCTCATTTGTGCTGGTCCTCCCCACCCGGCTGGTGTACCATTTTTCAGGTAACCACTGGCCGTTTGGTGAGATCCCATGCAGACTCACCGGTTTCCTCTTTTACCTCAACATGTATGCCAGTATCTACTTCCTCATGTGCATCAGCGTCGACAGGTTCCTGGCCATCGTGCACCCTGTGAAGTCCATCAAGCTCCGCAGGCCCCTTTATGCCCATTTGGCATGTGCCTTCCTATGGCTCATAGTTGGGGTTGCGATGGCACCCCTGCTGCTCAGCGTGCAGACTGTGGAAATGAACAACACAACCATCTGCCTGCAGCTCTATAGAGAAAAGGCATCACGTCACGCTCTGGTGTCCTTAGCTGTTGCGTTCACCTTCCCATTTGTTACCACGGTGACCTGCTACTTATTAATCATCAGAAGCCTGAAGAGTGGGAACAGAGTTGAGAAACACCTGAAGGAAAAAGCTGTCAAAATGATCATCATGGTCCTGATGATCTTTCTGGTTTGTTTCGTACCTTATCACGTCAATCGCTACATTTATATCCTCCATTACAACGGGACCAAGGCTTCCTGCGAGACGCAGCGCCTGCTAGCACTCAATAACCGCATCACTTCCTGCCTCACCAGCCTGAATGGGGCCTTCGACCCCGTCATGTATTTTTTTGTAGCTGAGAAATTCCGTGATGCTTTGTGCAACCTGTTCTGTGCTAAGAGGACGGTGATGATACCGCAGACGTGTGAGGGGAAGACGAATGAAAGCTCGCTGAGTGCGAAATCTGAGCTGTGAACGTGACTCCTGCCACTGCTTCAACGTGAAAAGGCTGCTCTGCCTAAATCAGAGGAGTGCAGACATGCAGAAAGACAGCGTAACCGCAGCCAGGCTCGCTCCTGCAGAGGGAAGTTCTGTCATTTCCCTGGAACTGAAGTTAACAGGAACCCCTCTGATTACGTGCTCCTGTCTTACTGAAACTGCAAGCACAAGTACAGCCACACTGACTGCCACGATGTGAAACTGAGGGCTGAGCACTTAGGAACAACTAAAGGAACAAGGGCTGTTAAACAGACACCTCCTTTTTGCAAAATAATTTAATTCCCAAAGCATTCAATAATGGCTTTTCCTATGCACGATGCATAAGCCTACTTTAAAATGTCACGCTGCACCAACACTAGAGATCCATTCCTCACATAGACTGTACCTTCTGTTCAAGTTGCATGCTCAGTGTTTATACACCGTAGGCAGAATAACTGGCACTAAGCCATAGCAAAATAAATAAATAAATAAAAAGCAAAATGCTGCAACACATCCAAGCAGGAATGCAATTAAGAGAATACTGACCATTTTTTAACTGCTTCCAAGTGCTAAGTGTAGGAGATGAGTTCGAAGCTTCAGAGGCCAGACAATGTTTACTGCACTGCCTCTGTTATGTAGTTCCCTGCCAAACATCAGACATCCTGATAGTACTTCAACTAAAGAATAGAGAAGGTCTCCTTAGGAATACAGCATTCATCTTTACTACATACTGAATCAAAAAAATCTACGAACTTCTGTCTTAAAAATTGGTAAAGGTGGACAAAAGCAAGCAGAAGAAGAAACCACAGCATCATTTAGGATGGAAAAGACTTTCTAGATCAAGTTCCAACCACTCACCTGACCTACCAAGTGCCATCACTCCAACCAAGCCCTCTAGTGCCACATCCACACATCTCTTAATCACCTCCAGGGTATTTATTTTACTGATGTTCCCTTTGCCCAGGGAACATCATCTCAGTTTTAAGGTGTTTTATGACTATTTCATTTTGGCAGTTTACCTTGCCAGACTATTTATTTGCTACAGATAAAGCAGGGATTACCTTAACTATCCTTACTAATACAAATTATATCCAGTGGAATACATCTGGGAATGAGAGGCACACCTAGCAAGATTAGGTACAATGAGAAAATAGAAAATGAACACAACAGTTTCTTACAGCATTTGCTAGTAGAAAGTTACTGTGCAAAAGAAGTAAATGTTATAGGAAACCACATGACAGGTGAAATAAATTTGGAACGTACAGACACACAGGCACACACATTCCTTTCCTAAACTTTCCATTTAAAATTTGGCCCACATACTATGAAATCAAACATTCTTTTTCATGCTTGAATTGTTTCAATCCTAGCTGCTTTCCTAAAAAGACCCAGGAATACTCCTAGGTGCTGTGACAACAGCACAGATTCTAACAAGCTGAGATGTCACAAGGAAATTTATTATGTCCAGCTCGAAAAACTAAGACACAGAAGTTGCATGCAGGACCAAACAGAAAAGGGAGTGGAGGAATCTCCCTGCTGGACAGGGTACAGACATACAACCTTTCCTTCCTCACCCTTCAGGTAGTGAAAATGTAAACCCCAGGAAACTACTAAGCTTTGCTCAAGATACGAAAGCCTGAAATTAACTATGAATTGTACAACACTATGTACTAACTGTCAGATGGGTTTATTTTCTTATGATATCCTTTTGTAGAAGTTTCAAGTTTTTAGTTTCTTACTTCTTAATTAAATGCATTAATCTACCTTAGGACTTGATTTTATATTTCTTTATATAAAACAAACGGCTTTTCAAGACTTGGAAAATCTCATGCTGAATATGTTTTGATGTAATCCTCACATTGTTCTCTTGGCCTTTTGCAATGTTTTAATTGCTGCTCAGCAGCGATTACCTGATAAACAGCCAAACCTGCTAAACTCAGCATCACACAATCCCTTTTCTCACCTGCTATCTGGCCTCTTGCCTATAATCCCTTTCTTTTCAGTACCCTTCCACTAGCTACTAACATTTGAGTTTCTGCTTTCTACACATCCCACTGAACAAAGAACACTGTTCTTCATTTAATTCCCCATCCCACAACAGGCTACTCCTTAAAGCTTCCTCTGTACCTCTACAAGCTTCACCTCCCAGTATATGACCAATGGAGCATTCTCAACATCTCACTACCACATCAACAACATACTGACAAAATTTCCAGAGCTGCTGCTCCATCTTACCTGCCAGCATTCTTCACAAAACCCAGGTCAGCAAGTGCCACATCACAGAGCTCACAACGGAAACATTCTGGGTGCCAGTTGTTGTTCATTGCCTTGATAACACGCCCAATGATGAACTCACCTACAAAAGGAAAGCAACACCTTGAGATCCACGCAGAAAATAGTTTTATCAAACATCTACAGCCCTTAATAATTCTGCCCTTAAACCTCACAAGAACTACTACTTTATAGCTTTGGTGGAAAAAAAAAAACAAAAAAAAACCCTCTTCCCACCACCAGGATGCCCCAAATCACTGCTGATTACATCCTTTGTTTCTCTCCAGATTTCCTGCTCCTTAAAATGACCCCAATAATTCAGCCAAGGCTAGACAGCATTCAGTGGTGGGAGTAACAGCCTGGTCTAGTATTAGATATGGAGGTTGGTGGCCCTGCCTGTGGCAGGGAGTAGGAGCTGGATGATCCTTGAGGTCCCTTCCAAACCAAGTCATTCTATGATTCTATGAATCTGTGGTGTTGCAATGGATGTATATGCTACAGGGCCAACACTGCTAAAAGAAGGGCCACTTGGCCCTAACAGTGTAGCTCACTGTGGGAAATACACAGCTGGATGAGGCTGTACAAACGTGTATTTGTACATCTTACCACATTCTCCACAGCAAGGAGCAAACAGCATCTGAAAGTCATGCTCACAGTACTTCCGACCTTCAAACTGAAAAGAAAAGAGAAAGAGAGCCATCACGAATAACTGAACAGTGATCAGTTCTCAACAGTTTAGTATTTTCCACTTGGAAAAAAGAATTGGCCAAGACCAGATAAGGTTTTCAGTTCCAGTCTCCCTTCTGACCTGTTTTTAAGCTCCCAGAGATGTTCTCAAAGCAACATCCAGATACAGCTTCAGGCTCATAGCGAATTTGCTTTGCAAATAATTAAATCAATAGCAAAGCTCCTACAAGACAACAAAAATCCTGGGGTGCCCAAAGTTTCTTTCCCTATAATTTTTTTTTTTTTAACTTGTGTATTTAGAATTATTCCTCCTACAGAGGACTAAAAAGCTAAGAGTGCAGCATGTTTAAAATAATGTATTATTCAAAAGCAATGCTTGCACACAACTTGTTTTGTATGGGTTTGCCAACTTCAGTTGGGAAAGTCTGGTCCACAATACCTAAAAATAAAGGCAAACTATCACTTAAGCCTAATGAAATATTAAGATATGCTTGTGCTTTCTTTTTTGAAATGCCTCTTACCCAAAGAGCAAACGCAGTTTAGTTGATGAACAGATGTAGGTAAGAGGAAGAAAAAAAGGAAAAAAGAAACCATGCAGCAAGTCCCTCTTAAGGCTTAGAAATTAAACATGCGAGATGGAAATTCTTATTTCTGTCATGATAATTCTTTGCCTTTGAACAAAGATATTTCTTTTCTCTCATACACAGCGTGCAACATCACCTCATAAAAAAGTCCATCTGGGAACTGGCGAAAACACTGAGCACAGACAAAGCAGTTCTCATGGTAGAGCTCCCCATTGCTGTTCACAATCCTCTCCGCGGGATCAAATCGAGTCTGGCAGCGTTCACACACTGCATTCGCGAGAGCATCAGACATATTACTGGAATAAAGACAAGAGTGAGAACATAAGCAGTGTCATAAGCAAATCAGGAGTACACTCACGCCATCCAAGCTTCTCCAACATCTATGAACACAAAATTTCCAGTGCTTTAAACTCCCTCTTACACACACGCACACAAATCACCAATGACTGAGGTAATTCAGCACTGACATCAGTTGGAAATAATGCTCCTGCAACTCAGCTGGGTAGGCAGCAGCACTGTGGCAGAACTAACTCATGTAGCAGACCTCTCTGTCACACACTTTTGGCTGCTTTGCCAGTTTTCCACCCCATTATGTCATCCTGCTAAAGCCCGTATCAAATCCCCCACCGTTCAAAATAAAGCAGCAGTTCTGAGAGCAGCAAACCCAATTAATCCCTATTTCTCAGGATTTCTGGCCTCAGGATGTGCACTCCTAGAATTTCCCCACATATAAGCATTGATCTTCCACCACAGCCTCCCCCTGACCATGGGAACCAATGGGGTCTTCCCCCACCTACCTGGTAGCTGATGTGCACAAGACGCCTTGGGATATAATTACATACAAAGCCTGTGCCTTCCTGACAAATTAGCTGAAACTGTTGAAGTGTTGAAAAGGTACAAAATGAAAGGAGCCATCCTGCCTGGCTTGGCTTCACTTCCTCAGAAAGTGAGGCTGAAATAAACCCACAAAGTCACACTCACAAATCACTCAAAGGGCTGTTTCCCCTTTCTCTCCTGAAATGGGAGTTAACCTAACTGCTTCCACAACATTTTCACACTTGTCTTCATGATAATCTAAGTTCTCCATATGGTAATAGAATGCAGTTTTAAAATCCTGTATCTCATGTCCAAACAGGGAGGGAAAAACTACGATGAGGAAGGAGTCTCAGCTTCTTGCTGCGATGCATTTATTCAATTGCCCATAGAATCATAGGATGGTTTGTGTTGGAAGGGACCTTTCAGATCCAACCCCCTGCTATAGGCAGGGACACCTCCCATAGCCCAGGCTGCTCACAGCCCCATCCAGCCTGGCCTGCAGTGCTCCCAGGGAGGGGGCATCACAGCCTCACTGGGCAGCCTGCTCTAGTCTCACCACCCTCATAGGAAAGAGTTTCTTCCTAATATCTAGTCTAAATCTACCCTCTTCCATTTTAAAGCCATCTCCCCTCATCCTGTCATTACCTGCCCTTATAAAATGTCCCTCCCCAGCTCTCCCATTCAGGTGTTGGAAGGCCACTATAAGGTCCATCTGCAGCTTTTTCCTCTCCAGGTTGAGGAGCCCCAGCTCTCTCAGCCTGTCCTTATAGGGGAGGTGCTCCAGCCCTCTGATCATCTTCATGGCCCATTTCTGGACCTGCTCCAACAGCTCAGTGTCACACACAGCCCCCTGAGCAGCAAGCTGCTGTACCACACAGCAGAAGGACAGCCTCCAGCATGGAACGTTTCTGGCACTCTATGTGCTCTTTTGCAATGAAGTAAGATACAAAATCCTCCTCTGTTTTAACAATAAGCCGGTGACACAAAAACAGGAAAGGCCACGAGAACACGACCAGCTCAACATCCTGGTGCAAACCCAACAGAACACGCTGTGAGTGCTCACATAGCACAGCTTCCAGCAGAATGATCACAGAATCCTTCGAATTGGAAGGGACATCTAAAGGCTATCTAGTCCTACTCCCCTGCAACAAACAGGGAAACCACAGCTCCACCAGGTGCTCAGAGCCCCATCCAGCCTGGCAGACCTCCATCAGTGCTGAATGAGGAGTTGCTTTAATGTGGAGATAACCAAAAACCTTACAGATATTACAGCAAAGAAACCTGAAGGCATCGTTTCAAGGTACAAGAGTACAGGGCATCATCCAAACCTCACAAGACAGAACAAACCTGCACTAAGGAATCCTAGACAGGAGCTTTCCACTCATGCTGACCTACCAATAGACTCCCATGTATGCAGAAGACATCTCAATGCAATAACATTTATGTAGTCATTCAGAATATGCACAGAGACACACACATTGGGTAGTTTAAAGTCAAACCCAAAGAAAGCCATCACCACTTGGCTGTGCCATAGACCTCAGGATAGAAATCAGAGCAGCCAAGGAAAGGGGCTGCTTCCCATCCTTGTGACATGGTTGAGCAGTTGTGGCTTTGAGCCCTTAATGTTGACTAAAATATCAAGTGATTTTACCAAACCTGCCACAAAACATTGGAGAAAAAACAAAGTGTTCCCATTTCCCAAACATGTGATCTGCTTTGCATTCAATAAGGCCACGAGCAGAGTTTAATCTGCAGAATTTCTCCTTCTCCTCACATTGTATTTCCACTCAGCAACCTGGGCTACAGGGAGATGTCCCTGCCTGCAGCAGGGGTTGGAACGAGGTGATCTTAAAGGTCCCTTCCAACCCAAACCATTGTAGCATTTTATGATTCCAGTTCACTGAGATATTTTTTAGCTGGCTGGCTGTGAGCTTAGTAGCATTGTGGCATTTCTTCCTGAGTGCCCAAATTCTCAATAAAATCCACACTTTTTCCTTGCGATTTACTGCCAAGGGGCAAGCAAAATGAAAAAAAAAAAAAAACACAGAAAAGCAACTTACGGTCACAGCGTGGGGACAAACTTTTACAGCTTCTCACCTCTCCTTGGCCTACCAGCCACAGCCCTCTGCTATTTGCAGAAGCCAGAGGTTCGCTCAGCCCAGGGCAGCACCACGAAGCAGCATCTGTGTTTAACAGGTCACATCTGCGAGGCAGCAACACCACCCCTCTATTATCAGCCATGCAGCACTTTGCCCATAACGTACATCTGATAAACAGCTTCCAATGCACGCTGTCTGTGTTCCTCTTCTTCACTTCCACCATCTCCAAGGAGCCTGTGCTGATGGTTGTTTACCAGCACTGCTAAAACTGATTGCTTCCAACTGTGTTCATCACTTACCACCAGTAATGCTGCTTTGGATTGCCACCATTTGCACAATGAAGGGCAGCCTTCCCCAGAGCTGCTAACGTGCCCAAACCCACAGTAGTAGGTTTAAATAATTATCATCATCAAGGCTTGAAAAACACACATTGGTAACAAAACAAAAAAAGAAGAAAAAAAATGAAACCTGATTGCAAACTGAGGAAACAAACAACACTGCACCTTCACCTTCTTTTGGAAGGCTCTGTGACAGCTATAACAGAACAAACAGCTGAACACAAATCACACATTGCAAAGGCGAGAGCATTGAACTTCTCACCCTTCCCATCATCAGTCTGGGCTGTTTTCCTGCTGAAGAACTGCGTTTCTTTGCTCCTTCAGTGCTGACTTTTCTGTCACCAGCCCCTTCTGTACTCCTGCACAGCCCCATCTCCCCTCAATGGCACTCACACTCCTTCCCCTGTCCTCCTACCTCCCTTCCATACATTCACACCCACAACACTGTGCCAGAAGAAATGAAAATTTAACCACTAACCAATGGCTGTAGGCTAAGCAGAAAGCACTGGGATGAGCAAGGCTCTATGGAGGGATGCAGGGCTCACACTGAGCGGCCGAACCAATTGCACCTCAGCTAGGTCTGAGACAAGACTGAAATTCACAGCTCCTGGCTGCCACAAGGACAGCCCTGCTGCACACTCACTGCTCTTGCCACCACGCAGACCTCAGACGCAATTACTTAACTGAGCTGATTTCTGCTAATTGCTCTCCTGTCCAAAGGAGATGAAAATTCTAACGACAATTACAATTTTAAAAAGAAACACAGGAAAAGAAACCCTCTAGCCAAGCTCTGTAGCTGCCTGGGCAGCTCTGCCTGCCAGGTGAGCAATCCCATGCAGCAGCCATGCCAGGAGCTCCAGTTTCTGACAAACGCTAAAATCAAGAAGCCTGATACTCACAGTACCAACAGGTTACTGAGCCTCAGTGCTTTGAATGACTGCATTTTACTATTCCTCTGTCCCCACGGCACCGAAGCACTCCAGCACTAACCAGAGCTGAGCTGCTGCTGGCTCTGAACAACCCAGCTTCCACACGGAAAGGTTCTCCACTGCTTCTTTCCTGCTATTGTTAAAAACTGAAAGCTTCCCCACCAGGAAAGTCCTCTCCTTCGTAATCTGCTTGGAAATAGAACCAGGCTTCATCCTGTCTTGCTGAGCACAGACAGTTCCTGCCCCGACACAAAGAACACCCACCACCACAGCTGTGCCCCCGACCCCCACACACACGTACCCTTGGGCCCTGGGGGCTGTGCCTGCCCGGCCCTGCCGCCGCCAGTACAGCCCTGAGGCTGCCGGGCCCTGCAGGCGCAGGGCGGCCATGGCACCCCATGGCAGAGCAGGGAGGTGGTCAGGGAGCACGGACATCCAGTGAGTCACCTTCCTGAGGGGAGTTCCCTTAGAGTTCCAGGAGAGCTGCAGCAGGATGCAGGCAGTTCTGCTCCAGCGCTGTTCCTCATGCTTTGCCTGCCATCCTGCTGCAGCCCTGAAGACCTGAGAAGCTCTGTCCTGCATCCCACTGCTAATTAATCACCTGCTGAAGGCAGCACACTTGAAGGTCGTAGCAGCAAATAGTGTTCTGCCAGACTTGATGATGGAGGCATGTTAAGTCCCAAGCCTTCACGCAATCAATCCATGCCACTGAAGGAGACTCTCAGATCAAAGCAACAGAACACTGCTGACCTGGACTCACCATCACCCAGCTCTCAGGTGCCCCACAGCTGCTGCACCCCAAAGCACTGCTTTCCACGTGGGTGAAGCACACACCGAGGCACCAAGCGCAGCACTGCATGCAGAGCAGCAGCTGAGGAAAGCTTGGGGCAGGCAGCACCACACAGCCCTGCTGGGAGCTGAGCAGGGCCCATGCAAGACTGAAAAGAATTAAAGAATTGAGAATAGAGAAGGCAGTGTTTAAGAGAACAAAAGGAGCGGAGGGCGATGGATGCAGCTGAGTCACTGTTGTCTGACCAGCACCACCATGAAAACCACTTTGTGTTTTATTATTATTTCGTTTTCTTATTATTCTCTTGTAAATAATTTAAAAAGGAGTTTTGTAGCATCGTAGTGAAATATATTCCACTGGTAAGCTGTAGGAGGAAATAAGCAAGAGAAGTGATGATTCCACAAGTACTAGGCGAGTGTTAACCGCAGAGATCCTCCATGTCCACTAAGCAAAAGTAAGAGGGACCTAGAACAGGCACAGAGGAGAACCCACAATCTCCAATTCAACCTGCACTTTGTTGTCCTTCAGGCCCCTGACCTTCAAAGCAATCTGCAGTTCTTCCAAACTGCATTTCATAGAATCACAAAATGGCCTGGGTTGCAAAGGAGCACAATGCTCATCTCGTTCCAACCCCCTGCTGTGTGCAGGTCACCAACCAGCAGCCCAGGCTGCCCAGAGCCACATCCAGCCTGGCCTTGAATGCCTGCAGGGATGGGGCATCCACAGCTCCTTGGGCAACCTGTTCCAGTGCCTCACCACCCTCTGGCTGAAAAACTTCCTCCTAATATCCAACCTAAACCTCCCCTGTCTCAGTTTAAAACCACTCCCCCTGTCCTATCACCATCCACCTCACAAACAGCCGTTCCCCCTCCTGTCCATACTCTCCCTTCAAGCACTGGAAGGCCACAACGGGGTCTCCCCAGAGCCTTCTCTTCTCCAAGCATTTGTCCTTAACTCACCTCTGCTTTACAGAGCAGAGAAATAAAGGGAACGGTAAAGAACGAAAAGACGAAACAAAAGAATAAAAATATCCTTCAAGCTGCGTGGCTTTGCTGACCTTTTAGAGTGATAAAACACCTTTAACACACAATGACATCACCTCGTTTACCCTCAACACAAAGCAAACCACGGCAGCACCGCAGCACCTCCCGCCAGCATCCTGGCACAGCTCTCCTCCCTCCAGCACCTCAGCTTTTTACCCTCCCGGCCGCTTGCGCTGCTTCATACGAATTTCTAAAGGCAATCTAACGCAGGACGGGCACGGTTTGTTTTTATTTTTTGTAACGTTTTGTTCTTATCCACGCTGAGGAGCCGCCCTCCCGGCCCTCCCCACACGGGGTGCGGCCCCGCAGGACTTCCCGCCCTTACCTGCCCGTCATGGCGGCGCGCCGAGGGGCTGCGGGGCTGCGGGACGGGACGGGCGGCTCCGCGCGGCGCTCCGGCAGCGCCAAGCACGGCACGGCACAGCGCGGGGCCCCCGGGCGTGGGCGGGAGCCGCAGCCCCCGGTGACTCAGGGCAGCCCCCCCCGTGCCCCGCGCATATTTTTCCTATAAAGGGAAAGAAGCGGCGAGGAACGCGGCGAGCGGAGCCCGGCCCGCCCCCTGCCCTGACCCCGGTCCCGTAAGGGGGCTGAAGGCGGAGCTTTGCGCCGGCCTTCCTCAGCTCGGAGGCTGCTCCGAAAGTAATGCCTCCTATGTTTACGCCGTCGGGATGTCGCTGGTGGGACCGCAGCGCGGGCTGAGCCAGCTGCCCGCCCGTATCTACGTGCTGCGGCCCGGGGGACGGACACGGCGGGCCGATGTGGAAGTGCGGATGGAGTGGAGGGCTGGGATTGAATTCCTCCGCGTGAGAACGGCGGCACGCGGTGACGCTTTGCCGGACGCCGAACGGCGCCGGAGTTCAGGGCGGACCCGCAGCGCTTCGCCCGCAGCGCAGCCCCGCCCCGCCCCCTCTGGGCCGCACTGCGCAGGCGCGTTGCCCCGGCCGTGCCCGCCGACCCGGAAGCAGCCGGCGGCAAGATGGCGGCGTAGCGCCCGCGTGCCGTTCCGGCCCCGCCATGGCGGACCTGGGCCGGCAGCTGCACGAGTACCTCGCCCAGTCCAAGGCCGCCCCCGCCCCGCCGCCCGCCGGCGGCCCGCAAGAGGAGCCGGAGGGCGGCGGCGCGGGAGCGTGGCCGAGCGCCTTCCCGGGGCCGGGCTGGCGCTGGCCGTGGGCGGCCGAGGCGGACCCGTGGCTGCCGGGGCTGTCGCCGTGGCAGCGGCTGGCGGGCGCCGCGCTGTGCCTTCTGCTGGCCGCCCTCTGCTTCGGGCTGGCCGCGCTGTACGCGCCGCTGCTTCTGCTCCGCGCCCGCAAGTTCGCGCTGCTCTGGTCGCTGGGCTCGCTGTGCGCGCTGCTCGCCGCCGCGCTGCTGCGCGGCCCGTCCCGCCTGCTGCGGGAGCCGAGCCGCGGCTCGCTGCTGTACGCGGCGGCGCTGGGCGGCACGCTGTACGCCGCGCTGGGGCTGCGCAGCACCGCGCTGACCGCGCTGGGCGCCGCCGCGCAGTTGGGCGCCGCCGCCGCCGCGCTGCTGGGCGCGCTGCCCGGAGGGGCCGCCGGGGCCCGGCGTCTCGGAGCGCTCGCGGTGGCCGCGCTGCGCCGCGGGGCCGCGCTGCCCGTGTGACGTGCGGGAGGAGCCGTCCCGCCGCGGTTCCTCGCAAGAAGGCGGCGCGGAGCGGCGGCGATTCCGAATTCGAGCACGGGACCGCGCCCGGCCCGGCCGCGTCTGGAGCCGAGGAGGAGCGTCTGCCGGCGGAGGACCGCCCGGCGCCGGAGCGGAGACGTCGGCGGTGCGGGGCGGAGGGCGCCGAGCGGCCCGGCTCCCCGCGCCCGGTGCTGCGTCGGTGCCGGGACCCTTAGCGAGCGCCGCGTGCCCCCGGCTGCACAGAAAGCCGCCTGTAATTGGCATCCAGTAAGTGAAACAGGCTCCGGGGCTGTGGGTCGGCAGGCCCGTGCTCGGGCAGGGCAGGCGGGCTCCGGCCGGTGGGACCGTGCGATGTGCCGTCCTGCTGCCAGGAGCCGCGGAACGGCACGGCGTGCCTCTCTGCGAGCTCCGCTGCGGAGCGGGCTGCTCGGCTCTGCCTTAGGGCTGACCGCCCACCGGTGCCTCGGCCAGAGCCGGCCCAGCTCTCAAATTTTGCCTCTCAAATCGCTGCTTAGGGACACAGCGGGAATTGTCAAACGGGGGTGCTTACATGTACGTAGACGGCTTTAATAATAAAACGACCATTTGTGTACCAGATGTCAGCGTAGATCTTCAACCACCGCTCGCTTCTTTCCTTGAGCTGTAGGCTGGAAGCACGTTAAGTAGTTCTGTCTTTCTGATAACTTTTGAAGCTACGGTGCGTAATTTGTAGCAGCGGTATTGGAAGAGATGGCAGGGAGAGGCTGTGAGCAGGCACAGCACAGCCGGGCTGCGTGCAGTGATCAGAGCTGTGCTCCCACCCGGTGACTGCACCCACTTTCAGCAGTAGGGCTGTGGTTGCACCCATCGGGATCCCCCTGTGCCTCCTGCTGGCTGTGGCTGTGGGATTCTGTCTGAAGGTTTGCTCGTTCCCCCGTTTCTGCATGACTTTCATGTTCCACGGCGGTGGAATATTTCAAAGCTTAGTATGAAAAGCTGCCATCGTGAATGTTAGCAAGTACAAGAAGCGTTTTCCCTTGTGTCCAGGTGCAGAACGCTGGGTTCCCTGCTATTCGATGCACTCCAGTTTGCTTTGATAGAGAACTGCAGAGTATTAAGAACCAAGAGCTCATCCTCTAAATCAGATACTTGAAATACTAAAAAGAAGTTGCTTTCAATCCCTTAAAAAAAAAATACATAGGGCTTGTATTAAAAAAAATAAAATACCAACTCTATTTTCCCTTCTGTAGCAATTAAATCTGCAGTGTTCCTTAAAATTTAAAGAGATCCCTGAGGTGCACCCAGCAGGGCCCTTCTGCAAGTAGAGCAAAAGGGATTCCTTTGTGTTCCCCAAAGGAGAACCTGCACCCTACAAGGTGCCCCTCAGCTCCTTCCCAGCCACCGCCTTTCAGATCGTGCTAAAGCCATAGGACAAGGATGCTGTAGGCTAATGAGCACCCTTAATTGCTACCATTTTTAATGCAATTTCGTAGGCTACAAATTAAAAACTGTAAAACGTTACTTGTGACCCAGCAGTTGAGCAGTTAAGCACCTCTGCTCTGATTTCTTTTAAATAAGATGGATCAGGATAGAGCAGGTCAGTCTTTAAAAGAGATGTGACTGTATCAGAAGTCAGCTAAAGTAGCTGCTGTGCATTGCTGTGCAGTGCAGTGGTTTTGCCAGGTGTAGAACTGCATTGCCATACGACTGTGACTGTTCTAACAGCTTGAAGCTAGAAGAGGGGGGATTTAGAGTAGATGTTAGGAGGGCAGTGAGGCACTGCTGCCCTGAGCAGCGTGGGTGCCCCATGCCTGCAGGTGCCCAAGGCCATCAGTGGGGCCCTGGGCAGCCTGAGCTGGTGGGGGCAGCCAGCCCAGCACAGGGGTAGGACTTTAAGGTCCCTTCCAACCCAAAACACTAAATGATTCTACAAAATTCCAGAAAAACAGCCTGGTGGTGATAGTTTTCATTATAGTTTGGCGTATAGTTTTAATTTAGGACCTTCCTGAGAGCTGGCTTTTGAGTACGTACTTCTGTATAAACTTTTCATTCAGGCTTTAGCCATTAATGAGCCCTGTGGTAGCCTGGTGACTGGAGATGATTGATGTGAATGATTTTTCATGGGGACATTGGATACTTGTGATTGCTAAGCAACAAAAATGTGGGAAATATGAATAACCTCTGCTCATCCCTCTCCTGTGGGAAAACCAAGGAACAGCATCCTAAAGATATTTAGAAACATTAAGGTGACAGCCAGCAAGCACTGAGGTCTGCACTTCAGCAGACCAGATGCTGCTGGACACCCATATCTGTACGCAGGGTATCCTACAGCCATTGTAAAACATTTGCTTCCATATGAATCCAATTGCTAAACTTCCCTTTCCTCCTCAATTTCTGTAAGTGCTGTTGTGAACAGAAGCATCTGACTCCTGCAGCTGCAGCACAGAATGACAGCACTCGTTTTCCTGTCTAGTTTGCTAACAGTCCAGGTTACAGATGCACTATGTGTATGACAGCTTTTCTAAATGGTGTTCCCTGTTTTTCTCTTTCAGGATGGCAGACCAGCAAGCAGCAGTGACTTCCTGTGCTCTGGAGTTTTGATGTCAGCACCTCTGGTTATTTATAGGCAGCTGAGACCGCAGGCAAAACAGTTCTCTATCCACAATAAACCAAAAACGAGGAATAAGCCGTTAGTACTGCCCACAGATGAGACTTCAGGAGGTAGTTTGTTGCTCCATCTGATACACAAGTTTGTTAAGAAACAGCACTTGATAGGAATAGGTGAGTAAAGAACTACACACGCTTTTTTTTTTTTTTTGTTAGTTTTTGCGCAAATTACATTCTGTATTCATACAAAAAACAACATAACTCTTCTGACAAACTGTACATATAGAAACAAGTTTCTGTTTGGAATTGAACTGAAATCTGTGGAGGTGCTCCATGTCTCACCACTAAAAAAAAATTCCAGCTCTTCACAAAACAAAGTAGGTAAAAGAAGGTGGGGAAAATGGGGGCAGAGAAGACAGAACTGAAAGCTAGCTACAGAACCGCAGCTAGTAGCAGTTGACTGATCTAGGAGAAGACCCTTGTTAGGAACTAATGCACATTCAGTTATCCCAGTTACGAATCCAGGCTTGCGTTCTTGCAGGGTTACTTTCTCTTTGAGTACAGAGTAGCAGTCCAGTTAAATATTGTCCATCAGGGACTGGGTGTAACCCAGTCAAAGCCTATTCTATCGGCCTCTTCCGCCACCCCTGGATGCTCCTCTTCGTGACTGACCAGAATTCATGTTATTTCCTCTTCCCCAATTGCTTCCGCTCCTTCCTCCTCTGGAAGGGTTGCTGCCTCCTGCAGGGCCTCCGCCGAAAGCTTCATCCCTGTGGAATCCATCATGATGGTCTCCATCTAAAGAATTAGACCGTGCCGATTTTGGTGCTCTCTGGGAACCTCCTGAATTTCCACGTCCTAAAAATGAAGCACAACGTTACTGATGTTGAAATCTAAGCCCTGCCCCTTCTCAGACATAACCATGCCTTTTAGCTAGTTCTTTCACATTCACTAACTGAATGTTGTTGACACCTGTAATTTTATGCCTCCTCCCTCTGTTTTTTATTACACAGGTTCAGTATCTCCATGGCAGCCTAGAAGATTGACAGTAATCAGGCAATCCCTTGGGGATTAAAGGAGATTATGCCTCATACAGTCAGCGAGGACTTACTTAAGTCGGGTCCCTCAAAAGTGCCAGCCATACACAGTCTGATCCTTTACAGCTATCTGCAGTTCTTTGTATACTTTTATTGCAGAATACAACAAAACCAAGAGAACCGGATGTTAAACCACATCTGCTACAGTGTGTGCAATTCTTAGTCACCCCACTCACATAATGATAAGTTAAAACTGAAGCGAGTATAGACGTGGTAAGAAGGGCAGTAAAGGATACAGAATGCATTCCAGAGACAGCACATGAATGGATGAGAGCTCTGGCATAGAGAAGAGCCAGCTCAGGATGGAAGCGACGGTTTGATGCAGCCAGAGGCAGCATTCAGAAATAACAAAGACCAACTAAAACGCAAGCCATCACTGAATGAACGTAGTGAATGATGGGCTTAAGAAGATAAAAGCTTTTTTTTTTTTCCCCCAATTAAGTTTTAGAGCTCTGTGGATGTCAGAAGTTTCGATGATTCTTAAAGCTGGATAAGGCTTCTGTTGAAAAACACACCAGTGTTGCACGAGGTTTTCAATACGAGGGACTTATTTACCTTTTCCCCTCTCCTCTGGAGGTCCACCTGGAGCATCCATTTCCCTGGGGTCAGAGGTCCCTGGTCCATCATGCCAGGGACGTTTACGTGGTGGCAGTGAGGCCATGTCCATGCCCTGGAGCGAAGAAGAACGTTCTCGGTTAGCTGGAGAATGTCCATCGTGAGGAGGGTGGTCTGGACGAGGACCTGATGGCGAGGAGAAAAAGTAGAATCATTAGATAACGTCCACTGATCGTTACGCCTCATTTTCAGAAAGCAATCCTATACAAATATACTCTCCGTGCAATTTGGCATACAGTTTTAAGTTATATAAAGCTTCCCCACCACTAAAATGTGCAAATAAGCCAACACTAGGTGAATGAGCTGCAAGAAAGCTGAAGGTAAAGCAGGTTTAAAAGATGTTGAAAAAGAAGGAAGTGGCAGATCTCAAGCTTTCTTTTCAGCATAAGGATTTTCACATATTTTAGAGATGACCACACGTTCTTTTGTTATTCATGTGTCATTTGTGCTCGTGTTCTAAAATTCAGTTTTGAACCTATATGTAATTATACACAAAGATGACTACTGGAATTAATAGATATCTCAAAAATCTGTTTGTTACGCTTCATTCATCAGCAGGGAACACCAACGTGCTGCTCTGGACTGCATATGAAATCTCACCTTAAAATCAGGATGTTAAGGGCACAGTCATTTATTATTCTGTGAAACTGCAGCGTTTACAGCTAGTTACATTCCAGGCAGTTTATTTATTTCTATATTTACAAGTCCAAAAACCTACACGTTGCATCTCTGGTGGTGAAAGACTGACAACGAGCACACAAAGCACAGGGGAAAAGTAGCGACGTTATTCATTTTAAAGCAGTTACCTTTTAGAAATTGATTATCTGAAGCAGACCTCAGCTATTTCTTTACCTGGTTCTCTGTTTCCATCCCAGGATTCTGGCTTCCTCCCACCTTCAAAGCGTGGAATTTCATCGGGGGTGGGAAGCAGACCCTTCCGGCCTCCTGAGCAGCACGAGATGCAGGGAGAGGAGCGAGAAGAGACATTGCATTCGTGAAACTGTTGCTGTTTGCCCAAGAAACACCCTTGCTACCTTCTCCTTGTATTTCACTGTGGAAGAATGTTCCCCTCACCTCTAATTGCACCACGACCTCGGCCCCGAGCACCATGGTCCCTTCCTCTCAAGTTTTCATCTGGGGAGTCAAAAGTGTCATCTGGCCCAAAATCTTCCGGACCAGGAAAGCCATCTCTCCCCCTGGGTCCCCGGCCCTCGTGTCTCGAGGGTCCTCCTCTTCTGAAGCTACAAGAAAGAACATGGTACACCTTTAGACAAGATTTACATCGATAAACTTGAGACAGTTGGTTATTGAGCTGTTTTCTGAACCGTTTCACATAACACTACAGTGCATACAGTTAACAGAGTAGGATTTGTGGGTGGAAAAGTGCTCAATGTCTGTCTCTGAGCACTTTGTTTATCCATTTTGTACAGTTTTCCCTCATTTCCTTCCGTTGTTTTGTTTTGTTTTTTCCATACAAAAAATACTGTCAAGTATATTTGCATTCATTTAACAGGGAAAAAAAATAAAAACAGTGAGATAGATATAAGGCAAGGTAAGGAGAAGGACAAGTGAATTTCCCTTAGCTGCAGTGCTCTTGCTTTAAGGGATTACAAACGAAGCAGGAGAAATAAAAGCAGTGAGAGTCAAGGCTATAGTGAAACATTTCAGCATCACATTCCTATGGATTTTGGAGTCTCTCGCTAGAACATCTCTTACTCATTCCCTCCATAGAGGATTTTTTTTTCTTTTTAAGTTTACAATGTTGAGAAGCGATTCTAGGCTGAACTTGGCTCAGCAGGGAGGATGACTGCAGAACAGTGTGCACAGTGGCTTTCTACAACCTCACCAGCAGCTTATCCATCTGCAGTAAACGAAGAGCTCTGTTTTGCAAAACGTAGCAATGCCCCTCACGTCAGTAATTTCTACTCCTACTCAGCACCATGGCATCTTCAGTAACTGGATGCGATTGGTTTTTGCATCTCATCTGAACTGAGTACAGCTCCTCCAGTATCACACTGAGGTCTTAACACAGATCTTCAGAGGGAAGAATGCTTCTGTCTTAGCTGTCAGTGCCATTCCAGGTAAGCCTGTAGATGGCTGCACAAACGCTAGCAGTTCTGTTTCTTACAGCACCAACTTGGAGTGCTTGTCAAAGCCCATATATGTCCCGTGCATCACTGCAGCTCCATGAGCATGCACTGACACCCACTGCTACAACTGCCTCTGCTTAGAGCCCGACCCGGGCAATTTCTGTGCGAGCACAAGGGGACGTTAGGAGGTGCAGGCACACTGCTTTGGGATCCTGCCCACCCTCAGTGACAGCAGTGACAGCGTGGAGCTCTGTCTGCCCGTGCTCACTGATGCCCCCCCCACCTCCCCTCTTCTCCCACTTCCACACTGGGCAAACCGCCGCCGTGCTCCGAGCCTTGGCTTTGTGCACATCATCCCCTTCCCCGGCTCATTAACGACACAGTGCATCCTATTACAAGCAAAACTTTAGATACTTTTATTTAGAATTTTAACAACATTAACCTTTTAATTACAAATTTAAATATTTTAACAGTAGTCATAACACAATACAATATTTTTTTTTTTTTTTAACTTTTACAATTTTTTTTTCTTTTTTTTTCTTTTTTTAAATTAAAAACAATAGGTCTGTCTCCACCTCCCAGAAAACAAACACAATACAGAGAGGAGGCTGCTGTGCCTGTACAGGTACAACAGTGGATGGAGGGAGTGCTGCATATGGACAATGAACCATTTCACATTAACCTGGGTGATTTGTGAAAACAAACTCAGCAGTTTCAGGTACAAATGGTTCAAATAACCACATCGCAATGTTGTTTAGCCTTGAGACAGCACAGTCCTCTAGATATATTCCTTAGAGGGTCTCCCATTTTAATACTGACTTGGTGAGATTCTGCTTAGTTTGTAAATTACCAAGATTTGCAACACAAGATCCTATGGCTACCAGGAGGAGGACCTTTCTCTGTGTTTCCAGGCAACCTTATGGACAAAGTTCAGCTTTGAAATCTATCATACCTATGCCTGATACAGCCATGGCTCCTAATATTGGGTTATGTATATCCTTTTTCACTTTTTCCTCATCAGTCACACGTAAAACCCTGCCTCGCATAGGGCTCAGTTCCTGTTTGACTGCTCTCATCTTCTTCCTTGAGGCCTAGGACCTTAACGTACAGAACTACACACTGTGCAGATTAGCAGCAGGAAGAGGCAGGTCTCTGCAGTAGAAGCATCATGTTGATATGCACAGGTAGAGTGAGAACAGGACAGAGATGAAAAGGATGGGAAATTAGAGAGAAACACACATACACACACTTCCCTCTCACGTTTTTGATCAAACCAATTACGATCTAAATTCCAAACCAAGTCAGCTAAACGAGTAGTTGGGATTCTTAGGCTCACTTCAGCATCAACCAATTCACCTTCACTCAGAGGAAATCACTAAGTGCAAGCACAATAAGCCTTTTAGAGCCCTGTGATGATTCTTCTCCAGCTAACCGGTCTGTACAAACACTTGCACTGTGACAGACCCTGGTTAGCTCAGAAGTCAGATTCCCAGGTCCTAAGATGCCTGGACTCCCCTCCTGAAACCTCTGTAAAATCAGGATAAGAATAAAATATTCCCCAATCCCTAAACATTTCCAATAGAAGATCTGAAAATCTCTACTGAGCTTCTAAAATCACTGTCTGCTACGTCTTTCAGAGTTATGTAAGGCAGACTACTCCACTTGGATTCTCTCTCTTTTTTAAACGGCTTTGTTACCTTCTTTTTGTTCATTTCTTTTCATACTCTTCACACAAAAGGAAGGTACATCTTTACAGAGCTAGGTAGAAAATAGCTAAAAGAAGAGCTGTATAGATGCAAAGTAAGAGGAATGTAAGAAAATGATTAAAAGGCAACTAAAACACACAAAATTCACATTATGTGGAGACCACAATATATTTGTACAAGTACACATTTTTATACATATGGAGCTGGTGGTCAGTGAGAGGTTTAGACCTTGGAGGCCAAATTTAACTCTGTTAAACTAGCATAAATCTGGAGCAATTTCAGTGACAGGTCGTCTTGCCAACTTTGAGCAATTCCTCCATATTTACATTAATAACTAGAAGCAAAGTCATCCCTTTGTGATTGATCTGGAAATTGTGAGCAATGACGAGGACATTGCTATAAACTAGATTATTTTTGAGTTCTTTGCTTGGCATTAAGAAATAAGTCAGAAAGAGAAATAAAATTCCTACAAGCAAAAAACATGAGAAAATAGTCTCGACAGTCCAACAGGCTGCAGAGCTCTGCCCCTTATATTTGATAGTAGGATCACTGTTCCTGCTCCTCACAAGTATCTTACAGCTCGTTCTACAGTCTCCACAGTCATCCTGCAGTTTGTGACTGGAGACAGAGTCTCAAATTCCACTTCTAGTGTTCAAAAGTTTGCCATTTTAACCTTCGAGTTTCCTCTCAATTTTCGTCAAAACGATCTCAAATCTTCATCCTGTGTCACTGGATCTTCTCTACAAATTTCCTCCCTTCTCTTTACTTACTGTTTACAGACACGGAAGCTGCTGTGTACAATGACCATTTTTCAAGTTTTCTTCTATTACTGAATGATTTTATGGACTCTATACTCAGGTATATTAGAGTTTTCATTTCCTTATTGGTTTCCAGTTTATAAATCTGAAACAGATAGACTCCTTAATGACAAGGAAACCAGGAAGAAAGAATTCCCTCCATTCACCCTTCACCCAAGAAGAACAAATTGATTTATTCTTACCTCTCGTCTCGTCTTCCTCGGAACCGTGCATCCTCAGGATCCCGTGGATATCTATCATCTGAAGGTCTCCGTCCTTCCCAAGCACCAGGAGGGCCACGATTTGAACCCCCGCCTTCAAATTCCCTGTGATCGGGAGGAAAGGGAGGCCCAGGTCCACCTCGTCTCCATTTCTCATCTTGCAATGGTGGGCCTCCTCTCCCCTCAAATTCCCGTAATCGATGGCCAAATCTCTTATCTGGATGGAAGTCGTCACGGAAGTCATCTGGTCGATCAAAGTCATCATGGAAATCTGGGTGAGGTCCTCGTCTATCTGGCATGCCCCTGCTGTCTCTACCATCACCCCACTCCTGGCCACCTCGAAACAACCCTCTCTCAGGCCCATGATCAGGGCCACCACTGTTCTGGTCGTGCCTTCTATCTGAGAGAGGGCCCATGTGGTGGTTTGGTGGACCACGGGAGTCACCTTGAGGGAAAAAATCATAGCAGATTTCTGTAATTTTTCCTAAAAATGCTCTAGGATGTTTTAGTTTCTACAGTTCTACAAAGCATACACCATACATTTCGCATTAAGGAATTCCGGGGGAAAAACTTTTCTTCTGTATTCCAGCCCAAGTCTACTGTAGCTTCCCTCTCAATCCGGACCCTTCGTTGTGCTGTAGCCTTTTCTATCTAGAGGCTCTGCACTGGAACAGCATCTTTTTCCAGAACTACTCACAGAAGAACAGACAATGCATTTAATTACCTTTATTAAGGCCAGGTCCCTGGTTGTGAGGGCCGAGACGACCTTGTCCTCCCTGCTGCCCCAGTCCTGGTATCAGTGGTGGAGGACCTGGGTTCTGTCCGTCCTGTTAGTGCACGATAAGAAAAGCCACGTGAATTAGGATGCATGAGTATTCCTGCTTCTGAGCCTTTTGTAAAGCAGCAAACCAAATTCCTTTGCTTAAAAAGTGCATCTTCACAGACCTTATGACAGCAGCAGCTGATTTTCGATTGGTTTCAGCCTGATCTTTTTTTACATTCACATTAGCGATGCTTTTGTTTCCTGAGGATCATACACAGTTATCTAGAAAACTTACGACTGATCTTTTATCTGTAACAACCAAAAGATAATAAAGCTCCTATTTTCTATGCCTGTTAGAGAAGGCGAGAGAACTGCATGCATTTGTTGGAAAAGCACCAGGTGCTGATGTATATGCTGCTGATTCAGACCCTGGAGGGATCACAGCAGGTACCAAGTTACCCCATGCCTCATATGACCATGTGGGCTTTTTTCATACTCTGTACCTACTTTCTGTGAAAGACTATTTTTTATTATTAATTATTTCAGAGGGACGGTTGAAGAGCAACACTGAGAGTTCATTTGTGCAGTGTTTCCTGTTGCATCTTGAAATACTGGTTTTAAATTATACTTTTGTATTGAACTGCAACAGAGGTAAATAACCACAAAAATACACATAAATATGTACTACAAACATCATCTTTGCATTGAATATTTTTGTAAAATTTTTGGGAAAATAAAAGCAAAATAGAAGGCCTGGTTCCAATGCTTGTTACAAGATAAAAAAGCACATGAACCTCTGCAAGTGGTTGAATGGTGAGCTGAGGCAGAAGAAGAGCTCCCTGTCCAGGAAGGACAAAGCTGTCACCACCCTTCTGAAATCCCTGACCAAAGCCTTGCTGGATCTCCATCACTTCTCATGTTTACTTATAATAAACTGTTGAACTTCTTAAGTTTATGTCACTGCTGTTCAACCAGAGCAGCAGCTCTTAGTGCCCACCTCATGAGGTCAATCAGCGTTTGCCAAAACCCTCTATTTCCAAACAAATTATACTTCGACCAGTTAGGAAAACAGAGCCTTCATAATGCATTTATATGCCTCTCATTTCAAAATACACCATGGGCCCAACTGGGCTCCTAGCAGACAAAGTGAACTGCAGAGCACAGGAGGAGGCACTGCGCTGAGAACTGCAGGCAGCCCTGTGCACCCCTGGAGCACAGCTGGAGGTGGGCAGAGCTGTGCTGTGGCATCAGGCAGAGCAGCAGGGCTGGCTTTGCTGGCCCACAAAGGGCACAGCTACCTTACAACTATTTTCTATCTATTATTTTCTATCTATTATATTTTTTACCTATTTTCATTGCAGCTGGAGGGGAAGAATTCTCCGTACCAACCCATTCCATCTGAGCCACTACAAGCTCCAAGAGTTTGCCTCTACATGGAAAGAGACTTGCTCTGAAGCACTCAGACCAAGAAATGAGATGAAATCCAGCCTACCCCAAAGATTAGGTGCTGTAAATCAATTACTCTGAATTACCACTTCAGCTCCAAGATACTACTGCTAACTTGGGAATGCTTTATCTACCCATCTGCACTTTAACATCAATATTCCTATCTTCAGAATACAATTTTGCTGATCATGTTGTCGTATTTCGGTCCCTTTCTTTCTCAAACAGGTTTCTGTTTTGTTCCCCATTTGTAGAAGGGAGCAGCTCTCCCACTCAGGAGGAGATGGGCATCACCTTCACACAGCTCTTCAGTGTGTGGTGGATGCAGGTAACTGCTATCTCCTACAGACATGATCCTTTAAAATAGGCACACAGGTTCAGTATTGATTTCACAAGCTCTTAATGAAGGAAATGAACGCTCCCCCTCTGCTTCTAAAAAGGCAGGCAAGCCATTCCTACAAATCTACAGAAGAAAAATGCTAAATTCAGGACTAAAACAGTCAAAGCCTGTTGTTAAAAAAGCCAAGACAGGAGTTACCCTTCTGCTCATCTTACAGAGAAGCCAACAGGACCAAAAATGGAAAGAAACACTATGAACTGCACAATCTGCCCATTTTCTCAATACATTAGCCTTCTAAAGCTAGACAAGGAAGGAAAAATAGCCAAAAATACCCAGCTTTGTTATGTGTTTTTTTTTATATTTGTAAAAGACTCAAAGGTAGCAGCATTTATGGAACACAACATCCGCCTGCTGCAAACAGCCTCCTGCATCCTGCCAACAGCAGGCTCCAACAAATGCATACAAGCTTGGTGGCAGCTGTTTAGGTAGAGCAGTTGGTCTCCTTAGGATAACTACAAAAACACGACGTTGGTAGAAATGAGATGAGCAATAGCTGTGAAGCCAGTTCTTGTCCTCTTAATTTTGACGTTTCTGAAATCTCAGCAATAAGGTCACATTTACAGACTTCTGCAGGAAGCTTTTGCTGACTTGTAAGAAAAAAAACCCACACCAATGCACAACTTGTAGGCTGTTCTGCCTCAATCTGAAGCGCAGCCAGTGAGATTTAGTTCAAAGTCATCACACATTACTGTGATTGATACTGGCCTCCGCATGAAGTACATCCAAAACTGTCTTATCTAGAAACCATTCAGCACAAGAGACAATTTTGTTTAAAAATAATCACACATTTCTCAAAATTGTAGATTTTTCCCAATACATCCATTTCAAAATTCACCTTAAGGCTGAAGACAAACATGACATTTTAAGTACAAAATTAACACTGCAACAACAGGAACTTGTAAGGAGTAATAAATGTAGTGAGCTTGCCATTATCTAGCTTGGTGCTGAACCAGCCTTAATCCCTGCAAAAGTAATTAGTGTCTTCACAAGCAACAATCTCCAGTATCCCAGGTGAGCTGAACCTAAGTATTTTGCTGAGCTGGTGAACCCTGCTGGTACTTGGTGCCCCAGCTCCAGACCCTGGTCCTACTCAGCCTGCTTGCTCCCTGTGCTCTCTCTGGTGTTGCTCAGCAAATGGTGCAGTAACAAGTCTGGAAACAGGCTCTAAACTGGTGGCTCAGAAGGCATAAAGGTGGCTAGGTAATTCCTATTCCTATGCAGGAAGCAGGACAGCTGTTCTCCTGGAAAGCTGAACCGGAACTAAGCTGATATTCCAGGTATGTCAGTATCTGTATGTCAGTAGCTCACTCCTCAGTTTGGATAAATTAGTCTGGGACAACTGAGAGTCAACAATAATTTGCTTTAATTCACACATAGTTTTTATGTTCTGTTGGCTTAAATTCAACTTTTCTTTGAGCATATCTACTCTCCAGGAAACTTCACGTTTAAGACAGTTCAGTATCCTCAAGCTAAGAAAAAACACAAACAAACCTGGAGTTTCTCTTTGGTTTCACGCATTCTTAGAAGGTACTGATTTCTGTATCTGTACTCCCAGTAATCCCATTCCTACAGTTACCTCTGCTTTTTCCAAGCTATGTAACTTTGTTCATCGTCATTTAGTTTTCCTTGAAGCTTCTGTTTTGAGCCTCACCTCCATACTCTCATCTCTTGCTTGACATCTGTACAGCACAACATTATCGTTCCTACATTTTTAACATTCTTCTTGTTACACAGATCAACACATACCTGATTGAACGGGGGACGAGGCCCATCACCCAACAGAGGTGTTTTCTGCTGCTGGAAAGGCAGAGGGCCCTGGGAAGGATGTGGCCCCCTCGAAGGGTTTGGTTGTCCTTGAGGTCCTTGCATGTTTCCTTGTGGCCCTACCAAAGAGCCCTGCGGAGGTCCCTGCTGGCCTTGTGGCCCACGCATTTCTTGCGGCGGTCCTAACATTGCGCCTTGGGGCGGGGGTCCCTGTAGCCCCCTCATCTCCTGGGGCCCATGTCCTAGTAAACCACTTTGCATATGAGGACCTCTCATCTCTTGCGGATGACCCATCATCATCCCTTGTGGAGTAGGTCCCTGGTTATCTCGGGGCCCTGGTGGGCCCTGCATCCCTCTTGGATTAAGTCCCATCAAAGGCCCTTGGGAGATAGGACCTTGCATCCCTTGAGATCCCGGAGCTCCTTGCATGCCGTGAGGAAGAGGTCCTTGCATCCCTCGGGGACCAGGTGGCCCTTGCATTCCTTGACCCTGAGGTCCCAAGTTACCCTGCGGGCCAGGTGGACCTTGTGGCCCCAAATGAGTCTGAGACCCAGGCAGGCCCTGCGGTCCTAGGTGCCCTTGTGGACCAGCATTACCCTGCGGGCCTGGAGGCCCCATTGGCCCATGAGGGCCAGGATGCCTTTGCATTCCTTGATGTCCATGTAAATCCTGAGGCCGTGGCATTCCTTGAGGTCCATGGGGGCCCGGAGGTCCTTGTGGTCCCATGAAGCCTTGCGGACCTCCACCTCCTTGGTGTAATGGAGGACCCTGAGGTCCCATTTGTCCTTGGGGTCCCGGAGGTCTGAACTGTCCTTGTGGACCAGGAGGTCCCATCTGAGGCATATTCATTGGCATCTGCTGTGGTGGAAGGGGCTGCTGAAACCCTTGAGGCATCTGTGACATTGGGCCTTGCCCTGGAAAAGGCTGGGGTCCGTGAAGAGAGCCTCCTGGAGGTGGCTGCACTTGCTCAGCTTGTTTTTGTGCAAGTCTCTCAATCTTCAATTGCTGCAACAAACAAACAAACAAACAAATAAATAAATAAAAGAAGCCAAACAAATCAACCAAACACAGAAAAATACAAAAAAACTGAAAATCAGAAGCTACTATCTCATTCTTAGGAGTTTGAAAAGAGTTAGTACTTTTCTCTTCATCAACAGAAACACAACTACACATACATATAAGTGGGTCTGACCAGCTGAAATGTGGACACCTTGGTGCAGCTGTCTTCATGCATTGAGTCTTATTAGTGTTAAAATGTATTTTTTGAGAAAAGGTGAAAAGTGTACTGCAAAAGCAAGCTACACATTTTGGTGCCGAGCTCCAGCAACTGGCTTTACACACATACCTCCAGGAGTTGTGGGTTTGTGTACTGAAGTGCTGCCATTTCCTGTTCAATCTCTGCCTGTGTCTTCTTTTTCTCCTCCAGCTTAATATCTTCCTTTCTATCAATCAATGGCTCAGGTGGGGGAGGCAAAGGAACTTTATTCTGCATCCACGCCTATAGAGAATAGTAAATATAAAATTAATTCTAAGAAACACCACATGTGTAATAAATCACTGTACTGGGATAAGATATGCTGGAATGAGAAATAATGAGGGAGGGGATTGTCCCACTCTGCTCTGCATGGTCTCACCTTGAATACTTTGTGCAGGTTTGGGCACCACAGTACAAAAGGGGCATAGAACTATTAGAGAGTGTCCAAAGGAGGGCTACAAAGATGATGAATGGTCTGGAGGGGAAGATGTATGAGAAGTGGTTGATGTCCGTTTGCTTGCTGGAGTAGAAGAAGCATCTGGAAATTGCTCTCAGACGTATGGTCTGATTTTTGGGTGGTCTTCTGTGGAGCCAGAAGATAGTCCCTTCCAACTCAGGATATTCTATAATTCTAACATGGATAATCAGAAGCTAAAAACTAGGTTGAACAGAACATCCAGGTGTTGTAGCATTCTGGTTTCAAGGTATGTATGTGGGATATAAGGGATTTAACCAAGTATCTAATGCATAAATGGCAATTTAGCTACTGTGGTAAGTTATTTTGCACTGATGTTGGACATGATATTGGAAATCCAACAGAACAAGTTTGTTTTTGGTGTTCACTGTTTATCAGCTGCTTACCTGCTGAAACTGTGCTGGTATTGGTTTTGCATAGGGCACTTTTTTCTGTGGCACTTTCTTTTGGTCCTTTTGCATTACTTCCTCCATTCCCCAGTCTAGTCCTGGGATTGTCATTTCAATGTCATTGGACTCATCTTTCCCTTTAACAGCAGGGAAGACAAACAGTGCAATACAGATTTACAAAATAATTCTGTTACTCTCCTTACAGTTTATTTAACAAAATAAACCTTGATGTTTCCCAACTCTTTCTTCTTTTCATGGGAAATATGCACTCAAGAACCTCAGAAAACAGTGGTGCTACCCAGTTATATGACAGGAATGAGCAATAACTTGTACAGCATCTGGATGGCTCAGAAAAATGCCTCCCTATAGCAACTACTTACCCATCTGCTCTTGCTCCATGGCTATTTTCAACTGCTCAGGTATTCCCATCCCAGGGATAACTGCTAGGCTGTTGGGTTCCAAATCATCTAGAGGAAAGTAATAAATATTTATACTTATTTGCTTTGCATTATCATTTTGTTCTTTTGGATTCTCACGTGCTTTTACCATCAGCTCTGTTAGGTATTTCACGAATGCTGGGTCACTTTTTAAACTTGCATATAAGTTGAAAGACATTAAAAGAACTACCCATTCAGATTCATAAAAACACCCCCAAAAAGGCCAGAAAATACATCCTTTTGAAGGAAAGTCACATTTCAGAAAATCTCATATCCATTCCCATTTTTGTTACAGTAAATGCACGTATTTTAAAACTTAAATCAAATTTAAATGATACACCTTCTGTGACATTCCCAAACACAAAAGGGTAAGTCATCAAACACCTTTATAAACAAACAGATGTAACCCTTGGGAAAAAAAAAAGGTTGCCGAGGTATGCTGTAGAGCTGGACAACCCTGAGCAGCTTAAACTTAGCAAGAAAAGTCCTTAGGAAGGAGAGTTAAGTTTTAAAATTTGAGTCAAATCGAATAGTTTGAAAAGATTTCCCTGCTGTAGTTCAGGACAGTGAAAAGTCTTGAGGTCACATGAAGTTTCCAGGAGGAAAAGTAAACCAGTGGCATTGCCCGAGGGAGAGCCCAACCTTCTTTCTGTGATGGACTGAGCAGCTCTTACCTCCTGGAGCTGTGGAAAAAAAGAAGATGCATTGTTGGAATTGCTTAGAGAACAAGATCATTCATGCAAAAAATATCTTTATCTAGGTGGTCACCAGTGCTATATACTGTTTCAGAGTCTCACCCAGAAGCAATTCTAACGCCAGCTGAAAGCCCAAAGCTTGCTCTTTAACCCCCAAACCTCTCATCCCCATGTTCTAGGAAACTGCCTTACCATATTCCACACCATCCTCTGACATCCCAGGCAGCAGATTCAAGTTGTAACGATCTCGCATTTTATCTCCAGGCCGATTTCGAGTCCAAAACTTACTGTCAAAAGGAAGTTACACGATCTCAACAGGAGGTCAAGAATAATAGCCACTTTTAATCTAACAACTTATTTATCTAAATTTTAGTATGCTAACTTGGTTCAACTCTTACTAATCAAGTTCAGGAGTGAATCTGAATGTTAGGTGTGAAGTTCAAATGAAAAACCATGACTATGGCTCTGGGCAGCCAGGTCTGGTGGTTGGCAACCCTGCACATAGCAGGGGGTTGAAACTGGATGATCACTGTGGTCCTTTTCAACCCAGGCCATTCTATGATCCCATACTATATTAACTGTACAGTTACTATTCAGAAAATGCTTCAAAGCACGAAGTAAATACAATGCGCTGGTACCACCGATATCCAGACAGCTCTAAGAACTTCCCACTCTGTTTAAATACATCCTTTACATAAAACTAACCTTGCTGATAGGCACATCTACACACAAAAATTCACCCCACTTATAGATACTCCATTACAGCACATTCAACTGCACTTGTAATGCACAAAGAGACATGATCAGCAGATGATCTGAGGACAAAAACATTGTGGAGATTGGAATATTTCTTCACCAAAAGAATATTTATTAAGTTCCTCAGCTCTCAAATCTCACACAAACCTGAAACGTCAGTGTTTCTTAAGGCTTCCTTAGATGAAGGATAGGAGGTTAAACATCACTCTAACTTCTCATGTAAAACGTCAGGGCCTTCCCACTCAAGTTTGTCTCTCTGCTTTGCCCATGGGTTGTGTATCAGAACTGCTCTTTGTTCACCAATGCCAAGCACCCTTTTCAATTCTGAACATACACACATTCCCTCAGACTCCTCCTTTAAATATTTTAAAATACCTGGTGTGATCATTTGAGCCCGAACAGAGAATGTGTCCGAGGGGATGCCATGCCAGACTCCAGATCATTCCTTCATGGGCCATTTCCATTCCACCAACCTCCTTCTCAACCCTGATGCATTAAAAAAACAGCTATCACAGAGAAGAATATCTGATTCAGATGCAATATAAAACTTCTATTTAGTTGCTCCTCTGTCCCCTACTTCAGTAAAAATAAGCCTCAGTTATTTTTCTATAGCACAAATTCACCATACACAGTTGTACTTAAGCAGGAATTCAATTCCATAGGAAATTTTTAAACTATTCATTTAAAAGCAAAATAATTACAGTACATCATGAGAAGCTCTAAGAAACTAGCAACTTCAATCATTTACCATCCCTCAAAAAAAGACTACCCTGTGTACAAGCAATTTATCCTTTAAAATATAACTTTAGAAATGAAGCCTATTCACAAAAATCCTCAGTGATAGAGTAAAACTATAAACATAAACATGCATTCAAAGGTAGTATTGTGTGTTTAATGTAACAGCTCGAGCATCTGACCAACATCTTTCCAACGTGCTGGTGAAAATGCCACGTACCCAACATGCCAGAATAACAAAGAGCCATCAGACCCTCCGCTGGCAAACAGCCCCTCGTGAACAGGATGCCAAGCCACAGCTGAAATACAAAATAACCGACAATCAGAAAGTATGATACTAGAATTCCTATCTCATGTAAATCAGGATCTCAAGAACTTTCATTTTTAATCCAAACATACTAAGAAAACATTGCAATATCAAACAACTACTGACCTGTGGCCTCTTTCTTATGACCCCTGAAGACCTGAAGTTCCTCTTTCAGGTTACGAATGTCAAAGAGTTTGCAGAGATGGTCACGAGAAGCTGTTAGCAACCAGTTGCCATTCAGATTCAGCTTCACCTCCATCACTGTGTTTTTATGAGCGTGTCTGCAGGCGCAGAAAGAAAATTGTTGTTTGTCTAGATATCAATTTCTCAGACAAATCAAACATGATCACTTATCAGTTCCCAATATTTAAGTCAACAACAAAGCAGGTCAGGTTACCAAGCCAGGATAGCAGACCTTTCTGTTCTGTATGCCTGGATATTGCTATTTGTACTTTGGAACCAGGGGAGGTTCAGGCTGGATATTAGGAAACATTTCTTCTCTGAGTGATCAGGCACTGGAATGGGCTGCCCAGAGAGGTGGTTGAAACACCGTCCCTGGAGATGTTCAAGAAACACTTAGAAGTGGTTCTAAGGGACATGGTTTATTGGGAAATGTTGGTAGTAGATGGGTGGTTGGACTGGATGATTTCGGAGGTCTTTTCCAACCTTGGTGATTCTGTAATTAAAGTCACTGTTTTCGAAGTTTAGACTTCACCTAATTTCTAGATTTTCTGGCACAGTTAAAGTATTTGCTTTCTACGTGAAGTAATTGCATATGGCTGGAAAGATGTGAGGTAATAAGCTAAAAAGAGACAAACATGAAGTCAGCTTGTATTCGAGCAAAGCGAAGGGTGTGGGCATGGACTTACAGCGTGGCAAGGCTCTGGCCAGTTTTTGGATCCCAGAACTTGATCGGCTGCTGGCTGTCTTTGCTTCCTGATACAACCAAACCCTTTGTTGGATGCCAGTCAACACATTTCACATCTGCTCCATGTCCTGTCAACAATGTAGAAGTTGTTCGTTTAGAAATTTCAATCAAATTGAGAAAGCACTGAAAACTGAAGGGTACACCTCTTATAAACGTGATGTAAAACTAAAGAAAATCACACAACACAGATCACAAAACAAAATCAAACTAAATAAAAACTCCCCAAGGGGATTGAAGTAGTGCTATCTTCTCTTCAGGTTATAGCTCAAAAACGAAGCTCACTTCAATATAAAAGCTCTCTAAAGTGGCTCCAATGGTATTTTTTTTAGGCTTTGATCCCACAGTAACACACAGCATGAAGCAGCATTTCTATGGGGGTGTTAATAGAAAAATACACTGTGACATTTCACTTTATCTCAAGTACTGCAGGAACAAAAAGCAAATGCATCTATGTTCCCATCCCATTCACACCACTCTTCTGTTGTTCTGTCAGAAAACAAGAGCTTAAATCACAGATCTGAAAACTAAAATGGTGTATGATGAAAAGAAATATTAGATGTAAAATCTGTTAATGGGTTTTTCTAACAGCCTGGAGTAAGGAGAGAAGAACCTTCACAATACTGATGATCCTTGAGATCCCTTCCAACCCAAGCCATTCTTTCATTCTAAGATATGATTCTATGATTTCACTTTAAACCGATTGCTCAGATGATTTAAAGAAGAAATGCTCAAACCCGCTACAAAGGGATTAGAGGGATTTAGAGATGAAATAATGGATGGAGATTTCCTTCTCCAGTATCTCTCCATGCCAGCCAACACCAATGGAAAGCCAACAGTGACATAATAGTCAATGTCAGAAAATGAGACAGCAAAAAGTGAGATGAGAAAGGAATGGCTGTCTGCAACACAGAGGCACTAGTTATAACACGGTATGGAAGAATGGTAGCCTTCTGCATCAGAGACAAATGGTTCCTATCAGACAGTTCCTACTGTACTGCTTTCCTTCAAGGTGCAATATGGAACCTGGAGCAGCAAAACACTGCTTGATACCGCTCTCAATTCAGTAAGAAAAATATATGAGTAAATTTTCCTGAGCTGACAGAAGAATCAAATTTGGAGCATTATATTTCCATCATACAGCAAAAGCAAAATTTAATGACACAAACACCCCCTCCATCAAATGAGTGCAACCTCCTCCCTTCCATCGTCTACAGCAAGACAGGCAGGGAAGAGATTCTTGACCCAAAGAGAAATGAACACAACTGTAGTTGAACATAAGGATCAACTTTGAGGAGCAACGGGATGACATCATGGATGAAGGTACCCAACTCTCCTCTCCCAGTCGCAGCAGGCAGAACTGCTGCAGAATATGCATGGTCTCAAGGAAGAACAGGGTCCTCAGGCCACAAAGACCATACAAGCACTGCTCCTTCCTACCAACAGAAGGGCGATTGGTATTGTTTCCCCTTTCTCTTGTTCTTCTGATGCAGCAAGAACTAAAAGGCACCGTGTGTCTGGATTTGCTCTGCCAAGGTCCACCTCTCAACCAGATGGAGAAGCTGAATGCTGAGCAGGTCTCGCTTCTGAGTGCTTATCTGGGAGGAGCAACTCTGCAAGTAGGAATAGAGTACTCCTCCTCAAAAGTGAGGGGCAAACTCACTCTGCAGATTTTCAACTGACAGCATTCTGTAGGTACTTGTTATCTTGCATCCTCTCAGGAAAAACAGCAGATTTGAATTCAAGAGCAACAATGGAAGTGCTCCATTATGGTTAGTAACCTGATGAACTGTAGGAAAACATGTTCAGACTAAAACACTCAAATAATATCATTAGTAGAAAACAAAAAACCCCAAACAATACAAACAGCAGAAACCTAAAGTACCTAACCACATGGACTGGAATGACTTTGTCCTCTGCTGCTCCTGAAATAAAGAGACTTCGTAATGGAAGAGAGCTTAGAGACAAAGGGCTGCTGTCTGGCTGGTAAGCCTGCAGCCAGTAAATGAGATGCTGGCAGAAGGCCATCTCAGTCTGGATAAAGGCTCACCCTGTGCAAGGCCTGATTCTTTGGACGTCAAACAAACGTGAGTTAAACCAATGCAAATGTGTATCCCAAGGAAAAAAAAAAAGGCCCAGACTGGGCAACCCAGTTCGAGTTCAGCATCATGTTCTGAAACAGAGCTGTGTAAGCACCCATCCTGCAAACAAAACACCCCAATAGGGAGCAATCATGATGGTGCAGCACAGGACTGATGTGCCTTGCAGAAATCAGGTTTGGCAGTTACAGCATATTATCCCCAGAGCACAGACATTAGGATATGAAAGAAGTATTTCACTAGTGGTTTTTTTTTTCATATGCACAAGGGATTTCTGAACTGGGTATTAATTAAAGTGCTGATTGTTAATACTTGTAGACAACTTATCCTGTTCTTTAAAGACACTGATCAGCGATTCTGGAGGGTGGAAAGAGTAACAGGCTGTACAAGACCGTGGGCAATAGTGCTTAATCAAACCCAACATGTCACAAGTATGGAAAAGTAGATAGAAATTTAAGATCTTATTTTTCCTCTCAACTTGATTTCTATACACGACTGAGTGAATATTAAATATAGTATAAAAAAATCAAGTTTGGATCGCAGTCCTTCTATCACAGCCTGTAAAGTATTTACTGTGTATAGATACATCATGTTTACTGCTGCAGCTGAACATTTTCCATTACAGCCTTTCCCCTAGAAACGAGCCCTATTTTGAGGGCACATCAATTGATGTTATGAATATTTTAAAATTTCTAAATCCTCAGCAATTTTCGGGTGGCTTATACGCATACTGAGGTGATACTCCTTTAGATCACCTTCTTGTACACCCACATTCAAAACCAAACAGATCTCTGTAACAGCGTATGTTTTGAAGAATGAGCACAGACAATGAGCACAAACTGCAACAGTGCTGTTTCTTTCCCCTTTAAAACAAGGCTGTTATAGAAGGGAGGTGGGGGGGGGTGTGAATAGTGCTGTGTATCCTTGAATTGGTCTGACCTGAAGGCTTTGCATTGTTCCACAAGAACGTTCCCTTCCCTGTAATCCACAGCCCTGATAGAACACAACACCTCTTGGAAGAGCAGGTCCTTTGCAAGGGGTTATTTCCAAGGCATTCAAAATAAAGCATGAAACCTTACCACCACCCCCACTAGCAAAAAGGAACAAGAAGACCTGCAAGGCCAAGACAACTGGGAACAGCCCTGTTAATGGGAAGAGGATCTGTTTTCTATATAATTCCCTTAGCCTTTGTTAGTTGGTTCCGGATTGCTGACAAATTGGATTATTTTGCCTGTTCTACCCTTATAGAAGGCTTTTTAAACTACATCTGGCAGTTATCCACTAACCTGGCAATTCCCTGCTTCCATGCAAATCTCATTTAGAAACTGAGTACCTCTTATCTACCAGAAATGAGAACACTCCTCTTATGCACTGCTTACACAACACTGACCAGGCTGGCAGTAAGGGTAAGGATAATTTAATTCCATTAACTTAGAACAAAGAACACTATCACATCACAAGAACCATACACCTCCTGAAAGCTGCCCTATGAAAAAGACCGACCTCCACTCTCCACTCCAAGAATGAACACAGCAGAAACTCTCTATTTAGAGACTCACAGTATGTTTGTTCTTTTTAGCATACTGTGGGAGGTTGATGAATAAGAAATCAAAGGCAAAGCTCCTTTCAGTCTTTACCAATGCCTCCCACCATACTTTCAGATCCATGTCTCCCCAAGTCAAGTTTTCCTTAATTTGCTCACCACGCTGTTCTCTAACTCTTTGCTGGTTTATTAAACAGGGTACCTGGGGAGACTGATGGGGTTTTAATCCACCTACAAGGAACATCTCCCATATCACATCAACATTTCTGTAGACCAGCAGCTGAATGAAGCCTTGTTTACAAAGCCCATCTTTACAGCTCTATTATCACACTGCATTCTTTCCAGAAAAAAAAGTTGCTTACAAAAAGCAAACAAATATATACGTTGTCGGTTGTGAAATCAAAAGGTTAAAAATAAACCAAAACAATCATTAAACACTAATGAGGTAGATCTGAGTAAACAAGAGTTTTCCCAGCTCAATTCTTCTGAACAGGGAGTAAGACTGAAACGCAAGAAATCAAACAGCCCCCAAAACGAGTTTCTGTAGATGAGTTTGGTACTGGCACATACAAACCCCAACAGGACTTACACCACTCACTGAGCAGTCCGAGCTCTGCAAAAACCTACAACTGTGGCAAGGAAAAGCTTGAGCATAATGCCAGTTATGTGCTCTCAGAGTGGCAAATGCACTGCAACAGATAATGAAAAGAACCTTCTGTTAAGTGTAATTACTAGAAATGCCATGTAGGAATCTGAATTCTTTCTATCTGTTCAAATTCAGTGACAATGTCTTACATAAGGATTAATACGGAAGGGGGAAAATGTCTGCATGCTGGCCTATGTGGGAACTGGGTCATGCAGGGTTCAGCCTTCGTATAATGGGACAACTCACACATTACAGCCAATGTTTAAATTCTTCTCTGCATTTAAAATGAATGCTGAGCAACCTCCAAAGCTGAAATATTTTGTTTTGAACAGAAACAACAATTACACAACTGAAAATATCTGTTTTAAATGTCGGTAAAAGGTGTTAGTTTTTTTCTTTTCTTAAATCATTGAATGCACTCATGGCAGAATCTGCAATCGTTGCAGAAACACATTCCCTTTTTAACTGATTGGTCTTCTTTGAGCATTATCCCATTTACAGGTCATTTCCTGTTTATGCTGTAAAACAGAGAGCCAAAAATAAGCTTGGTAGCAGGTTGGGCAACAGCACTGGAAGTGAGGGAACCAGCAACTGTAACACAAGGAGCTGCTTAACATTCTCTTAGAAGTGAGAACTAAATGACAATCCATGAAGTATGCACGGTTCACAATTCCTAATCATAAGACATAGGTCAGTTATATGTAGATTATTAACAGCAAGACATTTCAGTATGCAAAAATGTAACATTTTCCCTGTGTTTAATCAGTGTGCAGACGTTCTAGC